AAATTATAAATGGGAAATTGTTGATTTTAAAATAAATGAAAATGTTTTTCAGAATCGGTTAAGGGAAAGCTTGAAGTTATTCAGTTCAATATGCAACAACAGGTTCTTCTTAGAGACCTCTATAGTAAGTTGTCAAAAAACTTTGAATGCATTGTTATCTGAATATCTGAACAGTTTTATTGATATATGATTTGCATACCTCTTTTAAACCTCAAAGAGTGTAGATAAAAAATTTACATTTCACTTTCTCAATATGCAGCTTTCACAAAAAGAATTAATTTTATCAGAGCACCCCTATAATAATAATTAATCTGTGGATGTGGTTATAATTTATAATCTGCTTTTGAAAAAAAAAACAGTTGGGTGAGTATGAAATAATTTCTTTCTGTTTTTAGATTTTATTCATGAACAAACTTGACTTGTTTCAAGAGAAAATACTCAACTCAGGAAGACACATGAGGTACTACTTCCCAGAATATACAGGTGAGACTTTCTGTCTGGAATTATTACCCTTACTCTGTACATATAACTATTTTTAAAATTGGTTTCCCATGTAGTAAACACATCATTTTGATTTCCGTGTGTTTTAAAGAATTCTAGATATCTGTAAACTATTGCAGTGAATATTGAAGTGAATACACAATGTTTTGATATATTTAACTTTATTTTAGAAGAAAATAATTTAACAATAAAAAGTTTGATTCTATCGTGTTCAGATTCTTAAGTCATTAATTACAGTATTCACATGTGAGGCGTGCATTTGTCAAGTACAAAACTATCTGATAATATATATAATATCTGTAGGCCCTGACTGTGATGTGGACCGAGCAGCACGCTTTATACAGCACATGTACCAGATCCAGAACAAACACCAGGGGAAGGTGATATATCCCCATTTTACCACAGCAACAGACACTAGCAACATTCAGGTGGTGTTTCAGGTTGTCATGGACACAATTGTCAGAGAAAACTTGGAGGCAGCTTCTTTATTATGATGACAAGTCCAATTATTTTCATTTATATTTGCCGGAGTTGCATAGGGTCCTCCAGTTTCATTAGAGACAGAAGAAAAATGGGTTGGTTTCCTTGAATGGTTAGATAACTGAGAGAAAATACATTAAGGAGACTATTCAACAACGGACGCTAATAGAAGATTTCTTCCTTGTACAGATCATTTTGATGTTGGAATGCTAAATTGGAATACTGTCTTTCAAGGTGTTTTAGAAAAATGGAGTTATCAGTATTATGGATATAGAGTTGTCCAAGATGGATGGGATCTAAGCTGTCCAAGTGGATGCATTCATGATGATCACTTCCAGGCTGCTCGCTGGGATGTGTTTGTTGTGATTGTCTTGGTTGTGATTGTTGTTAAATGACCAATGCTTTTACATATATGTGTAGTGCATTTAAAATTACGGATGAAAAATGTTCAAATTTTCAGGTAAACTGCAGATATATTGGTAAAAGCCACATACAGGGTTCACTGTACTTGTTTCTGTTGAAGTCGCTAATTGATAATTTTTTGTTAATTTAGTGTATTTGATTCTATCAAATAGAGGGGTAAGTTATATATGAAAGTAACGATTAATGACTAATTAATTGGAAGTAATGAACAGTAAATCAGGCTTAAGAAGTGAACTCAAAGATAATTTTCCAATTTTGCATGGTTAAAATGTTTAAAGAATAATACAAATCGATTGATAATTTTGCAAATAACTTCGACCATTGTTACACCTATATTGTAATGTAAATATGTTTTTGTAAAAACAGCTGCTTATTTAAAGAGATCTATTGTACATATGCTTGAAATCCATAAATTTATTAGAAGAATATATTTTCACATGCTTTGTATGAAGTCCGGGCATTGACTTTAAAATGTTCTTACTATCTTAGCAGCATGTGAGTACAACATATTACAAGGTATTTTAAAGATGTTAACTTTTATGGCCTTCCTTATTATGCAGGGTATATGCACCACACAGTTTGATGCTGTTTGGGGACCAAATCTCTCTATAAATCTGCAGACTTAAGTGCTGTATGCTGCATATCATACTTGACATTTAGTTGTTGCTATTTTACTCAATTACAATTTCACATTTGTTATTGTATTTTTATGCATTTTACTATAAGTCTTACTGATGCAGCTTTTCTCTCCAAGTCTATTGCATTTTGATTCAAGTACGCTCAGGATTTGTAGCAAGAGTTATGCAACTGCCATTGATCTTAAAATCTCTGCCAGTGAAATGTGAATATAAATGGCCACTATAGCATCATGCACTGTATAGATTCTTATTCCTTTCCTGTTGCAAGTCTTTGCATTTGATCTTGTTTTCAGCCACTAAAACAGCCATGGCTGTTGAATAAAGAAATCACAACAGTTTTGGAGTCTGTTTCAGTCAGTTTTGCAAATGGCAGCCCTCTTTTTATGAAAAATACGAAAGTTGTTCAGTAGCCATTTATTCAAGCATTTCTTTTTTGAAATGTACATACCATACCTCTCTAAATATAACATGTTGCATACAACTTTGAAAATTTGCAGCACTGATACAAATGACATTTATCCACTAAAATTAAATGAGCAATTGAGCATTGCACTTTTATAGTGGATCTTAAACCAACAGCAGAATGTGGCATCCACTTTCACCTGCAAATTATGGATAATTCTGAGAAATGTGTCATATGACCTTCAGTTCTCATGGTTCTCTCTCAACTGGGTAGATGTCATCATTATAAGAGAAACAAGTGTACCATTGATGGTGCATTGATTTATTGGAAATGAGAAGGAAAATTTTTTCATATAGAAAAGTAAAAATAGATCATCCTTGAATTACAATCGTCAAAAAGTCAACTTTTTTCATAAACTTATTATTAATAAATACAGTGCAGAAAAGTACAAGCACAAGTTCAAATTAACTGACTGATATGGCATACTATATCACTTACTTTTTTGCAAACAATTTCATAATTGAGAAGACAGTAAATATCCTCATATTCCAGCTGTGATTCCAGTTTGCAATAAGTGGTTAAGTGCATCTAAATTTAGCAAAAAGAACATCAGTGTGCCAATGCTGCAGTCAAGGAATGTTAACTATATATCTAGCAGAAAAATACAAACTTAAACACACAAAAGGTTTCCCATTCAACTCTTTTGTTGTTAAGAAGAAAGTATAAAATAAAGCTTCAAAAGCTATGCAAAAATCATCAAGGTAAAACTGAAGACCGTATCAATTCATTACTTGAAAAGGGTGTCACAGACACAAAAGGAAAAAAGTCCCAGAAATTGTACATTTTATTTACAAACATCTATGGCAAATGGTGAACAGGAAATGTCCATAAACCTATAATTATACACAATACATAACATCCACACCGTTACAACTTACAACCACCTCTTTATACCCACTGTTTGCTATAACATGTACATGACAACTCTCCATGACTTTATCTTTGGCCATACTAGTTTCAATTAAATATCCAACTCTACAATGTACTAACACAACTAATTTTAAGACATTCACAGTGTATTTCATGTTGTAAGTTTGTACTCTACTTAGACCAGCAAAACCAATCGCACACAATGATGTATAAAAAATCAAAACTTAACTCCCTAACAATATAAAGAAAACAATTGATTAACAATCAAAGTGTGATATAATAAGTATTCCGTATATTAGTATTCATTAAATATTCAGATTAAAAACAATCTGAAGAAGGGGAACTCTTTTTGAATTAACAGATAGGTCATTCTAAACATAGTCTTTTTCATGTTTTACCTTTATTGGATAGCCAAATGGTGACCACATATATATATTCTGGTAATAATACAGAACACAACTAATGACAAAGTATTAAAAAATGTAAATATTATGATGAATAGATATTGGAAGCTATAACTCCAGTAGCCATTTTACACCAAGACAATGTACAAACAGTACATAGCAACTTGTGCAGCAGTTTTCGAACATTTTACATGGTGGGCTAATATGGTTGAAACATAAAGCTACAAAAGTAAAAATTTCTGAATAAATCAGCCCAGCCAACACATTACACAAATACTTTGCAGTAGGCAAGGCATTACACACACTGCAAGTTATTCAAATAAATCACTTTCCTATTTCAAAGAATAATAAATTAATCATAAGACACAACCATAAGATCATATTCTGATGAAGACTGCTGAAAACTGGTTATACACTTTACACAATCCATGATATCCATGCTTCATTACTATCAAAAACTACACAGCCATCTTTTTTATGATACGAACTGTCTAACATCTTGTGCCATATCTTTCCATTGCTTGGTAAGCTCTACGCCCTAAGTTTAGTATGTAGGGGGGGTGTACTGGTCGGTACCCCCTTGACTCTGGGGTGGGGGGCCACTAAAGGGGGGTTCTTGGTATGGATCATTGTCCCCTGGGTAGCTGGGGTAGGGTGAAGAGCCAACATTACTGGGGTCTCCATAGCCAGAGGAGAACATGTCAGACACACCTTGACGGTACTTCATCACGGCAAGGACAGTCAGACCAGCCTGAAATGTATAACTTCAAGATTACACCCACATATTTTCTCATCTATCAAGTACGTATTCAACTTGTAAATGCAAGTGATGTGTAGTCTCCACAAGGACATTCAAACAGGTAAATATATATATATGGTCTATATTAACTTGCATAGAGAGTAAACCAAGAAAATAGGAGTAGAGGAAGAAAATATAAAATAAAAATTAGTGCAGTTTTAGGGCAAATTACACCAATTACCATTACAAACTTTTTTATGGTACTCATAGTATTGTTCCTCCCATTATAGGATAGGGCAAACTCTTTGCCCCCCTCCCTTGATATCTTTGTTAAAAGCCCAATTAACTTCAAAAATAAAAATAACTTTTTCAACAGCTGTAATACAAGTAACAGATAAAGCTTATTATTTGATATAAGTTAATAATTATCTTAAGTTCTCTTTGTCTTTCATCAAGAATAAACAGGTTATCAGTTTCCTCGATTACTGACAAAACAGTCTGCTTTTGTGTCCTTGATAACAAACACCATATATATACAACACTAGTAAGCCAATAAATTAATCATTAAATCCCAAAAGTTGACCTAGTAACAAGACGTAAAACTGCCGTTTTTTAAATACTGTTAATATTTTTTCTGTTAAATAATTTCAACTCCTACAACAGAAGTATATTCAATAAAATGAGAAGTACAGTTTATTTAATACATGTTGAAGTAGACGGGGAAAACAGCAAATAGGATAACACACTTACTCAGACACTGAGATGTGTGAAACAAAAGGATCAATACTCTTCAAAAACAATTTTAAATATATCATCAATCACTTAAACCAGTTAGGCACCAATCATTTCAAAATGTCATAGGTATAACCTAATTCATAATTTTTGTGAGTTATGATTTCTTCCATGAATGTTGTGTTTAAGCTTTCTTTATTAACAAAATCCATATATTGTTTATTATATCCGCAGCTCTATATATGAAACTCATTAAAGAATTATTGGAACTGTAAACACATGATGCACCTGTCATGACATGAATCTTTTAATATAAAATATTGAACACCATGATCTCAAAGCCTGCATCAGTGAAGTGGTGACAAATGAAAAGAAGCATTTAATATAGCTCCAATGGTGCAATACAAAATCAATGAGTTATTATGTTGCAATAGTACTGTCAAACTGCCTGTGACTGAAAGTCAACACACTGACCTCAACCCAATCAATGTGATATAGAGTGGTTGTCAATCAATATGCAAGCATTGATCTAGCTCCTTTCTTACAATTATGCCCACAAATGCTACAGCACCGAGAAATCTTCAACTCAAGTATGCACTGAAGTGTTTGTTAACTAGGATAACAAACATTCATAATTTCTTGTAACAGAGAATGTAAAGTTTGCCAGCAAATGAACTTACATAATTGAATACTGTAGTGATATTTTCATACTTATAAGGAAATTGCCACTGGGAAGCAACATTTACAACTCTGTTAAATAGCAAGCTAATATTTAATATTCTCACTTCTGTCTGGTAGGACATAAATTAATTGATATTACTTGCACTGTTAACTTAAGCCATCATCATATATTTACTTTCTGATCTGGAAGTAACTGTTGTATTGTGTGTTGTAAAATGCAGCCTTAGTATTAAGTGCTTTACAATGTCAATTAAACATGGAAGGATGAACTTTTCTAGTATTATCATTCCTCAGTAATCATCTTCCTAAGAAAATTAATGAAGGAAATAAATAAATAAACAGCATGAACCAAGATCTTTTAGTTTTAGAAAAATCTTTACAGCTACACTGAATTCACTTGAGAGCAAAAAAATCAATAAACTATAAATAAATTCCATTTACTCTTATATAAAATCTATCGAATCAAGTCCACTACTTGACCTAAATAAAAGCAACATTTTTATTTTGATTCATTATGACATTTGACACAAGATTAGGCCAAATTTATATGACAATTTTAATTCTTTCTTTTTTTTTAAGGGAGCAGAAAGCTGTCTGAGCATAATTTCCAATAATGGTTTTACAAGTCTAAATGCTGCAACAACCAATCTTTCTTATTGACCAGTCCCTTGGGACACATTAATGGAAACCTTGCATTCTTTAAGTTTTGATTGTACAGGAGTTGTCAATCAATCAGGCTTCTATGGACAAAACAGAGCATCAGTCTGTTAAAAGTAGTATTTATTACAAACTACAAGATGACATTTTATATTGCTTAGAATAGCCACTGCACTCTGAATGCTAAAACTGAATTAATCTCATGATTCAGTATCACTGGCATGTTTTTAGATACATATTGAAAGCATGTCAGTATTAGATGAATTACTTCAATTTTAACACATTTGTACCCATTAGAAATGGGACCTATATGAACATGCAATTGCATGTGTATTTTATGCATTACTAGGTATTTACAGGCACTTAATAACCTTAAACCTAAATGGCTCAAATAAAGTAGTTTTTCCTACTTGTCTTCTAGCATGCTTTTTCATTTACTCAAAAATTTAGCAGACAATTTCTGTAGAGTGTTCAAACTATAGAAATATTTCAAAGCTTACCCAAGTTCCTATGGAGAAGAAAGAGAATGCAATGGCTGCCTGTGGATTGCTGACATTGACTGTATCTGGATGGTTAGATTTACTCCACTGGTTGGTCAGATAACAGAAGCCAACAAACCACAGGAATGTCCAGAAGCCTGTATGTGAAAAACAGGTAAAAGCAATAATATGTATGATGTATTCAAACACACACACATCAAGGAAGCCGTGTTTGATTATTGTAAGATTGCTATTATTCTGCTCTGACTTTTTGCTAACATACGAGTTGATTTAACATGTCTTACCTGAAAATGCCATATCTGCCATGACAACCATCTTCCTCTGTTGGACACTGCTTAGGTTTTCAAACAAAGCTTCCAATATAAGGAAAACAATGCAGGCCATGAAGGCAATAACTCCTGTTGCAATGCCATAGTTACAAGCATTTGGATCATTGTTGTACACACATTGCCCCTCATAGTAGCCTCCCACTGGACTTGATATACAGCCAAACACAATTATGGAGAACAGCTATAAGAGATGACAAACACACAATTATTCTAGCATATATATGTACATTGCTATCATAATCAAACTTATGAAATAAATGTTTGGAGGGGGGGGGGGGGGGTCCCCAAACCAAAAGAATGTTGAATTGATCAGTAAGAAGTGTCACTTTGTCTCCATTTGTAGAAGTACATACAAAATAATGTATGCACAAAAGAACTACATGTGCATATATCTTGACTTTCTTTTTCCCAAATGTGCCCCAATATGGCATATATATAATATATATGCAAGTATACTTGAATTCCTAATTTCATTGTGCATTGATATATGCTCACTAAATGCACAAAGAAATCAGGGCATTCAATACAGCTCAGGACCTGTGCTATATTTTATGGGCACATTTGGGACAAAGAAAGCCAAGGTATGTAGTATCGCTATGCACTTTTTTATGTTCTGTACTTCTCACAATTTGACATGAAAACAGACCAAATGTTGATTTTTATTTACCTACTCAATGCAATTCCCATTTGTTCATATGTGCACATATGTAATGAGTACAATATACATAACTATAACATTGGGACTCATAAATGTAATTGCTTCTTATATCTATCCTTGGCTCAAGGGCAACGGGAAAGAAAGCTACTAGTATGAAATAAAAACCAAAATGAAACAAAATGTAAAAGTCAACACTAATAAATACAAAGCAAAACAACAGAATATGATGACTAACAAAATATGACGTTAATATTCATGGACAGCAATAAGTACAATGTCATCCTTTTCATTTCACAAATACAGGTGATATTGATTTTATTGAAATAAATATTCTATATAATTATATCCATTAATTGCCATTTGAAACCAAGATTACGTCATAAGTTCTGGTGAAAGTAAAGGCATAGAATCAACACCTAGTACAAAATTTACTCCAATTATTGATCACCTCGAAATGCTAACTTTCGTTGTTCAAATTGCGCATAGATCCACCATCTAAATTGCTGTCTATGCAAGACCACGCAAACCAGGGCCATGACTTTTACAATTATTTAACCTGGAGATTGCAAAAAGCATAAATATATCTCTGTTTCATGCAGCTCAGACACACTTACCAAACTAAATAGTCTAAGAATCACACTTGGTTTCTTGATAAAAGCTATGGCATCAAACGAGCCACCAGCCATCCCTGCTCCATAAGCTTGGCCTTCCATCTTGAAACTTCTAAATTTAGCTCTCACAAAGATATCATGTGCTGGTGACGTCAAAAGTTAGGTTGGTGTAAAATATGACACTTATTTGAATGAGCATTCATAAAATTTCTGTCATAAATATCACACAACAATGTAAAATATTACCCATTCATTTTATTCAAAGTGATAATTCTTACTTTTTTCACACTTTCATTTATCACAGATAACACAATCATTGATGACGTGTGCGGAAATATTGCACCACGAGCCACCAACATCCGGGTATTTATATCTCGGCGCCATGCTCTATGTTACATATCCACTAGCTAGCAGACGGTTTTACTTCGCAGTACACAGAAAGATTAANAACAATGCCCCGATTATGCTGATTTTCAAACTCAACCTGCATTTTAATAAGATTGACCACTCCTGTGAGTTTAATGACAATTGGCCCATCTGTTTTTCTTATATTGTGTTTACAGGGTTGCATATATGCTGAAAAAAGTGAAAAAACAGCACAACTTCCCTTAAAATGGCCCGATCATGCTGATTTTCGAACTTGACCTGCGTTTTATGAATATTCATCAGCTCTGTAAATATTAAGCCAAAAAGTAAAACTGCCCTCCACTTATCGTGTTTACAAGGAAAGTGCACGGCGCCGGCGACGGCATCGGCGACGACAGACGCAGGTGATGGCAATATGTACAGACACATCTGTGTCTGTACATAAAATATTTAATTGATTAGAAAACGGCATTCAGGATCATGTCTTCAAAGACCACGGATAATACCCAGGACGTTTGTCCTCTCTGTAACGAAGAGATCAAGTATTTTGCGATTGGAAAATGTAATCATCCTGTGTGTTTCAAATGTGCTACCCGAATGAGGGTCTTGTGCCAGCAGAACTATTGCGCTATTTGTCGAGCTGAATTACAAAAGGTTTGTTTATTTCTCCCTCTCAGAACTCAGTCAGGAGTTTTTTCAGTTATAACACATTTGTTTACAATTTCGAGATAATTATATTTCTGAAGGGGTTTCTGAAGTACTTGTCTGGAGGTTTGGGATAATCAACCTCTGGAACGCCCATTTTCAGTTTAACAATAATATATACATATATGTATATGTGTTAGTTCATTACTGTGCTAGAGTGTCAAAAGATAGGTGCAGTTTAAATTGAAATGGCCCCACACTTGCCTGTTATTTAAAGTCTGGAAATGAAGGTCTGCAACTCATAGAGGCATTGATTTGCGTTGTAGACTAGGTTCCCACACCTAGATCGATCTAACAGGATCGACCCATCTCCTAAGAGTTTCTTGCTGAATTGCTTTCAGCTTCAGCGGCTTAGATGTCTGGCACGCACATTGAAAATGATAATTAATTACCCCCTAGAAGCTTTAGTAGGCGCGACAGACATGTAAGTTGCTTAAATTTATTACAATTTAGTGAGAATCCTCTCCGAGATAGATTGATCAACAGTTAGTATGATGGGGTCTGGGAATGGTCCCGTAGCTCATTAATTTAGGTTACCTGTGAATTTTAGTTGTCCTTTATGTCTACATCATATTGGCATACTGTAGCTTGTATGGCAAGGTCTTATAAGAATGTGATGATCATGATGCTATATCTTTTTTTTTATTTGTAGATGATCTACTCTTCGAAGCCACATCGTTATGATAGCTTTATCTTACATCAGCTCACTGCTGCCAGAAAATACAATATTTACTTCGAAACCAGGGCTATTCAAAATACCTTCTATGAAATACAAGAACACAAATGTCCAATATGTAAAGACAGAAAACCTGACAGAACGTTTCAGCAAATGAGAGATCATATGAGGAGAGATCATGGAAGGCAGTATTGTGATTTATGTGTCAATCATCTAACGGTAAGAATTAAATTCATATTAATCACAATTTGCAGCACTCAATGTTTTTAAACTGAAGTGACTTGCATCAGAAATACCAGTTTTTATGATTAACTTTGTGAAATAGACAAGATGGGGGAGGGGGGGGAGATGAACCAGATTGATATATGAACAGGACAAAATATATTATTTACCTGTTACATTTTACCAACTAATTACTTTTGGAAATGAAATATTATCTAGCCAAACTACAAGTGTTACATTTCTTTGTTCATGAATACGTTCAATTATTTTTAGATATTTTCATCAGAGAGGAAACACTATGACAGAAAAGATCTGGCTACTCACCGCAGACTTGGGGATGTTGATGACAAGTCATACAAAGGCCACCCAAACTGTGAATTCTGTGATGTGCGTTACTTTGATAATGATGAACTACTGAAGCATCTTAGGAAAGATCACTATTTCTGTCATTTTTGTGATACAGATGGACTACAAGACTATTTTGAGTAAGTCCAAAAATAAATAATATCATATGAGATGAGTGTAATAGTAGGTACATTTAACTTGGAGCTGTGATTGCACAAAAAGGTTTATGCTGTCATTAAAATGATGAAATGGTCTTTAACATTGAATTTCATATCTAGTTAGCTCTCTTTTGTTGGGGAGCATACTGTTTGTGAATAACATAATAGTTTTGATATTTTTACAGAAACTACAAGGATCTTCAAGATCACTTTAGGGGACAGCACTATCTTTGTGAAGAGGATGAATGCAGGGGCGTTCAATTCACCAATGCATTTAGAAGTGACATAGATCTGAGAGCCCATAAGGCCACTGAACACACTAAAGCAATGAAAAAAGCTCAGGCTAGGCAAGCTAGAACCTTGGACATAGAATTCAATTATGCACCAAGAGAAAGTCACAGAGGCAGAGGAAGAGGTAAAAGTGAAATGCAGTAATTTGAAAAGATTGAAAGATATTATAATTTTGAAGATACGCTGTAGCTTAAAGTCTTGTCTCTTAGCATTTTGGTCCCTGTTGTTGTTCATGTTTCGTGCTATTGTAAAACATGGTGGTAAATAGCAATATTATGTGTGCACTTTATTCAGATAAAACTAAATGAAATTACCATTTACTGTGTATTACACAAAGTACATAATGATATTTTAGGTGTTATAAGCAGAGAAGACTACCAAGAAGTCATAAATAATGCAGAAAAGCAATTAAAACAGGCACAGAATAGGGGACATGGGAAAGGGAGGTAAGCTAGAAATTTATCTGTGAGAATGTGCTCTTAGACTGTAGATTTCCTGCCTTGTTGCTAAAAAGGTAAATCCCACCTGCGCATTCTCCCAAGTTTTCATACTCATATGATGTCACATAGTAGCAACATCTTGGATGATTTCCAATGGATTGTGCTGGTCTTGCCATAAATAACATGATACATGTTAAAATAAATAACTAACATGAATGTGTCCACTTGTTTAGTATTCAAATTGTAAAATTGGGACTGGAAAAACACTTGTCTGTATAGGATTTCATCTCCAAATTGAAAATGCTATTCTTCTTAAATATTGAAAAACAAAGGGATGCAGTCACCAAATTATTGTATTTTTTAAAGCAAGCATAATAAAATGTCTGTTTTCATTGTGTTGACAGGATGGATACTGAACTGGAAGCAGGTATACAAGCATCCATGGCAGACATGGAAAAGAAGGCAAAGTCGCGCAAAAGTAAGAGAGATTCTGAAGAAGCTGGAACACAGTTTAAGCGTACTTCAGCTGACTTCCCATCCTTGAGAGATGAAGACACTGCGACTAATAGTGAGACAGACTCCCAAGCACCTGTTCAGTCAAAAACTAGTTCAATGGCACAGAGGTTTGCAATGGCTAATAACTTCTCAGTTGCTGAAGGTGGATTGACTCAAGAGGAATTTCCATCTCTTGGAGGCAGCAGTAAGAGCAATAGTACTATAAGGAAAGTACCTGTTAAAAATCAACAGGCTTGGATTAATACAAAGGCATCTTTAGAAGAAGATTTTCCTGCTTTAGGTCCAGGAGATGGGGCACCGTCTATCACAAAACAAATGTCCAAGGTGAAACAGAGACCTAGTAATGCACCCACTGTGATAGGAAATATTGCTTTGAAGAACACTCAGTTAAAAAGTAGTCTGCCTCGTCCTTCAAGTTTAAAAGAAATATCCTCATTGGTAGCCGAGGAAGATTTTCCTTCACTGGGCAAATCTGACCCCCAGATTGTACTCAATACTAAGTGGGTGAAACCAGTAAAAGAAGCAGAGAAAGAAGATGAGGTTCCTTTCATGAAAGTATCCACCAAAAAGAAGAAAAAGAAAAATAAAGCTGCAGGCACAGATTGTCAGAAAACATCTGAGGAACAGAAAAGTCACGGAAAAACTGAATATACTGAGAGTTCTAGTTCTAGTTTAGAAAACAAGGAGCCTCTGGAAAAGAAAAAGAAGTCTTCCAAAAAAGAAAATAAAAAGGAAGAAAATGATGCTGCAAAAGAAGAATCTGGCTTTGATCTATACAACTTGCCCTTCAAAAAGCCTTCACCACCACCACCACCAGAGGAAAAGCCACTTATAGTATACAAGTCTGTTTCAAAGAATCCACCACAGCCACAGATTCAACGAAATTTAGATGCTGACTTTCCTAGTTTATTGAGCACTGTCCAACAGCCAAGTAAACCACCACCTGGGTTTAGTAAGGGCGATAGCTGTGCCACTAACTTCAGCAGGCCTCCCCCAGGATTTAATAAAACAGTTGCCAATCCCCCACCTGGCTTCACAAGCCCACAAGTACCCAAACCACCACCTGGCTTCTCAAACCCACTGAACAGTGTGGAAAATATTTCGAAACAAGATAAGGTGACATTGTCTTACATACAGCCTGCTGATTTCAAGCAAAGAAATCAGAAGTTGATGAAATTAATTTTAGACGGCCTCCAGGATGAAGTTAAGTTTGGGAAGTTTAAAGGGTGGTCTGGTGAATTTAGGAAAGGTTTACTGCAAGCAGGAGAATACTACAGACATTGCCAAGATCTGTTTGGGGAGAAACAATTTGACACAATTTTCCCAGAACTAGTCACTTTACTGCCAGACGTATCTAAACAGAATGAGCTACTAGAAGTCTACAATACTGCAGTTGATAAGAAAAAGAGTGATGTGCTTCAGATTCGTGCCAAGAAAAAAGGGTGGGCCTCTGGAAATGCGGTGCTTTTTACTCCTTGCCATATATGTAATCAGGTTCTCTTAAAGGAAGACTCTGAAATGCATTTGGCAGCTCACGGTTTACATACAGACTTTCCATCTTTAGGTGGGATAGCAGCTTCATTGTCTAGTGCAAAAAAGTGATTATCTGCTAGTAAATATGGTTTCTAACTGACATAATATTATTTGTATTTACATGGTGTGATAGTATTGTACTTAAAATCAAGTTCCTGGAAGGTAATTATTCAAATAATGAACTTTACAATTGAATCAGATTGTAATATCATCAGTTTTTACAGTTGATTTGGAATATCTTAGATTTAAACTTTTTGTTTTGCTTATCTCTTAAGTAGTATGAACATAAATTTACATAAATATAACTTGTCTTTTATAGTTATGATTAAGCAAAGGTAAAGTCATTATTACTTACTGGGTATGTGGCATTTGCTTTCAAATTTACAGGACTTTTTATAAGGGTGAACTTTTGGCTTACTCTCCAGCAGTTGTATTGAGTACACCTGTTACTTACAGAACTACTAGTAAAGCAGTGAATGAATTATTTATCAGCAGTGATCTTGTATACTGCAATTAAGGATATCATTACAATAAAGGTTGGTGTTACAACTTTCGTTTTTTCTTTGTGTGAGGGTAATATGCTTAATTAGATTTTACTGCTTTTTTAATAGTTTTTGATAATGGGGGGGGGGGAGGTTAAAATATGTACTAGTTACTACACTAGTCATCTCCAGTGAATGCAACAATGTCATATAAGACCATAATAACATTGAAGTGCAGCCAAGATATAATTTGCTCTTATTTGGCGCATTAAGTGGATGAGTTGTTGCAACTGACTTATCCCAAGGCAGGCGCTTCAAACTATAGGATGACTGCTCTTCAGAGTGCACCAAATAAAATACAGGAAAGCCTTTTTTTCCCTGCTTATTGTATTGCATGGGTCACTGGAGTAGGGAATTCCCCGTGCTAGTTCTGACACATGTCATCCTTCAGTCACTCTTTACAGTATATGTGCTTAAATAGTAATAAAGGAGCTCATCTACAGTATAATCTGCTTTTGATTACATTTGGCTACATATGCAATTATCCTATTGTTTTAAGCATCTGCTGTGGGATAAATGTTGGTTACAACTTAAAGCAAACGAGTCCCACCTTGTGCAGTCATGATTTGTGTCAAAACTATATCATGATATTTGGAGTAGAAGCAAAAATTGAAGCAATTATTTATATTCTTCTAAGATATTGTTCCAAAAGACGAACGGCATATGATTTTAGTATTTTAATCCTGATAGTTTCATACATGATCTCACATGAAAGGTTAGAGCCTTTGGCATATCAGCTTCAAGTAGGCACACTCGCTAGGAGTAGCTGGAATAGCTTCAAATTATTATTTTCTAAGCTTTGTCATCCCCAGTGCTAAAGAAAAAATGTAATTTATATATATTTCAATATCTTTAAACTGGAACTTCTTTCTTAACTGGTGCCTTATAAATATTCTATTGACTAATAAAGTTAGCAATCCACCACAATTTAAGGTTTGTTAGCCCATTCAACTGAATACCAACACTAACAGCTAACTCCTCTTCGAAATGTGTTCAGTTCTATGAAGGGGATGGGTGCTTTACATCTGCGCAAAACTTGTTTTTGATGATTATTGCCTTTAAAATTTAAATAACAACTGGCCCTAGCATCACAAATAATTTATCACTTCTAAGAAAATGTGGGCTCATTTTAGTTAAGAAACCAAATGAAAGATGGAGAAAGCACTCTTGCAATACCCTAAGAATGCTTTGCTTCGCATTTGTATAGCCAAGCTGTGCTTTTGCAATGCCAGTTATGTAGCAAAATAATATTCCCCCAAGATCTTGCTCTTCAGCTGCCAAGCTGTTGTTACATAACATAAACACTATGTATCTGTCACTGTTCTCAAGAAAATTTGGATAATTATCAAACGATTACAAGATCATTGCTTCTGTAAAATGATATCTTAAAAGGTTTTAGAAAGTTATCCATGAACTGAGCAGTGTGAACTAATAAGACTGAAAAATTTTAAGTACTATTCTTTATAATTTTACATGGTTGATGGGTAACAGTGTTGACCCTTAATTACTTAATCGGGTATTGATTTGTGAGAGTAACTAACCATATCACAGATAAAAATTCCAGCAACAGAGTCAAGTATCCAAGCAAGATTTTGAGGGAAGTTTAAAGCACCTTAAATATGTATTCCTATATATATATATACTTAATATATATATGTGTGTGTGTGTGTGTATATCAGCTACAAGAGTCCAGTGATAATCAGCTAAATTTCAACAAAGTCCCAAGCAAAGAAATTACAGAAAGCAATTCTTGTAAATAGCTTGCTTTCACATATGGATATTCTGAGAAGACTGTCAAAATAATTACAATCTAAACTATGAAAGTTGTCTGAAAAAATTGTGCAGGTTTCAAAACTCAATGGGTTTCACTTGCTTCGCAGGAAAATCCCTGTAGAATACTAGAGACTGAAGTCATTCAGTTTTCTTAAATGTTATTAAGGATCTATCCCTGTGATTAATCATCTTTTCTAACCTAATTAAACTCATTTCTACATATATATGTATATACAGTCTGTACATGTCAATAATATCTATCATATATTCTCTTCCAAGTACTTGTTGTCAATCAGAAGTTGGGTTTCCCAGTAAGTGGTACTTGGTTGCCTAGTAAAATACTGCCTCACCCATGGTGTAGACAAAGCATGCAATACACTACAAGAAAACCCCTTGATAAACAGACAAACAAGATAACTAGCTATATTTGTGTCTGATGTTTTCTTGACTGTTGCTTATCTGCCTTGACAAATACAATTGTCACTGTGAGTGTATTTGTAAGTGTAAAAAAACTTGTTTGTTACTTGTCTAAACCAATGCTGTGGTCTGATCTGACCTTATTGTATTTAATTCTATTCTATAAAAGTTTTACCACAAAGTTCAGTGTTACAAAAGCATGCATCCTTTCTTTTTCTTAGGCTTGGGTGTTGGGCACAGCACAGCACGAATTGCTTCATCAAAAACTGTTTTAAGTCCCTTCTGTGTTAAGGCTGAGCACTCTAGATACTTCACAGCTGCAATTTCTTTGGCCATTGCCAGGCCTTGTGGGTACGTGATAGGTGACAATTTCTTCTCCTTCAGTTTCTCCACAGTTTCCTTGTCTTCCCTCAAATCAAGTTTTGTGCCCACCAGGATAATTGGGGTATTGGGACAGTGGTGGCTGACTTCAGGGAACCACTAGCAAATAAAGAATATATGTGTCACTGGTACATTTGTTACTATGGAAGGAAGTCATTACTTGAAATTAAAATCTTCTGACACATTTTCCTAAAAATCGGTTATTTGTATTTGAAATATCAAAAGTGATACTGAAAGTACTTGACACAAAGTATTTAGAAAGGGGCTACAATTTAGTCTGCAGTTCAGTTCGCTGTATATAATGTCTTGTGAATCTAATAAAATGCAAATGACGAATAAAAATGTTGCCACCCACACATTAACTAGGGAAAAGGCAATTCAGAGCATTTTGTATATACTATGTGCACTTTAGTTCCTTTATTTTACCTTAGCTCGAACATTTTCAAATGAGGCTGGGCTGATCAGGGAAAAACAAATCAAAAAGACATCCTGAAATATACAATATTACATACTTTAGCACCAAGATGTAACCAAAATTCAAACATTGAACAAACCATTTACACTACATTTGCCATTTTATATATTAGGAGCATTCTTTATCACTGGTTTGAGATTTTATGGTTATAGCTTATATAGTGATACATTTTATAAATGTACAAAAACATAAAACACCTCAATGTGGAACAGTATATTATAAATGAAATATCTATGGACTAAATCCTCCATTACAAGTGATAGGCAAATACTAGTAAAGAGCCGTTGAGTGCAAAGCAGGAGTGGATGTAACAAACACCTTGCCAAAAAGTGGTGTATCAGACTCATACTATGGCGGATGTTGAAGACAAAACACCCAGGTGTGTTGCAACTCATACTCATGTGACATGTACAAATACAACATCCACCACAGCTCAATCATTTGTTCTTGACATTTGCAGAGGTATAATGCTGAGTTAACTTACTGTCTGTGGATAGGACAGAGGTCGTAACCTGTCGTAGTCTTCCTGTCCAGCTGTATCCCATAAGCCCAAATTAATAGGCTTGCCATCTACCATTACATTGGCAGAGTAGTTGTCAAACCTGCAACAGCAACACTTCATGTCTCACAATATGCACTTCACATTATTACACTTTCAAGTCTAAAATACAGTACAAAACCCAGTTAGTTATTTTGTGTGCATAAATTCATCAATGCGAACAAATTAGATTTCAAAACAATCTGTATTAAAAGAGATGTCATCCAGGTTTTGAACAAACAACTCTATCCAAGACTCCAACTTTTTACTATCATCTTAGATAAGCGACTAATGAGGTATCTTATAGACAAAATACTGTAACTTCACTGTTTACTTACACTGTTGGGATGTATTCCCCTGGAAAGGCATTTGTTGTGTAGCTGATGAGCAGACAAGTTTTACCTACAGCACTGGAAAGAAACACATTTCATTTTCAGGATTAATGAAATAAAGCAGTAAGTACGTATGCATAAAAACATGGGCATTTTATTTTCATTAGGGCAGATAGGATCTGATAAATGATTTATTGGGTACTTTGCATGATCAGGGCAAAGGGAAATAATTGACTTTATACCCAAAGAAATTCGAACATAGGATAAGGATGAATCGGAGTCTGAATTCCACTTAACACCAGTTTACTTAAGCACTAAGCATTCAAGAAAATACAAATCATATCACAATCAAAATGCATCAGATATTACTAATACATAAGCTGGCAGCATGGGAGATCACCATTAACTCACTAAGGTACTGTTACTCTATAATTAGTTTTACAAGTGTCCTAAGTGTATGTCAGATAGGACAGGTGGAAGTCACACTTTCATGGATGTGGTCTGCCATTCAGTGACAGCACTTGGTTCATGGCTGTGATCACTGTCCTCAATGATTCACAGATATAATGATTCTGTGGCTTGTGAACTGGTACATGACTCAGTGGTAGGAAATATGTCAACAAAACTCACATGTCTCCTCAGAGAAAAAAAAAGATCCATAACAAAGAAGTGGGTAAACATTAAAACTTGCTGTCTACTATAGCAGGTTAATTTCTTCAGCCCCACTGATTAAAAGAAAACCGGCTGTAGAATAAGTATTGGGTGCATTTTGGGATGGCATTCAGTGAAAAAAATAATTTCTCCCCCACCATGAAGTAACCCCAAACCAGTTTCTTATGAAAACTTTCTTGTTAATGTTGATAGTTCCAACGCCACTCATTACTTCCTCTAGTCTTTGTTAAAACTTTGCAACAATACATAACAAACTATTCCTTTCAATCAGAGGTCAATTGTGTACAGATCTTCTTTGACATCTTTAAAGATAGTATTGGTACAACAAGGCCATGGGGAATTTTTTTTCAATCAGAATAAAAGACCATTTGTGTACAGATCTCCTTTGACATCACTATATTTAGTATTGGTATAACAAGGTCATGGGGTATTTAGTTGTGACTCACTCAGCCTGACAAAATATGCTGGCAGTTCCTGTACCAGGCAAGTTGAGATATGTGTTCATTCACAGTGTTCAACTAAGATCCACATGACTGACACACAGCACAGAGAAGTTCAACTGACATGAGTCAATGACAGCATGAATGCCACCACTGGCTGTTGACACCAACCAATTCTGACCCAAGGAGTTCAGCTTTTCTGGAACCCATTACTGACAGTGGTGGCAATAATTCTCATTAAACATGCCTAAAATGCAAAGTGGAGCATCTACATTGATGAAGATACCCCTGGACACACTTTGAAGAAGTAATGTGATTGCAGAGTTGGAAACTGTGACTTTTTACACCTTCAAACAACAGGACAAAATAACTCTAAAAGTACTATCACACAAATAAGTGCCAAATAGACTATGGATTCACAGAAATTGAGCATTAAAATGTTGAAACACAACCTGGAATTGTTGACAGATATTGTTCTATTAATGACAGGAAGCTGTTTTGACATTTTTCTTTAAATCTTTGGTTCCACTGTGCAGTTCGTACAAATACTGCTTTACTTGGCAGTCTTCATGTCATTTTTGAAGACATAAGTTCAATAAGCATGCAAACATGAAGCCTAATGAGTTTTCAACTTGACTTATGTTTTGAATTATAAAATGTACAGATATTTCAAGACAAGTCATGTTTGTGCACTGCCAAATTCCATGGCCAATTATCTGACTGGAACAACTTCAAACCTCCTGCCCCTTTCAACCACATCAAATCACATTCCAGTATGGTCACTGCAGGGGAGAGCACTAATGATAAACCAGACAGCAGAGGGTCAGCTTCAAAAAGATAAAAACAAAATGCCAAACACTGACAGCAGGATCATTTAGATACTTGACACAGGTCATTTCTCCCTTGTTGATAGCAACCCTGTTTAAATCTTAGATTTCATATACATGTTGTTTTAAAGTATAGTCTGATTACTTCCTTCAGTGTTGGCTGTTATCAGAGGAATGTTATCAAGCTAAAATAAACAAGCTACAAATGTGTTAACTTGCAAAATTAGCCCTGTTTACGTGGAACAGATGGGTGCATACCAGTATAGAACCCAGTCTAGCAAGAAATTGACCCCATTACCCCATACAAATACTTGGGTATTTGTGCATGTGCACTGACTTTGTTCTTTTTCAAACCAATTTTATTATATGTGAACAGTATGACTGACATTATCGACTTTATAAATTGCCAGCGCATGCAGATATCTTATCTCAACATTAATGGTGCTAACCAGATATGTCATAATAATATGCATTGAGGTTAATAATGGTGTATGCAATATATTCAGATATGAAATACAGAATTTTACAGATGACATTTTACATCATGTTTATTAAAGAGCATATTCAAAAGTGAAATGTCAAATAAATGGTATTTTAAATAAATTTATATTTTTAAACAATGGAGTGACTCTTTAAGTTTATCTTAATTCCGGTTTAAGCATAGCTATCACCTGATAACTCGTTGCATATTTACTAGCAATGATATAATACTGACCTTGGTTTCAAAACTAGCATAAAATATTCAATGGCTAAAAATAGCCTAGTTTGAAGACCAAAAGGAAAATGTTTAACTTTCTTTAAAATTAATTCAACTGTGTTCTGATTAAATGGATGGTTTGGCCAAAACTGTACCTAGTGAGAAATAGTACAGACACTACTGTGACCAACATAATGTTGAAAACAGATTTAGAGAATTTAAAATAATGAGATATGCACTCCTTTTTGTTTGATATATAGTATGTATTGAATATTTTGTCTGTTAGAACTTACTGTCCATAAGAAAAAACAACATACACAATTAAAAAGTGTGAGTTACTATGGTTTCTGCTTCTTTCCAAATTAACTCATTTTGTCAACAATTATATGTCATATTATTATATGAAATCATGTTCTTTACAGTGTGTTCATTATACACTTACTATAGTAGACATGTTGATTGACAAATCTTAACCAATGAAAATAAATGAAATCACAGTAATTAACAATATTCACACATCACAGCGTAATGTAGCTCTAAATCTGATGTATCTATTCAAATTATACCAGACCATAACTTAACTGTAAAACTCACTCACATAAAGTATTGGATGAATAATGATTGAGGAAAATTAACACCTCCATTCATATTCACTGAGCAAATAATCCCCAAATTGAGAGAATTTTTTTGCACTAGGGCATCTCACAAATAAAATGGGCCAGGGTGCAAATTTGGCTAGCCTGATTTATATTTCACAAGCTAATAATTCGTCATTTTATTTCCTGGTTTACAGTCATTCAAAGATAATGGTTATAGTCCATGGTCTGATCTCCATTTCATTTTCTGATGTAATTAAGGTTAAGGTTGACAGGGTTTTAAAGGCAATGTCACATCGATATCTTATTCAACTTCAATTCCAATGAGTACTTCTAGTGTAAGGAAGTTGCAGGGCATTCCGATGCATAACTTGATAAAATTCATCATTTAAAACAATAGTTCAAATTAACTAAAGTGTAGTATAAGTAAATGGTAACTCAGTGCACACGTAAACATGAATAACCACCACGCTTTCAAGTTAACGACACTTCACTATGAACATGATCAAAAGGTTGTGTGATCATCTGAATGCCATAACGTAACGGGTGACGGAATGAGGTTAAAATGCTCGAATTTAAAATGAATTTTACGACTTCAAAATCGTACTTACCCGTCTCCTACGACAACACACTTAATTGCTTGCATTTTGTGTTTTGTTTGGAATAAATTCGGGCTCTTAACAGCTCACCGATGTCTACAAAACACGTCGACTTTTAATGTGCTATACAAGGAAGCCAACTGCTTTTATCGGGGTGTGAGCAATATGGCGGTATATATAGCACCCCCAGCGTTGTTTCTATTTTTGGTAACAGTCTACGGACTTTGCCGAGTCTAAAAATATACAGGGCCACGCAAAACAATCTAAAATTATGAAAATGAGTAAAAAAAGGTTGTTAGATACATGTATTTTTTACATAAACAATTTATATACACAAAATGGTACTGAGTTAAGTATAGTAAAATGCAACTGCCTTATGAACAAAATTTTCCGATGCTTTAAGTGGGGCACCTGTAGGTCATGTGACAACAACATAAACTCAAAATGGCCGCAGTGTGGCAGCAGGTTCTTGCTGTGGATGCAAGATTCAATGCATATAGGGTGCCAAATAATCCACAGTTTAGTAAGTTTGTGCAGATAAAAAATCATCAATTTTCACAAAATGTTCTTTAGAATAATTATGAATATGACGTAGTGGCGAGTGGATACTCAGTTATATTATTTAAAATTTATTAAAACATAATACAGTATCCGTATACCTACCTGTAGTATACCTTTAGTTTAAATCTATTAACAAAGTGATTTTCTAGTCTTGTTACATTTCAGGAACTCTGTACATTCGGCGGCGAAGTCAGTTGCTAAGGGAGAATGCTAAAGAAGAGGTAAATATAGCATCAGTATCTTTAACTGCTACACAGTGTAATCAGCATATGGGTGCAAACTGAACACCTCCTCCCCAGCTCCTCCCTCACTCACTCAGTGAATTTAGATCCTTCAGAATTTGTACCATAAATCAGATGTCTTTGAATTAACATTAGACTGAAAGTGATACAACTGACGAAGGCTTAACACTCCAGCAATACACTTTTAATCCTTAAAATCTGATTTAGATTAGACATAATGAATTACAAATAATTCAGTTTCTTTTATTAATTATCAGGTTTTTGATGCATAAATTTTGTCAGATATATATGATATTTGAGATGAATACACAGTATCCTCTATTCTAGCATGATCCTTTGGTTCGAAAAGAATATCTGAAACTAAGAGCGCAGCTGCTAGCAGAACGTTACGGAACACCTCCCCTATCTGATCAGGGGTAAGTTTTTTTCAATATAGCAAAAATTTGTGATCAATTTTTGTGTCATATTTAAAAGTTTTCTCTCAATCCATATTGTGGGTATATTTATATCTTAATTATTGTTGTAATTTTTGTAGGAGTATAAAGAGCCGCAGCATCAGCAGAAATGAGGTAATATCTGCTATGGTAATATATAATCATTGTGATATTATATTTGTGAAGAATGTTTTCTTAATACAGAGAAGTTGTTTTCAGTTTTTGTATTTCAAGCTTAATTACTGTCTGTAATACCAATTCAACTGTAAAATTAAATAGAATATTTTTTTTTGAAAAGTTGGAAAGTGTCCCGTACGTGTAGAGTTTCATGTAAATGTACAATAAACCTCTGAACATTATAAAAAAAAAAAAAAGATGACAGTCAGTGCAGTTTCAGATCATTGAAACTGCAGACTCTGCTGATGCACCCCATAAATGGTATAATTAATATTAGTCATAAAACCCCTGATTTTACGCTCATGTGTTTGTGTGTATTTTTATATTCAGAGTTTTGACTCTGCTGATATGGAGGGTCGCACCAGGAGGAGATATCAGAGCAGTAGCAAACTGTCTCCACATGGGAACATACTGGAGGGGGTGGTACCTACACATGCTGCAGAAGCCAGCAGGTGATTAACTTACAGCTGCATGTGAGCTTGTATATATTTATATATATATATATATATATATATATATATATATATATATATATATATATATATTAGACAAGTCAGATGACTGACTGAGTTTTTAAAACTTTTAATGCAAAATGTAAATTAGTGTTTTTCTAATTGTTTATGAAGCTAACAAGCTATTAATTCCTGGCAAACATATATATAAAAGTCTAGTTCTGTAAGTAGACAAGGCCGTTTTATAGATAGACCATATGTAAAAATGGAATTATGATTTTAGAGCCATGGCTGGTGGAAAAACCATAAGTGAAAACTATGCCTTTGCTGGGATGCATCATATTTTTGACCAGCACAAATCTGCAGGTAAACTCTAACCCTGTTGATCTGTGGAGATTAAATGTGAAGCCTATAATCACATTTCTAAACAAATATATTTTTATGGATACTTATAGATTGGACTACATATTTGAATCACATAAATGCTTGATTATCACCATGCATCAAATAAAACACACAACTGTGTTGATAAAATCTGTGTCAGTAACACAAAGTTTTTTTGTGTGTGTTTTTCAGTTGTGCGAGTAGAATTTGCTCATGATGACAAGTCGCGTGTGGCTTGTTGTTCCATGGATGGCCAAATCTCTATTTGTCAGGTTATCCCTCCCCCAGCCACTGTGATCTGTGTCCTGACTGGGCACACAAGTGGAGTCACAGGTAACCTGGTTTGCCATTTTAAAAATGAGCATGCTAGGTAAATTAATATATTCTGAAATAAGCTTGTTAAGTAAATTAATATATTCTGTTGCAGAATTACTTGTGGTCATGCTTGAATTGATACTGGTTGGCAAATTTCAGTTAATTTTTGGAATTTTTTTCATTTGTTCTGGTTCTTACATTTAGGATTTTCAAGGTACATTTTGTTAGCAAACTAAATTTAAATCCAAACAAAGTTATGTATTTCATTAATTGAATTTGATTTCTAAAATATATTTCTTCTTAAGTAATTTTTTTCATATTTATGCATTAAAATGTTTCATGTTTAACTTTGTTATATGCATTTGTTTTTTATTTTACCTTTAGACTTTGCCTGGTCTGTCTCCAATGACATCCTCTTGTCCAGTTCTTTAGATGGCACAGCTCGTCTGTGGGAGGTTGCAGGAGGCAAGTGTATCAGGACAGTGGAGGACGCAGCAGGGGCAGAGGTCTTGTGCTGCAAGTTCCAGCCTTCAAATAACAACATGTTTGTTGTATCCTTGTGTAAAATTCTTCTCTCTGACTTTTGTATTTGGATTAAACTTCAATAATGTAAAAATTTACACTGCATTACATTTTGCTTTAGTTGGCAGTTTACTGTAAGACCAATGTGTCATTTCTTCCTACTTTTTTTCAAAATGATGTCTGCATTCAATTTTAAATCAAAAGATTTTTTTCTTATTTCAGATTTTGTTGATTAAATTGCCCTGTATGCTAGAAACACTTGAAAAATAGCTGTATCATATTTACTGTTATGGAGCACATAATAGTAATATCTGCCAGAAATTGACATTCTAAAAAATGGTTGAGCAAGTTATATAAAACATATATTTCTTAACTCATAACTTAGATTGGTACCAGCAAATGTCAAGTCAGTATGATGAATGTTTCAACAGGTAAATGTGTAAAGGTAAGAACACTTTGTTGTCTTTTTCTGTTTGTGCAATAGCACAGTTTTAGGACTAAGTAAGAACTAAGTATGTTATAGAAATATTATGTGTGAAATATATATTTCTAATACGTGTAAATGAGGTCTGAAAAAATTGTGTTTGTTGTCGTTGTTGTTGTTGTTGTGTGTGTGCGCACACACACTAATAGGTATGTGTGAGCAGGTGGTGTGAGCAAGTTAATAAGTACAACAGGACCCTAATGTTCTCGGTCACATTCATATTTCAGTTTCTTTTTGTGTAATAGGGTGGTAGTAGCAAGGTGCTTGGCAGAATCCTGTGCCTGGACTTTGAACCAACAGGAAAGATCCTCTGGACAGGAGATGACAAGGGGTTCATCTTTGCTTTCACTTGTGACATTGCAACTGGGAAGCTGATAAAGACAAAAAGGTATATTGTTATTACATACTCTACTGTCATTTAGGTATTATAGACAGCTTTTAATAAAAGTCTAGATAAACATGCACACAATAATGATTAAAATTGATGAAGTTAAACAGTTTCAATCTTCACAAAATCTATTTTTTTTTTATCCAATAGCATAAGATATATTTTCCCAAATTCTTTATTTTTCATTGAAAATTACAGTTTATAATGTACATGAAATGTTATGTACTATAATTTACTTAGTATCGCTATGTATCTATCAGCATAGAAAAACCTACCTTTAATCTTCAAATCTGAATTTCATTTAAAGAATAACAGTTTGTGAAAGCCGTCCAGTCACCAGTATCTCAGCACGTACATGGATGAGTCGGGAATCCAGGGACCCATCTCTTCTGGTGAACTGTGGGGTCAATGCATTGTGTTTATTCAGGTTGGTAACATACATGGACATGAATTTTTTCTCTTAAATCAAATATCATTTTGTTTTTGGCAGTTTTTTTAAGGCCGCTTAGCCTTTTCTTTCTACTTGTTTAGAACCCACAATGATGTCTGCATTCAATTCTATTTCAAAAGTTTTTTTCTTAAATTATTGTTGATTAAATTGCCTCATATGCTGTAAAACACTCAAAAAAGGTAATATTCTTGGTTGGTAGGTTTATATGTTATTGGCATTTTAGCAAACATCAATTTAACCCATGTTCTCTTTATTTCAGGATTACCAGTCCAGATGGTGGTTTACAGCTTAAGAAAAAGTTTCCAATCAAACAAAAAAACCAAATTATTCGCTCATCTTTTTGTCCTCTGATGTCATTCAGACAAGGTGTTTGTGTGGGTGGGTAGCTATGCATGTCTTACAAACTTATAAGTTTCATGTATTTGGCATTTATAAAAATTTGGTAATGAACATGTAAAGGGAAGTTGTGGAAACAATTTTGCTGTACAAAATTGTTTTCGTGTAGCCATTTTCTCCCATCTTTTCACATAGCATGATATTGTCTTTGCTAATAAATTCAAATTTACTGTATTTAAATTTTTTGTAGCTGATACATAATGAAATTCAAACTCTAAGCCATTACTTTGCTAAGCATGGAAACTTGTCAATACTTAAATTTTCAATTTGCCTTTTTTTCAGTGACAGGAAGTGAAGATATGTGTGTGTATTTCTTTGATGTTGAAAAAGACCAGAAGCAATGTGTTAATAAACTCCAAGGCCATTCTGCAGCTGTACTAGATGTGTGTTTCAACTATGACGAGAGCTTGTTGGCCTCCTGTGATGCTGAAGGAACTGTGATCATTTGGAGCAGGGAACAAAAATAATTACTATCATACACAGAGCAGAAAGAATTAAGGGATCAAATACAAAGATATAGCTTTCAACTTTTTTCCCCTTGCTGTCACATTGAAATGGTAAATATCATGCGTAGTCTTGGCTACAGCCAGTCTTGGTTACATTCCATGAAATCCAAGAGTAATTATCAATTTTTAACAACTTATTTAGAAAAAATGACATTCAAGTTATGCAGATACCATGCTATAATTTTATCTCTAAGGGGGCATTATGGCGATCTTTTGTCCTTAGTTTTTTTTTCATTGCATGTTGGACAAACTATTAATCAGGTTGATTGTGGTAAGAGCTTAAGTTATGTGTACATCTTATTTAAACAACATCATGGCTGTCAACTGACAGGTTACAGCTAAAAAGTATTATTATCTGTATTATGCTGTCCTGCTCTTGCAGTCACCAGATTTCTTTCTAGTACTTTTCCTTCATGCAGGAAAATGTAGAATAACATGGTCATTCTTAATATAACTGTAAGTTAAATACATTTTCTCATTTGGTACTTGTTGCTAAGGTTACTTTAACAGCAAAAAAAAAAAAAAAAAAAAAATCCTCAAAAACAGCATCATTTCCCCAGCCTTACATTAAGACTGTTGTGAAAGACATCCACATTCAGTGAAGTTGTCTATTTTACTGTGGTGCTGCATTAATGTGTGCAATAATTTGAATTGTTTGTGACAAAAGCTGAAGTAATCATTTCATGGTTAAGCATTAAGATGTGCAATGTAAGCAATTGTTATTTTTATATGTACACATGGGTGATTTGAAATAAACCTAAAAAAAATATGCCACATTTGTTAAATTCAGCTTTGATATCTCACATAAATTAAGATTTTTATTATAAAACAAGAATGTCTATTATTTTCAATAATTCTGCAAAAAGACAGATAAGCACTAAATGCAGGTAACTACTGCCACTTGGTAGTGGAATGTAAAATTTTGACAAAAAAAGGTTTCTGATTTGATGTAAATTCTGATTTTCATTTATTTCAATGATTCTTTTTTATTTCGTATCTACAATGGACATAATAAGACAATGATGGCACTACCTTAGCTGAAACATGCATGTTAAACAATTGGTCTCCTTCAATGTTAAAATTACAGTTATCTAATATTTTAAGTAGTCTCCATTATTCCTTTAATTTGAAAAGACCACAATTGCTGCTCAAAATCAACAATTAAACATACTATAGGGCTAATACTATTAAAACAATATTTCTTTCTCAATGCTTAATACTTAAAATATCTGAAATACCATCTCTTTACAACGCACTCCATTAAAAAACTTCATTCATATTGCAAATGTAAAGTAGATAAATGCCATGTGGGGAGCATTATTTTAATAATTAAAAATACCAATTTTGCACTTCCATGTCATCTTTGGTGTACAAAGCATATCTTTAACTGCATAAAATATTTAACCTAAATAAATAATATAAGCTCAAGGAGCTACCAGTATCTCTTTTCAATAAAACGTTAAAATTGCAGAAGACTGTGTGAAATATTGAAAGCTTCTGCAGTAGGCCTACCAGGTTAAAAAAAGAACAAAGCTTCCAATCTTTGAAAAACATAATGCTCATTATAAAACATGTCATTAAAATATTGGATTCACATTATAATATTTTTAAATTGTCAGATGTTTGGATTTAAAAAACCAAACGAAGAAAAGAGTCATGAATGGTTGATAAGGACATATATCAAAAAGGTATGCATCCTGTAAGAACAATATTCTTCTATCCTTTCCGCAAATAAAACAGTTGAGCTGGTATCATTTTCTGTTTAGTCATACTGATTACCACTGCCACACCTGAAAGAAATGATTTTATTATTATTTTGTCAGTAAAATTTCACACAAAAAAAAAGTTTTCTACACATTTCATAAATGCGATTCCTAATATGCAATAATATAACATGCAATTCACTTTTTGAAATATATATTTTTTACAAAAATCACCCATTAAAGGATGTAAATAACAATTGAATTTGACCTTTTGAAATATTTATTATAAACAATTATTTGACCTTGACTGTACTATCCACAGCACCAGAAAATAGCCTCCCTCTAGAGACTGCAAGACAAGCCACACTGCCTTGGTGGCGTAACAAAGTCTGAGTGCAGATCATGTTGTCCATGCTCCAAACCTGAAATATAATTTATATCTTTCTGAATTATGTGATTATATTTTAAAAGATATTAAAATCAGACTTTACTCTTTGCCTATATTTTAATGTATTACTTCATCACTGGATAAAGAGGATACTTTTTGGACCATATTCATTATTTTGAATATTATTTCTTGAAAATGATTTTTCGTAAGTTTATTCTGGAAGGTGGAACAATACTAGGTATATAAAGAAATAGTTCTACTCAGGGAATCAAGACACTGTGAATATCTCATTACTTTTATCAATGTGGCATTTATTGCATGCACACTTTTTCTATGACATCTAATTGCTCCTCAGTCTCTCACTAAAATCCCCTGTCTAATTCAAAATCAGTAAAAAGTTTACACACCAAACCAAAATCTTGCAATGAAAGAAAGTATTGCATTTCCTACACATGTTGAAAATTGAAATAAGAGTACTAAAATAATGACCATGCTGACACTAACAAAAAGCGAGTTCTATTTCCTGAAACCCAGTTATAAAAGCAGTATCCTTATTACTTCCCTTAACATCATAAACTTCCTGAAACCCTACTAAAGCAGTAACCCGATTACTTCCCTCAGCAACATAAACTTTCTGTTTGAAAAACATGAACAGATAAATTAAAAGCTTTCTTGATTGATAAACAAATTCCTGCCAAAGACAGGAGACAAGGAAACGTTCTGTAATGTTGCTATATTTCATTCACAAATTTGAGCAAATCCACCTGCCTCTAAGCAAAACTACGTGTGTGAAACAATCCATCAAAACCCACATATTCCTGTCCTGATTTGTCTAATACGTCATGGATGGAGGCATCTTTGTTGAGTTTGTCTTTTATGAAAGTCTTATCAGTAGGCAACTAATGAAAACTTGTATAACCCAGCTTTTTTTTTTTTTTTTTTACTGCTGAAAGGCAATTACCAAACTGAGAGGACATTATCAATTAAGGTGACAGAACACCTGACAGGTATCACAGAAAGTGGGCAAAATCTGATCCTATTTATCTACATAAAGCATATGCATTCCTTTAAACAAAAGGATATCGAGATGAGAAAAAAAGATAATGAAACCCATCTGTATAAAAGCAACACATTTCTAGAAATTGCCACAAAACAATAGGACACATCTGGACTCGTTTCATTGCAGAAACTTGACTACAAGACAATGTCTGGGACTGGACTTTTTCTTGTACTACTGTCCATGTACTTCATATATGCTGCATCAGGTAAAGTTTACATCAATGTTTTTTGGTCTTACCAATGTTTAGTACTTTTATTCAGCTATCCAGATAACCACTTTGATAACATAGTCAATAAACTGAAGTAAAATGGTAAAAATCTTATTTCGGTTTGGCATAAATAAAATTGACTTTAACTCGACAAAGCACTGAATTTAGTGTTCAGATAGAAAGGATCTATTACTTAACAATAGTCAATTATTATACATTCCACAACATATTGATTAAGAAAAATGTCAAAATTTATCACATTTTCAATAATCTAACTTCATAACATTTTTTACAATTATTTTTAAAGCTGCATCACTTGATAACGAAGGAGAAGAAAAACGTCATGCCTTAAACAATGATAAACTTCCAAAGTGGCCTCTCGACAATCCTAATGGGAACAACCCAAATCAAGGTAAGTGAGACATATTGTCTCACATATTCTTTGCTCTCATGGTGGCCACACTAATAAAGTAAAACTGTGCAATGTCTATTGTGCAAATGAAAACATTCTGTGCAGGTCTTTAATAAAGTTCTATATAAAGGGAATAAGAAATGGAAAAGACCTCTCACTCTTAAAAATGATCTTAAAAAAAACATAATACTCCACTTTATTTCTAAAACCATATTTTCAATTTACAGTGTCCAAACATCGTCGTCACTATCGACTGTCGCCTGCAGCACAGAGATACTTCCGTGAATTATTACAAATCATCACAAACATGGGCTGAGAGCGGACAAAAGAATACTACATGGAAGTTTGGTACAGCATTTGACTCCACCATAGCATCCACTGCTTAGAACAGCCACCAGCAGGCAATTTGCCATCACTGAAGAATGCAGTGTTTTTTCAGTTGAATTTCCAATTTTGCAAACCCAAGTGCATCCAATTTGTATGCTTCAATGAACTGTAAGTTGCAAAATTTCTAAAGACAGGCTGACTATATCTTGTGATGCATGCAACAATAAAATCTCATTACTTTTCAAGACTAGTTTTGCAAACTGTTTAGAAACAAAAAAATTAACGTTTTAGTCAATATCAAAGCATCTCATGAATTCTTTTATAAATGCCAAATTGTAAAATAGAACAATGATGAAAATACATATTCTTTTTTTCTTGCAAAATTTTCCAATAAATTTCTTAAAATTTACATGCAACCTGTGTTTTAATCCAAATGAGAAGAATGTATAAATGACATAATCGTCACAATAAATGCCTCTGCAAAAGTGCTATAATTCTGTTTTTTTTCTTTTCTTGGAAACATCCTGCAAATTTCTTTTCAAGGTTATGAGAAACAGCACATTGCAAACTACAGAATATCTTACCAATAATGGGATACAACAAAGTTCAGTGTCAACTTCATCTTATGTAGCTTTAAATGAAATTAACATAAAATTGATTTACAAACTAACAGTCTAAATGTGGAAAAGCAGCAAAAGTGTAACAGGAACATAGACTATCACAGCTATGTTTTGGCACTAATGTTATATGCTAACAATAAACACTACACCTTTACATCGCAAAGATAAAAATTCCCAGGAAAATTACAAGATTGACCAAGGTATATCATATTCAAAGACACTGACAAATTACAATCTATAATTTTGAAAACAGTTTACAGGGATGAGGCTGCCCTTTAGTAAAAAAAAGTCTAGGGAGCCACCTGGGCTAATAATTTTGGCTCCCATAAAGTTGGAAATCTGCCAAAAAGTCGGAAAAATCTCTTCCTTGAGTTTAAAGATCATAATTTTCTCAACAGCTTTGATATACTGTTGATAAAAAGTTGAAATTTCCAGGAAAAATATATTGGGGATTTTTAAATGTTTAACATGCAATGAATGCCTTTGACCATGTACATAAGTATACTTACCCTGAGAGAACGATCATATGAAGCACTGAATACTTTAGTTCCAGATGGTGTCTGAAGTGGTGCCAGGGCATAGACTGTTCCTGAATGACCTTGGAGTGTTGTGGTTTGGTTAAATGTACCGAGTTCCCATACCTAAATACAGGATTGTTATCAATAAACAGCCCAATTTTATATAAAGTCATCAAGGTTTGATAAAAATTACTCTTGTGCTTCCCACAAAAATTGGTGTTATACCCACTCATTTGAGTACAAGTTTCCCCAAGAAAAAAATGGTTGTAACAAATAACTTTTTATCTATGAAAAAGGGAATGTGAAATACATTCATTTTCAGGGAAAATGTTCACTTACTAGGGAACCAAAATTCATCTAAATGACATCTTACCACCTAAATCACTACTATTTTACACATTACTTATCAGCTGTTTTTTTTCTCTCTTCTTAAAATAAAAAAAAACATAAGCATCAAAGCAGCCAAGACAAGATAACACTAACATGTATGCAGTTTTCATATGTCCCACACAAAATGTGGTGTTCTGTGATACAGATGGAGTACACACTTCCTCCTGATGTGTCCAGCATCTTAACACATTCCAAGGTTTCTAGGTCCCAAATCTGAAATATTTATTACAAATAAATATTGTTTATATTAAATCATGATAAATTTCACTTGGAAACTTGACAACATCTAAAATGACTTAAAATATATTGGTTACTATATTGGTGCAAAGCACAGAAAATCAAGGTCATAACATATTGTATTTTATTACAAACTTCAATTTAACAGAACGCTTGCTCAGAGCGAAATCTTTTTTGGCACTTCTTCAAAAACAGGAATTCTAGTAACAACAAACTTATCCCCACCTTGATAGTCTGATAAGATCCCGTATACAAGAACTGCTGTGAAGACACCAATGCCCGGACCCAGTGGTTCAAACCTGTGATTTCTTTCTTCAGTTGGTATGTATGGACATCCCACACCTGTATCAAATATTGGAAACCATTTATTTACAATGTTTTTATATTTTAAATAGTTGTATAAGATAACAATTCTTTCAAAATCTTTGGCTTAATTCAGAGACTGATAGAATTGGTATATGCACTCTCAGCTAAAAATACAATGGTAACGATCTTTTTCTATAAACTGTACATTCACAGATAACTGGTTTTACTTAAAACATTTAGGTTTTTGGCAAGAAGCTGGATTTTCGAAATGAATGACAAATTGACAAAACAAATTTTTTTTTCATATAATTCAATCAATTGAAGTGAATATCTTAAGCAGTCATTAGAATTAACATGCCGCATTTCCAAAAAACCCAGTGACTGACATTCTGTTCATTTCTCTTTTAAAACATCTACTGACCTTGATGACCTTGAGGGACCCACTAAAGAGCATATTCCTGGCAGAGGCAAGAGTGCAGACTGGGTTGTCATGGGCTTCTATAACCTTTAGCTTCTCAAACTCTTTTTCAATGTTCCATACCTGATATACATCAACCAATTATTTCATTTCAAAAATTTATTTAAGATTTCACAAAGGATACAAAGTTCCTGTTGTCTCTCGATCATGACAGATGTAATATATAAAATGAAATAATCTTCAGCTTTTATCTATAGTTAGTACTACCACTGTTCATGTAAAATAACAAACAGGAGATTTTTACACCAAGTCATGTATCAAATGACCCCTGTTGTGAAAATATCATTACTAGAAACTTTAATGTAATGAACACAATGCTCAATGATACTGGTAGCTGGTACAACCCCTAACAATGACTTAACATCACTTGGTGTTAAGACTCACAGTAATAGTACAATCCTGAGAGCCGCTGTAAAGCTTGTTGCCATAACAACACAAAGCCAGTACAATTCCAGTGTGACCTTCCAGAGTCTTGAGACACTTGTAGTTGGTTGCAGTGTCCCACACCTAAACAAAAATTGGAGAAGCAAAAATATGTAAACTCATTTTTTTTTTGTGATATGCATTTGTGCTTACTGATTTAGCATAACCAATGTAATATCAAGGCAACTTATTTTTTTTAAATAACAGTGTAGTAAATAAGCATCATAAGCTTTACATATTTTCTTCAACTGGCAACTGATTTCAACTTACCTTTATGGTTTTGTCTGAAGATCCACTGAACAAGTAATCTCCATGAACAGTCAAGCACCAAACAGGGCCTTGGTGACCAACAAATGTTCCCTTACATTTGAATATTTGCTGAGGGTCATAGGCTAAAACAACAACATATTCACCAAGTCATGAATGGTACTTCAATTCATGTCATGTTTGTATATTACAGCATTTGAAAAAGACAAAATCTCCCTTTTCAACTGAAGACTGACAGTGCAAAAACATTGAAAATTTCTGATATTCTTGAATTCTAATAAAACAGAAAATAATCAATTTAGTAATAACCCACCTCCAACTTGAGCCCCCATGTTGATGGTGTTACTCATTCTGCTCAGTTCATCCTGTCATAAAACAATGGACATTATATAACTCATTCTAGAAGCCACTGTGTTGTTTTATTATTACACAAATTTCACAATTATATTTGATTACAGCTAGGCTATTCTTAATTGTTTTTACTGATCCCCACTCACATCCAGTTTATAGTAGCAGTTGATTCTCACAGAGAGTAATATAAGGAAATAACAAAGATTTAATCTTCAAAATATACTTCCTTCATTATTATCTCAGGTTTGAAAAACTACTCAGCATGTACTTACACAGACACCACCATAATCTCTTTTCAGATCAATAAACTCAGTCATCATTTTGCTTTGGTTTTCATTGAGCAGACCTGGAGATACATTTTGATATTATAACAGGTCATTAAATAAAGAAAAGAAAGAAGGATATGAAAGAATATTTTGATGTTTGACCAACCACAGACTAAGAGCGCATTCTCAACGAATTAAGCCAGGCTTTACAAAGCCGGTGACCTAAAAATGGCGGACGTACATGAAAGAAAAACCGCCTAATCTTTTAATAGTCTCTCCGCCTCCCCACACGTCGTCCCTACGGGGTACAGTAATTAAATCGCGTCTCCGTTCGCCATGCGGAAGCTACCTGAGAAATATTAAGTGCGCATGCTCATCAGTTAAACTCGTGGTGAAGAAAGCATGGGGGCTGAAGGCGATCGAAGGAAAAAAGCTCTTCTGTTCTTTTATCTTTGAAAACAGAGACGAAAAAGGAATAATTTGGCCCGTAGAGCAGCAATGAATCGACTATCTACGGAGATAATATCACCAGAGATATTCACGGAAATATTAATGTTCGGAGCCGAGATTTAATTACTGTACCCCGCAGGGACGACGTGTGGGGAGGCGTGTGAGAGGCGGAGAGACTATTAAAAGATTAGGCGGTTTTTCTTTCATGTACGTCCGCCATTTTTAGGTCACCGGCTTTGTAAAGCCTGGCTTAATTCGTTGAGAATGCGCTCTAAGTGACTAGGATAAAATAACATTCAATCTTCAGTTAATCAACTAAGCACTAGTGTTAACAAATGAAAATTTGACAAACAAGTTTACCAACCAAACTTTTAACTTATTCTCTTCGTGTGGACAGCAATATCCATAACACTCTGAATACAGGCCTACCTATTTTCATTTCCATGGCATCAACTTTCTCTGACAATTTCCCCAGCATGGACCGTAAGAACCCTATTTCCTGCTCCTTCTGTCCAAGATTGTAGTTCAGTTCAGAGATTTTGTCTCCTGTGGATTGCAGGAATTCCTTCATGCTTTCATATTTACAAGTCTCTAAATGGTCTTCTAGGCTATCCTGTGTTCCACTGAAGTCACAGCTAGAAAGAAAATTGAGATGTTTTTGAAGTATTTACCACGTATCACAGCTGGTAAGTCAACAGTTTATACAAAGTAAAACCATCTTTATACACTCTAAATTGAAATGCATCCTCTACACCAAAGTTATGATACCAATCTCTTCAAACAAAAGCAAAAAGTAATCTCTACTTCAGTATTTCAGTGATGCAAGTTTTTAGTACAACAGTGAAATATTGAAGTGGAAATAACTATTAGTTTACTGTTGTTTTGGAGAAATTATTATTGTGACTATGAATGCATAAAACAAATAATGGAATTATTTTGCTGAAACCTCTACATATTAGGCAGATGGTGACGTTTTTGGTTCAATCAAACATCAACCAAGTCAGCTGAAGTAAGCTTCAGAGCCAAAATGAGCCTGCTGTCAAGAAAGCAGGTCTATTATAATAGACAAATTAACATTGTGATACAAATCTTGATTTGCCTTACTCATGCAAAGAACAGATTAACTGGACAATAAACACATCTAGGGGAGATTACATGGATTAAGACAGGAAAATAATTCTTAGATAAATGACTTGACATTCCTTATACAACTTTTTGCATTGCTGTATGTCATTAGGGACTGAATATGATCTCACTTCATATGGCAGATTATCTATAATCATTTTGATATATAACTTAGCAATAAAAAAAATCTGAATATCTAACAAAAATTATTTTATCTATTGTCAACTCTAATAAGTTTACATTTTAGATGCTGGGTTTCTAGTTCAGATGAATGATTACATGTATTCCACAGAATTTATTCTCTCTGTATAGTTTTGTTTCATCATGTATCTTTTCTTACCCATATTTTGAATGTGGACATCTTCCATGATCACAAAGTCTCATATGCTCAGCCAAATCCTGAAATATGAATAAAAACTCAATGATATACTGTACTTAGAAACACTAAGACAATGACATAAGATCTTACATTTTCCTTTAAAACAAATACAGACAATGCATTTGTTTCTTATTATTTATGCATATCAGAATAGCTCTTCCAGACCCATATTAGTAAGTGATGGTAGTCCTAACAACTGGATGAAAATGATTATTGGATAAACTTTTGACAAGAAAACTAAGTAAACAGTATTTAATATATTACTGACCTTTTTCAGCAATAATGGACATTTTGGATCATTTGGGCAACGTACAGGTGCATAATCACAGCCGATTTCATGTTCTCTGTAATACAAAATCCTCTTAATAGATGGACATAATGGATAAATCTCAGATCTACATGCCACATGAGTCTTAAGTTCTCGTTTAATGGTGCCCTTTTTATTAATGTATAACATTCATCATTTTTATACTTTTTTCATTACCTACAGTATTCATACAAAGTGCATGAAATTTCCTATTTTTTCCACTTACATTAAAAGCAGAATACAGCAACATTTCTATGCCACACTTAAACTGTGATCCCAGTAGCCCAAAAAAGCTAATCATCTGTGAAATTTTGACATACATTTGGATAGGAATATGAAACACAACTAAATGTGTTTCTCCTTTTTTTCAGTATTTTGACACAAGTCCTTGCCCCAGTATTAAACCTCTGAAAATTATTGAGATCTCTGTGTGGCAACACTCACCTTCTGCAGTTCAAAGTCACAGTGACAGGACAACCCGTAGGATCCACTTCATATGCCATCTCACTCTCCTGGTATTTGCACCCATATTTACAGTGAATGAACAGCTCTCCTATTTGCTCAGACAAAGCTATGTTGGCAACAATCACAACCAGCTTCTTTTGATCGATTGGGCAGATGTCTACAAAAAAATAAATAAATAAATAGATAAATAAATTTAAACAAATAATATTTATAAAGTAGAGTTGCCAGTAACATCATTTGCTATGTTCTGTATCATAATTTTGTCTCTTAATGTCTTTCATAAAAATGTTATCATTTACTCTTGGAAGGACAAAATGTAAGGCAACTCTGATATTTTAGAGTAAAAAGTATGTCTTTATAAAGGCAAGTTACACTTGTGATACCAAATGGCTTATATGTGCTATAGCCTAAAGGTTACATAGGATAATTTTAAAAAAATTGACAAACTGATCAGGGAGTTAGAAGACTAACAAAATTTTTTGGTAAAAATCAAGTGCCACTCACCATCTTGACCACCAGTGGCACATCTCCTGCAGAAGGTGTGCTGAAACATAAATACATATCCACATAGTTATTAACACGCATTACAAAATAATAAATACAGAAACAAAACTTTAAGTGACATCTTATTATCTATTTATTTTGCTTAAGGGACCAGTTAGCTACATGAACAGTTAAATAACACTCAAGGGATCTCTTTCAAGGAGTATCTTTATAACAACTTACCCCACACCCTGTTATGACAGGCTCTTTGAACACTTTTCCACAGATTGGACAACAAAGTTTCTTATTTGGAGGCTCTACAAACACTAAAACTTCCTGGTGCCAAATGAAAGAAAGATGTTAATTTGCTCTCGGAATTAACTTTCTGTGCAAATCAAACAGTTTCATCTTTAATCCTACAACTGATTCTTTAAACATGAGCATATTAAATAAAAAGTTCATTTATACACCAAATTGCTTTGAAACAATTTTAATGCAGCTCATTTTATAAGTAACAAATTATTAAAACTGAATTGAGATCTTGTTGACCTCACCTCCTGAGAGTCGAGACTTGAGTTAGATATGTTTGACTTGAGGGAGTGGTCAGATTCTCTCTTGGTGGGACTGATGGGTCCCTGGGCTCCAACATAGGCCCCACCCGTGGCTCCTCCATAGCCACCCACAGCCTGATGTTTGTGATACAAATAACACATGGTTAATATATGTTATGTAACTTAACCTTATATAAGATACTGCAAATATATCAACACAGACCATGGGGACTTAAGAATACCAGCAAAATGAATATAAAAATGCCTTTGCTGTTGCTTGTAGATAGGCTTGTTAGACATTTAATAAGTTATCATAATTTTCATGATAGATACACAGTAAAAAATCCATCATAGCTGCCTGATAAAACTTGGGTTTGGGTTATATTTTACCTTAGTGGGCTTTGTCTCCTCATCTGGGAACACTGCCCATTCTTCTCTAGAGGAAGAACTGCTGGAGTCAGAGTCCAACTGACCTGAAATAAAATGTACATGTATGGTTTGTTTGTTTTTCTTGTGACCAGTGCCTCATATTATGTTCAGGCAAACAAACACACACACACACACACTCCCCTCCCCCACAGCACATGCACAACGATCATCATTCTACCATCATGTAATGCACTGCACTATGCAGGTTTGGATGCCATTAACATGTACATTACACACATGTTTTGGTATTGAGACATCCTTATCATTTACAAAGACTGATGTCTATATCATATATATTCAAACAAAATATAATTCTCCCATCTCCTTTGTTGCTGTGTTTTCTCTAATATTACTGGAGATCAAGCCTGATAAATGATGAAGGTACTGTACATTGTACTACTGTGCTGACCAAAAATTGCACATTTTGCAGATAATTAATGTACCAGTTCATCTGCACCAATTTAAATACATACCTCTGTTTGTTACAGTTCGTGTCACTGGTGAATAAACTCCAAATGTAGTCTCCATGTAAGACTGAAAATTAAGCATGAAATAAAATCAAAGATACGTTCCATTTACTACTAGCTATAGTACATTATTCAGAAACTTTCAGACGGCATTCCAATACATGACATTAACAATTAGTCAAAAATTCTCACAAATCCGTACGTTATTGCAGCGTGTAAAAGATATATGGTGCCTCGTGTATAAGATCATGTTTCACTTTCAACTTGTACAGTGGCAACTTCCTGCAGGGGAGAGGGTGAGGCACTGAGGGATGTACTTTTTTTCACGATAAAATGGTGAAGAATCAAAATGATCGGTTGCCAAGAAACCACGAAGTTCATCCATTTAAATACTTAAAATATATCACGTCAATGTCCATCCAAGATTTTATCAGTTTGTACTTCCTTGTACGAGGTTATATACTTCAGTATGTAGATAAATTATCATCTCTGGACCTTTGGTAAAAGTTATAACTTAACCCTTAGTAAAAACGTTAAACGCCGATTGGCAAGCTTTTCATACGATTAACCACGTAATACTCACCCCAGCTACTTCTGTATCTACTCTTAGCTTTTTGAATTCATCCGTGAAAGCAGGATTCATCGTCTGATTACATTTTCAACAGGTTAAAGGTAAGCCGACACAAATCGTCACACCAAGTACTTCGTCATTCATTTACATTACAAGGTTCCCATCAATTTGATGCGGAGATCTAAATTAAATTTTATAATTTTTATCAATATTATTTACTACCTTTGTGGAGCTTTTAATTTTACAATATAGTTTATGTATTTTTGTACTACGGTATATCAAAAGTTAAGATGAGATACAACTTAATCACGTCAAATTATTATTGACTGCGGGACAGTAGTGGATCAGCGCCATTGCTCTCCACGTTTTTCGTAGGTAGAAAAAGCGAATAAAAAATGGCCCATTTCACCCCGCCTGTCATACAGGACAACCCCAATGGCTGGGGACCATGTCAAGTACCTGAGAAATTCAAAGATATGCCATATCAACCGTTTTCAAAGGGAGATAGACTTGGAAAGGTAAGTGAACCTTGCCATCTGTCACCACCCTGCCGTGCCTTTCCATTTCCATATGCCGGTGTCGTGGTCTGAGAAGAAAGTTGGATTTTAAAGTAATCTCAGTTGCCTTGCTGCTGAGCAAAAAATGTAAATAAGTGCTGTACGAGTCCAAAATATTTAAAGTTTATTCTTACATTCGGATATTCGACTGAGCCAAGGGATTTAAATATGTAAAGTTTTTAAATTTGATTACATGTACCTGTCATGTCCAACAAAAAACTGGCTCCACATACTTTTTATGTGACAATATGCAGAAGGTTTTCTTCTTTTATGTGAACTGTACCGTTACATTTTAGGTGTCTGACTGGACGGGTTCCACTTACCAAGACAGAAGATATATGAGTAATTATATTACTTTTGTTAATATTGTACTGAAAAGCCAAGTATGTTAAGATGCAGGTGCTTGTGCTGATTTTGATTTCAACCAATGATTTTTATGAATTTTTCAAATGAAAATTTTAATGTAGTCAGAACTTTATGTTCAACATTCAAGAACTTTAGACAATGTTGCCAGTCATTTCATCTCATCAAATTTACCAAATTATAATAGGAATAACTCCCTTCTTTCTAGATAAATATTCTTCTCAGTTTGGAGGTGGTAGTCAATACGCTTATTATCATGAAGAAGATGAAAGCACCTTCCAGCTGGTTGATACTGCTAAAGTACAGAAACCCATCTACCAGAGAGCCAGGATGAAGTTCAACCAGGTATCAGAAATAGCCTCATAAGAAACTTTCATAAGTGATATTATGAGAACTAGGATTTCATGTATTTTTGCATTGCCAAAGTGAAATGTTGGAATGAGAATTTTGGTGTAATAGGCAGTCAATATACTATGGTTTCGCAAATGGTGAGCTATTTTGAAAATAAAGCTGTCAAATTCTTTGGGTTGGACTTCTACATTATTCCCCCTTCTGTAAGAAAACTTCATCTTCAAGTCTTACGAAAAGTAAGGAAAGGACACACTTCCTTTAAACTATCTTCAACTAAATGAGAACTTATTTCACAGGGGGGGGGGGGAAAGCTGCAAATGACCTCAAACTGAAATGTCTTATTCTGATTCACCCAATTTGTTACAGAATAAACTGCGACGTGAAAGAGAGCGGCGGCAACAGCAAAATGCTGCAAGCATGCAGGTGCTTTCTAAAACGCAGAAGAGTAGAGAAAGGTAAGAATTGTTAATTCATGTTATTGTATTTTGACTGTAAATGTTCAGTAAACTAAAGTACTTGATCAGTGATCTGTCTGATGTGTTCTAACATTTGTCTGCTGTACATGTGAGCAATCATATTTGTTTAAAAACCTCCATTTTTGACTTCTATATAATCACTCATTTTCATTTTTTTAAGGGATCGTATGCGTCAGCTCCGTAAGTTCCAGAAGCAGTTTGGCCGTACAATGCATGATCAGAGAAAGGTAGGTTTACATTGAGTAAAGCAAAGTAGATCTAGACTTTACCAACACCAACGATTTCATGGAGGCTGAGTTTTGTTCTCGCACAGAACTATGAAGTTCCTCTTTCCATGCCGTTGGATATCAAATCTACACACACCTATTTCTCATGAGCATTAAACTGGTTTAAAGAGATTAGACTGTGTAGGACAGTTATGATTTATAAAATAACTTGTGAAGTAACATTATGTTTAATATTGCACTATTTTTATTATGATTCTCTAATAAACAAAATTTGATATAAGAACTAAGTAAAAAATGATCAAAGAATAATGAGTCTTCTCAAATATTCTACTTTACTTGTTCTCAGTCATGTTGTATTATCTGCTGTGATACCTCTAAGAAGGAAATATGCTGCCATTCTTAAATTCTAAAAATAATAAAGGGATAACAACTTTTGGAGTGAGATTCATATTTCACAATAAATACATTGTAAAAAACTCTTAAGAGATTATTAAAAAAAAAAACTTATAAGAAAAATAACATGGACTAACTCTGAATGTCCAAATGAATTAATTAACTATTGTTAAGTATGGGGAAATCATCGTTTACCCTAGGAAAATCTGTTTTTGACCAAAATGAACAGTTGTTATCCCTTTAAGTTTAGAAAGTATTAAAAATGTACATGGTTATAACTAAAAAACAAAAGTTGTTGATGTTGATTGTCTTTCTCTTTCTGCTTATTTGGAATTTAACATTTTGGTAAAAAAACAGATTTCCCTAGGGTAAACGAATTCCCCTTGGGAAATCTGTTTTTTTTTTTACCAAAATTAACAGTTGTTATCCCTTTAAGCTTAGAAAGTATTAAAATGTACATGGTTATAAGTGAAAAACAAAGTTGTTGATGTTGATTGTCTTTCTCTTTCTGCTTATTTGGAATTTAACATTTATTTAAAAAAATATCAAGCTGCTGAAATGCCTCTTATTACAGACATTATACATTGGTTGCACCATCCTGAGCAAGGTTATACCCTCTTTCATGGTGATTTTTATTCATTGTTGGCATCACATACAGTAGTTTCTTCCAAAACCATTTGTCCTTTGCCTCTAAGTAGGTGTGAGTTCTCAGGTAGGCACGGAGGTCATCGTCCATTTCCTCGTTAGCTGGGATATCTTCTTTGAGGATGACGATCACTTTAAAGTGAGCATTGTGGATCATTTGATAGTGGGCTTGCTGGAACTCAAATATGCACCAGTTGCTCCTTAAGAAGTTCTTTGTTAGTACCAGAATGGTGCACCTGCTGTTTTGAATGGCCTGAATGATGTTGTTGTCTATGGCCTCCCCTGGCAGAAAGTCTCTGCAATGCATACAGAGACGATAAGGTAACTGTTGGTTTTCTAGTGTGGGAGCCAAGGTGGTGTGTACCCATAAACGGTCCTCACTGCTGTAGGAAATGAAGGCATCATATAGTTTTTCTGTCATTTCTTGATCCCGATCAAAGGGATGCCAGTTGAAGCGACTGTGTAGGATAACCTTGACCTCAAAGCGATATTTATATAAGACTGCTATTGTTATGAGTGTCAGCAAGAGCAGAACGCCTAAAGATACTGCTACTTGAATGTAGCTGTCAGGGTGACAAAGCAGCATTTCTTCCGTTACTTGTGATATTGGTTTTCCTTTAACAGGTTCATTTGTACATATAACGGAGTCCATGTGGATGACTTTTCTCTTTTTAAGAAGCCATGACTTTAGCCACAGGTTTTCACAGGAACACGTCCATGGGTTCCGGCTCAGTGAAAGGGAAGTTATGTTATGACCTTTCATACTTTCTATGTCCTGTGGTAAACTTTTTAGATTATTTCCATCCAGCTGCACATGGGATATGTACCAGAAAATCCTGCTGGTGATTTTTGCAATTGAGTTGTTGCTGGCAACAAGTGTATGTACTCTTGAGAAATAATCTTGATCTGTGATTATTTCAAGTTTGTTGTTCTGTAAGTATATACTGAGGTTGCCTTTTGGCATCGCTGATGGCAGAGTTGTGATATTTAGATTTTCACAGTGGACTTTTGTTAGGTTAAGTCTGCTGTCCCAGTTACAATAGCATGGGGAAGGGCAATCTTCAACCACTGGGCAAACAGAAGTAAAATCAATATGATCTAATAATTTGTCATCTTTCCATTTGGCTGGACTCGCACATTGAAAATCTTCTATATCCTTAAATGGGTTTGTAGAAAGTGACAGGTTATTGTATTTTCCTCTGTGAAGAAATTCATATGAAGATGGGTAGTAGACCTCTGTGGCGTTTGCCTTTTGAAGGTAACTGTGTAACCATGAGTTAGTGCAGTCACATCGGAACGGATTGTCTTTGGCATATATATTTCTAATTGGTGGGATTTGATAGTCTGGGTTGTGAAAAGGTGGATGTTGCAATTGGTTGGCACTAACATTTAAAATCCCAAGGAAGGTTGGTAAAATACTCTCACTTATAACAACAAGCTTGTTACTGCTCAAGTCTAATTTGTCTATTATGGGAAGACCTGTGAATGTCCCTGGCTCTATGTAGCTCAACATATTGTAGCTCAGGTCAACGTCCATGAGGTACTTCAAACTCCAGAATGTGGAGGGTTCGATGTAGTTGATACTGTTGTGGCTGAGGTGAATAATCTGTAGGTTACAACTGGCAATTCTGCGCAGACTTGTGATTTTGTTGTAGTCAAGATAAAGACCCCACAAAGAGCTGGTGACGCGTTTTGGTTCATACCATGCTTCTAGGTCTGTGATGAGGTTGTGACGTAAATGTAATTTAGCATGGTTTGGAGATCTGTGCTGTGTCACACAGTTGGGGATGGTTGTGATTAAATTGTTGTCCATGTCTATGTCCACTAAAGTATCGTATTTCTCCAGCAGAGCGCAGTCTATTGAACTAAAATGATTACCTCTTAAATTCAGCCAACGTAGGTTTTTCATTCCATAACCACTAGTGTCAAGTGGATAAGTAGTGAGATTGTTGTTTTCTAAGCTTAATTTATACACATTGGAAAGTGCTTGAGCATGGATTGTAACGTGCCTAAACCAGTTTGTGCCAACATTAGAGAAATCTATTTCTATCAGGTTAACTGTGTTTTCAATTGAAATGTTTGTGTTCTTCTGTAAAGCACAGCCCCTTACTGTCAGACCAGCAATTTGACTATAGGGGGCAGTGTCAGTCCAGTTTAGCACAGCTCCTCTTGGGCAGATAACATTCAATGTAACAAAAACACCCTGTGAAGTGGCATATTTCACACTTTCACTTAAGTCGAAGCTCCAATCATCATGAACAGCACATTGGATGTTTAAGCAAGGGAATAGTTGAAAGAAGGGTTTCAGCCGTTCTAGTAAACTTGTCAAGCTCGTCTTTGTATTGGCAAGACTGTCACTTGTTCCATACACTGTGTTTACTTCTTTCATCTTGCTTTCTATAAAATCCCACAAACTTGATGTTTGGCATGTGCAATCATGTGGACAGCTTTCTTGCTGTGGTGCCCCAGATACTAGTACTGTTGACGTTCCTATACACACACATAGGAAAAGCAACAGTTGTGCTTCATTCAACATCTTTAACTGGAAGAAAAGAAGAGAAGTTAAAATGGTTACTTACAACTATGATTTGACTGGAGCTAGATATAGTTCTGAGTCGACAGATTCATGTGTAAATTATTGACTTCATAAATTTTATGTTACAAAAAGCCCCAAAGATTCCAAGGCGTTAAAAAACACCATAGCCATTAATGCATGCATGTATACACTGCTCTATCTACACTGTATCTCACCTTCATATTACTTTCTTCACGTCAAATGTATTAATTACCATAAACCCCTTCCTATTTTCAACTTAATGAAGTTGGAAGAATAGTCTCGAATGGAAAACTTGCAGAGCGACTATTTCAGTTTTGATTACCACTTACCTTAGACATGACTGTATCCAACAGAAGCCGTAAGCATTATGTGTAAGTACAGCTACCAAAATTTTAGGTGTAGGCAGTTTCTTATAATTAGTCACCTATATTGAAAAGGGGCCCACTTTTCCTGACCTAGCTCTTATTGTACTCACTCAACCAGTTCAACAAATAGGATATCCGGTTAGAAACAGGATCTTTTAAATGACTTCTGTCATTTACTCTTCTGTGTTGATAGATAAAAAACAGGCCAGGAGATCGCCCACACCAAACATAACCCAGACATGCTTCCAATATTTTGAGATCAGTGGCTTGATAAAGTGTTGTTTGTCTCCAGAACAGCTGGTTGTAAACAGCTTTAAGTAGTGGGAAATCTGTGAAGGATAATTTACTTGTTTTATGCTCTTATACCAGAACTCTGGAGTAGCTGTTCATATTTACTGCCCACACACTAGGAAGTAATGTCATCCCATGGATGTCATTGTGTCCAATTAACTTGCTGTGTGTTTTTGCTAAATTTGTAGAAATCTTGAGAGAATTATAATGAGTGTTCTTAAAACATATATCAGATGCAGCAGTGAGTATTCAAAAAAAAAAAAGCTTAAAAAACATTCATATCTGATGCAGTTAAGTGTGAGGTCCTTACACACTTTCAAACTGCAGTTCAATAAATCCCAATAGAACTGCAGTGGAATAAACACTGCTTTTAAGGTAACATTTGCATCCCTTTTATCAATGATACCTTTTATTAATCATGCGCCATATTGTACTTATTAAAAGGTAATGATGTGAACAATGTGGCAGGGTACAAGTAGCAATGATTGTTATGCTGCATAAATATTTAATTTATTCATAAAAAAAATATTTTTATAAGAAAAACACATGTGTAACAGTACAAAAATGTGATAAATTGCCTACTTGTGCGCATGCTCCTAGACTGCAGTTCCGAGTTAGACTGTGGTAGAACGCAAGTCTATAACTGGGTTTATTTTGCCAAATAAGGAATAGATTTAAGTCAAATATTGAAGACAACTTTATTAAAGGATGTATTTTTAAAGCATAAGCTAAAATAGGAAGGTGGAAGGAAAGTGGGAACAAACTCACCAATGTTCCAAAACATAAATGTTCAGAATTTCATAGCTTTGACCACCACAATAAGATTTTGATTTTTTTCCCCTGTTGATCAGCGTTACTGCATTGTTTCCTTGTTTTCAGATTCAGCTGAAGCACCGTGATGCGTCGGTGCAGGTGCGTGACACTTGGGATGTGGTGGAGGAGATGGACTTCCCCCGGCTCACCAAGCTCAGCCTGCCGACTGTGGGGGAACCACAGGATATGTGAGTATTTAGGAGAGCATGTTCAATTTTTCCCAGAGGCTTTCATTTGTTTTCATCTGTTACAAGTAGAGACAAAAGTCTTCCCGATTTACCTCAATCCGTATGTTTGGGTATTGTATTCATGCCTCCCAAATCTGAACCTTCATCACATGTATTTCATATTTTTAGAAAATATGCAGATGACTTTTGTGCATATTAGGAATGTTGTTTAATTTCTTAATATTTGTAACTGTAGATACTGATATCAACCAATGGTTAATTTATTTCCAGTGTATGTTGTGGTAGTATGGAGTACTACAATAAGTCTTATGACAGAGTGACCACTAAGAATGAGAAGAAGTTGAAGCGTGTGAATAGAATCTTTCACAAAGTGACCACCACTGATGACCCAGTAATCAGGAAGGTAAGATATGCTGAACTTACATAAAGTTCTGTTGCTAGTGGAATCACACGAGCAACAAAAAGAGTAACGCAAAAATCCAGGAAAGTACACAGCCACACTAGTGGTACTGACATATACAGGTGATAGATGGCTGTATGTCCAGACACAGCATGTCTGTCCAAATGTGAAATAGGATTCAAAATGTTAACTGAGGAGGAAACGTTTGTTAAATATAAATAAATTCATTTTAATATGTAATTTTTATTTGAAAAAAAACTTGAGTAATATATGAAAGAAATAGTCAATTTTAAACTCTAGCCCATGCTTGGTGCCTTAAATATTAGCATGATACTGATTTATGTTCATGTGAAACAAATAAAATTTTGAGACCGACTTCAATTCCAGCTTGCTAAGAGTAAAGGCAATGTGTTTGCCACTGATGTTATCCTGGCTACCATCATGTGCTGTACACGCTCCACCTACTCCTGGGACATAGTGGCACAGAGAGTTGGGAACAAGCTCTTCTTGGATAAAAGAGATGACTCTGAATTTGGTGATTATCTTTGAAAGGTTATAATGCAGATTTATTTTGCATATAATACAGCCTCCTGAGATTTTGTATAATTCAGCTCTGAAACATACTGCAAAATAATTGTTTTTACATGCGTGCCTTTGTTTGCAAATATACTGATATATTTATAATGTTTTTTATTGATTAGATCTTTTGACTGTGAGTGAGACAGCTATAGAACCACCCCAGGAAGAAGGGACAAGCATCAACTCCCCAAGAAGCTTGGCTCTAGAGGCAACCTTCATCAACCATAATTTCTCTCAGCAGGTTCTCAAGATGGTTAGTCAGCATTTTTTCACCTCTGTTTCCAAATTTTGTCAAAGTGACCCTATAGCTGAAAAACTGATGTCATTTTGTTGTACTTAATTTATCCTAACACATATTTATCATTATAATTATAGTATAATTATAATTATGGCCATATTGACTTGCCCATGTTTAATTGGCTTTGAAGTAGACATTTTATGCATATTTTATTCATATATAAAAAGCTGTATATAACTTTATAACTAAAGTTAATTTTCACTTTCAATTTCAGTGGTTTACTCCTGTTGTTTCGTTATCACATGTTCTGACAGCATTTCACATTTATTGTCTTTATGAACTTTCAGAACCAGGAGAAATTCAGCTTTGAGAACAAGAACCCATTTGTTCAGGAGGAAGATGATGGAGAGGTGGCATCTGTTGGATACAGGTAAATATTTGTGATTACAGAATATTGAAAAAAAATTTTTTTTATTTCACTGCTGTGAGTTTTTAAGAAGTGTTTTATTATATATTATACAGGTGCTAAATAACTTTCTGGTACTCACATTTGTTGAAATTCCGTATTGTCTCGTATTCTTTAAGCAGTTTAGTGCATTTGGTCAGCATTAACCTTCTGATTCATCAATAATGGTGGCTTTCAAAATCTTTCTTTTCATTGTAGGTATCGCAAGTGGGACCTTGGAAATGATATTGAACTGATTTGCCGCACAGAGCATGATGGTGTAATGGTTGGACCCAATAATGAGACCAATTTCATTAACATCAAGGCTCTTAATGAGTGGGATTCTAGGGTAAGATTGCAATGTTCTTCTATTGTTAAGCACTGAAAAGACAAGCACAGACTCAATCCTTTTTGAAAATGTGCAGACTTTTAGATACTTCATACATTGCTAACTTTTTAGTTTATAAGTGCGAATTGCAGTTCACGAATCTGTTTTCACAAGAGAAAAATTAATTGAAAATAATTTTCAGTTTACCAGGTGATGTGCAGTACAATTTGTCATGACCTTTATTTTTCTTTCCAGTTTTCTGGTGGTGTTGATTGGCGCAGTCGCTTGGATGTTCAGAGAGGAGCTGTTCTTGCTACTGAGCTGAAGAACAATAGCTGTAAACTGGCCAAGTGGACTGTCTGTGCTCTGCTGGCTGGATCTGACCAGATTAAGTTTGGGTAATGCTCTATTCTTGGCTTGTACTAACCTGAATTTCTTCTATTTTTTAAACAGAAAAAGTGATCAATCAATTATTTTTCAAATTAAAAAAAAATGTGTGATTTCCTGAGATGAACACGTTGATTCAGGCTGTCCAGGTTTCACTGCTCTTTTAGTAGCAACTTGTCTTCATCTTGCATTTTGCTCATGCATGTACGTTTTTTTCCAGGTATGTTTCTCGTGTCCACCAACGAGACTCTGCCAAGCATGTGATCCTAGGTACACAGCAGTTCAAGCCCATTGAGTTTGCCAGTCAGATCAACCTGAGTATGGACAATGGATGGGGTATACTAAGGTGTATTGTAGACACACTTATGAAGATGAAGGAAGGAAAATATTTAATTATGAAGGACCCTAATAAGGTGAGTGTATTTCTCATTATAAAAGGGGAAAATGGTTGCTTATTTTGAGCTGTGCTTAGCATTCAGTTACTCTATATTTACTTAAATGCGTCTTTTCTATTTGTGCTTGTCATGTATATGTTATTATTCAAGACATGCAGTTAAAGCATAGGTAGACATGAAAGTCATGTTGATAAGTTATAGAAGTTGCCAGTACATGCTTTCGCATTGCTATATCTGATATACTTTTTAATTTGAAAATGCTTTCTTTTTTCAAGCCAATGATTAGAATCTATGACATCCCTGATAACACCTTTGAGTCAGACGAGGAGGAAGAGGAGGAAAGTACCACTGAGGAGAGTGACGATGAGGATGATGATGATCAGAGGGATGATGAGGAAGGTAACGCCGCAGAGGTTAATGCCAGTAAAAAAGAGTAAGACTATTTCCATAACAGAGTTGGCTGCATGACCAGTGACTGGAAGTCAGTGTAACCACCAGCATGCTGTTTTAATATGTTAAAACAGGAGATAGAAGGAACTCTAGTTCTCAAAACCCTGCTGCAGAGCATAGAGATACATTTATTTATCTATGGCAACCCCCCCTCCCCCCAAAAAAAAAAAAAATACACACATACACACACACAAAGCATGATGTAATCTATGCGAATGTCTTTTGACTCGTACTTTTAAATGTTTCTTTATATTTATACCTCATAAATCGCAGTTATCTTGATGTATGCTTATTCTGGAAAGCTTCTTTATACATAATGATCATTAATATTATTCTTTCTGAATGACTGTCCACTTTGTGATGAGTTTCCACTTTCAGTTTGTTGTCCCTTAACCGGTTGTTTCTTTTATCCTTTTTGTTAACCCATTGTGTTGTTAGATGCTATTATTGTTATACTTTTTGGCATCATTGATACTTTCTGCTATTTTCTCTACATTTGTGTTATCCTTTTAGAGCAGCCACATGTTGTAGTTGTTATACTTTAACCTGATACATTTCATATGCGACTTAACAGTTTTATTTGTACATCATAAAGATTTCTGCCTTTAGGTCCAGTCTGCATTTTTTTTGAAAAACAAAAAATGTGAATAATGCTTTATACTAGTAGTGTCTGAAGATGTTGTTGATCAAGACATTTTTATGTATCCCTTTCTCTTCATATTATATTTTAAAGATATCAAAATTTTATCTTTCAGGTAATGATCGCTAGAGCACCACATACAAGGAGGGCCAAGAAGGACCTTGAAGAATAGTTGAAATAATTTAATCTCCAAATAGGAAGTAATAAAGGGATTTTAATTGTTGGACAATGATTAAAAGCAGTGATGTCTCGATTTGTAACCACAGACTACACATTACAAACAGAAGTATTGAATTATGGAAAAGCCAGCTGAAGTTAACAACACCCATGGGTTTACATTTCTGACATGACATTCAATCACATGCTACATATTTTTCAATGATGAAATAAACTTCCTTTGCAATAAAAAACAGTTTGATTGTTGGTATTTATTATTTTAGTATTCATGAATATTGACGTACAAATGACATGATTTGTACATTTTCTCACTCTTGCCTTGCCTGCAGATGCAATAACCTGAGGCATTTAATAACATGTAGAGATGTTGGTAACTCAATGCACACACTCCCCTCCCTTTGCCTCAACTTTTGACATTCATTCCCAATTCTTGGAGATGGGGCACAGTTACACTGTATGCGTTTGACCATGGCTGCTTAAAAAATTTGTGTAATCAAAGAATTTCTAAATGGAAAAGGAAGAACGGAAAGGGCATTGTGGGAATGAATAAAACATAAATTTGCAAACACCAGCCAGATGTCATAAGTAATAACACTATTCATGAGAAATAAGGAATAACAGCATGAAAATCCTTCCAACCGGGAAAGGTCTATTCAAGCCTGTTTCTCATATTTGCAGATTCCTTTGTTTACTTAATACAATATATTGCTAATTCTGCAACATGATTAACATAGTAAGATACATATATTTTCAACTAATAACATTTAAACATTGCACTCATAAGTTAAAATGACTTCTTTATACACAGTTATGTAGGAAAACATTTACTATAATTCTCGTGACATATAACAACAGCATGCTATATACAATAAAAGTATGGAAATAATCCTCTCATGCAAATAAAATTATTAAAGAATCTGATGTAATCCTGTGTAAGGTTATCACAGCTTTGCCAACATGCACCATCTACACCAGACCAAAAAGGTTAGGAAACTTGTAATTGTTTTTCAATAATTTAAAAAATTTGCAACTTGGTGAGAAAATCTTCAGTCTAAAAAAAGTAACAAATGGTGGGTGCATCAATATTTGGTTAAAATATTTACCTGAGCTCATATGATTAATTAAAATTATTCAATATAACAAAGTTTCTGAACTTATTTGGTTGAGTGTATAAAGACGCTCAGCACATTTTTTTTTTTTTTTTTTTGTAAATGAAGATCAACTCTGGGGCTCCACTTTCCATCCCCTAATGCGCATCAGCCAGTCGGTCAGATACTTTGTGTTAGCATGCTCTGGAAGCCTGCAAGCTCTGCCAGCAAAAGCAGATTGTAGTTTCTGTAGTTTTTCTTCAGCCAGTTTGAACAAAATTTCTCTAGAAATTTCTCCCTAAAAATATGAAACTCTCTTCTAAAATATGCATTAGATAATAACAAACAAAAAAAAACTGACTACAAGGTGAAATGATCAGTAAAGGTCGAACATTCCTAAATAGTTTCTTTTTACTAATGAGATGATGATGTTATATCTGATGGTGGAAGTAACCAATGCTAGGATTTTCTGCCGACTTGTATTAAAATATTTTATTTGTGTCATTACCTCAAGAGGTCCTTGTCTTATCTTCATGATGAAATCCTTGATGTGCCCTGAACATTTAACTGGGGGCGGGTTACCCTGGAGGAAGTACTCCAGACTGTCCAGCTTGTGGAACGTCTGAAGTAGGTCAAATTTTTAAAGTTAAAACAATTAATCTAAACTAACATTTAAGTTCAATAATTATGCAACCTGTGAAATGTACAACACATCTAGTGAATAGTTATAAATGTACCTGATAAAAAAGCTTCCTCTCCCTGGATGTGCCCTGGTGTTTACCACCCTCAATCATCTTCATGTTGTTCTTCACAAGACCTAGGTATTGCTGAATGGCGGTTTCTGTCACAAAATCTTGCTTATGACTGACCAATTCCTGTTCCAACAAAAATGTACAATAAAAGCTAATAATGATGAACACAAAGTTAAATAATGAATCTTGAGTAAGCCAATATATTTGTCCATTACATTCAAATTGTTAATGATTTACTTAATTACCACTTGTCATAACCCCATTAACATACTCAGCTGATTAATCATTTTCATGCATTAAAAATAAAATATGGAAATGACCATCTTTTCAAAAGGAAAAAACTTGTTAATCTTTCAAATACATAATTTTGAAAAATATATTCTGTAGCATTTAAGTGCTTTAACAGTGTAGAACAGAACTATAGGGTAGTCTGCTTTTCAATTTAGTTGCTACCACTCAACAGGAATTTTACCCACTGAAAATATCAAATCATTACCCTATCACTTAAACTATAACAAGAATGAGTGTTGATTTGAAGAGAAATAATGTGCTTTAATATTTGATTAAATACGTTTTTTAATCAGTTAAACATCCTACAATAAAGGCATTAACCAACTGTAGTTATATACATATGGGACAGCTGTCATCGTTTGTCCAACTTACCCTCCAGGCTGAGCTGGTATATTCCAGATCCAAAGAGAAAACTAGCTGTAGGAGAAACAAAAAAGTAACAGATAAAAGAGTGAGAGATACTTCTATCCTTTTCCTGGAGAGAAAGGTACTTTTATCATTACATTCTGCTTCTTTGTTTTACATACCTACGTATATTCCTGATATGCTTCAACTTTGAATAACATCTTCATACCATTTGTTTACTTTCATCAATAAACTTCTTCAGATTTTACAAATATTATAGCTGCATCATGCATGTCTATTAAAGATGAATTTGACCACACCCTCTCGATACAATAAAAATTAATTAATTAATTTATAAAAGTTCTGTAAAGTTCAAGTAAAGTTCTGAAACTAGCCTCCAAGATGACCACACTGCCTTTACTGAGCATCTCACAGAACAGTCTTGCTTCATATGCTCCATACTCAAACTGCTTCTGGGGGCCACGATTCTCATACGATTCATTTCCTATGCCACAGGAACTTATTATTTTCTGAAATGTTCAAAATAAACTACATGCTTTATAATAAGCAGACTGGATTTATGAAATTCTGATAACGATATCAAATCAATAATATTCAATTGGTAAAATAATTATGAAATGATGTGCAAGATACACTCAGAGTTTTAATCCTGATGGCATCCCCTCTTCCTGGCAAATATTTTCAGTGCAGGTAGCAGCATGTGGTTATTAATGGAGGGTATGCAAATCACAATATGCTCTAAACCCTAGAGTGGTAGGTTTTGACATACATTCAGCTTAATTTCTAAATAACATTTAAAGTATGCTTCTAAAAAAAACGGACATTCACTTGAAATATAGTGTCCCTGTCTTTTTCAAATTACACAGTACACTTTCCTGATTCACACTATTTTGACTTACATGTACGAGGAAATAATTAAGCTTAAGAATTTTTTTCTCCCTTTCTCAAGTTTTTTTCCAAATGTTGATACCATTTTGAACAAAATATTGAGACTCACCTCTGTGGGAGTAAGATAAACTATAATGTAATCCACATCACTATCAGGTGTTGCCAGGTCATATAAATAACTCCCTGCTTGTGCTATCATGACTATTTGCTCAGGTTCCATACTAGCCACTGGACCTCCAATCTTCTTCATTAGTGACAGCAAGCAGTCTCTAGCAGAATCTTCAACAACTGAAATAGAAAACTGAATGAAATATTTGGTACTTTCTAAATAATGCACAAAGTGGGGTCTATGATTCACAACCCCTTACCTTTTTCTTATGCATTAGGAGGCATTTAATTTCAGTGGCATTTTAAAGACACTAATTTCAATTGAAAATATGTTACTCTCTTTGACATTTAAAAAAATATAAAAAATATATTATTGGGAACAAGTTCCTCTTTTGTGGTTATGATCAGGAATTACCTACTGGTATCCCAATAACCATCCAGGATACCATGATCACCTTATTCTGTTCTAGTCTGAAGGAAACATGTTTTTCAAATAATAAAACCTTATTCATTAAACAGTTAATGAATTATGATGCAGCTCCATTACCTAGTTTTTGGAAGTTCTCATTTTTCTGACAGCACCTGACATCAGCCTGCCACTTGCCAAGCTCTTCCTGTACTTTTTCCAGTTTATTGAATTTTGCTTTAGACATTTTACAATCCACCTCCTTTTTCCATCGCTGTACAATATCAAATAAGTCTAGCTTGGACATGGTTTCATCCTGTAATGATTATACTGATATTAAAATAGCAACAATAAAATTTAACCATAACTTTTGTCAAAAGCAGGACTTATATTTCAACAAAAAATAAGAAAAACAACTTCACCAGTCTTGAGTATTCTAATAACAACACCAGGAACATTCTTCTAGTGGACTATGGATTCAAACCTTTTTCGACACAAACTTAGTCATTTCATGTTTACCTGATAAGCTGCCTGGAGTTTTCTGAGAGCTTCTTTGCCCACATCTGAAAGATTATCAGCTTCCAGAATACAGTCCATTGAAGGTATTTCACCATTTAAGACACATGATGCACTATGTAAGAGGCGAAATGATTGGCTCATTTCATAAAGTGTAGCTTTATCACTCAGCCGCATCTGTCCAGAAACTTTGCTCTTCTTGGATATACCACCAATGGCTTGGCCCCGACACTGCTCCAAAAATCCCCTGAGATCTGAGGAGTATCAAAAAACTTTTGTATATTATTTATATTTTTTGTTGTTTTATTATTCACTGACAATTATGAGTACTTACTATTACTTTTTTTTTTTTAATTTTCAAATTGTCAAAGATCGGTAGATGGCCTTGATGAAGATTTTCATAGTCAAAATATGACAGAGAAGAAAATGTACATATGCAGAACTGTCTGTGATATGATAATTCAACAGAATATAAGGTGTTTTTACCAGTTTTATGAATTTCTTCAAAATTCTTAATATAAAGTTCAATTTCATAGACAAAATGTTAAGAAACTGATTTTTTTTTCAATTAATTTTAATATGTACTTAGGAAACTATTTCTGACAAGTAAATTTCAAGCAATGTTGTTTTTTTTTTTTTTTTTACCTTGTTTGCTAAATGTATGAATTAAAAAATGTTTGTTTTACTCACTGAGCAGTTGGCTGGTAAGAGAAGTTTTCATGTTTATCCACTGGTCAGATTCAAATATGATTGCTGTCTGTGGTAGACATAAAGCCTCAACAAATCTTTGTTTTCCCTTAACAGCATAGTTGCAAAAATGAAAAACTTCTGCAGCATAAAACCATCCCTGAAAAAAAAATCATTTTTAAGAAAAAGATTTTATGTTTCTACAATGTACCACAACATAGGAAGCATATGGCAATCCATTAGATACACAAGTGAACACTAAGTGATATTTAATTACAAAACTGACAGAGATATAACTGCTGAATAATTTCAAAACACCTTGCTCACCAAATCTATGACATTGTGCTGTTCTTTAAAATGTCTGTTAATTGGAGCAAAGAACTCCTCATCCCGCCCTACATAAATCACTAAAATAGAGTTGTGCTTGGCCTGCTGCCCTCTTTCTTCTTGTGTGGCCCAGTACCATGGACAAGTTATGATTGCAGCAAATAAGACTTCTCTGCTCCAACCTAAAAATACAATTATCTTATCAATCTGTGGCAAAAAAATGAAATAATAATTTAACAGTACAGGAATTGTAAGTCACTCAAACTACGTGCTTTAAATTAAAAAAAAATCACATAACATCAGACTATGAACATATGTACACTATAATTAACTAATAGCAGTGATTGTCTTTCAGGCAGTTTGCAGATAATGTCTTTTGTCTATCATATAAAGACCCAAGTCGGGTTGTTTAGCAGAAATTTCTCTATGTACATTTTTAAGCACATGCATTGTACATTAACAGACATTTCTCAAATGTATGAGAACTCAACTGTGTGCTAAAAAAATGGTTAAATCAAATATATATATTGTGAAACATGGTTACCAACAAAATCTAATTATATATCTTATCTGAATGTTGGGTTTCCTTTCTATAGAACACATCTGTGAGTACCTTCAAATATATCTTGGAGTTTTTCCTGAAATAACCCTCTAACATCTTCTGTGACGGAGCTGGGAACATGCATGAGGCAAAGCTGCCTCAGAGACTGCAGTCCTTCTTCTGTGACCTTAGAACTATAGTCATGAAGCTTGAAATCTCTGTCTTCAAGCTCTGCCTTCAAGGACTGAAGATGTTCTAATGCTTGTATGGAATGGTCAAATGCTGAAACAAATAATAGTCAAACTGTTATACCAACTTCTATTCAGGTATTAAATAACACTGAAATATCTCTACAGGTCAGCAGAATGTGTATGTTAATTCAGGTCTAGATCAAAAGTTTTCTTAGTTTAAAAGTCAGTATAGCAAGTGTAAATGTAATATTTCACTGAACAGAACACTATGCACTGTACTATATATACCTGATGGAGATTTACCATCTTTCTTCTTCACTTTCCTCTTCTTCAGCTCCAAGTGCAATCTTTCCTGAGCCTGGACACTAGCTGTTGCTAGGGCCAATAAATCTGGATTTGAACTTGAAGATTCCATTGGGTCCTGTTTTTATCTGCTGAAATGAAAAAAAAAACTGCTGCTGTTTTGATACCATATTAATTGTGGCACTCAGTGGGCAGGGGATGGTTTGGGGAACAGGCAGAGTGCAAATTATTACTAGACTTTAAAGACTGCTTTCCATAACCTCAGCATACTGGTCCATACTAGCAGGACAGGGGCAGATTCAGAGATATTTTCTGACAGTCTTCCAAATTATCTTTGTTGATCCACTCTTCATTTTTGACAGTCTTCCAAAAGAAAAATCAGATACCCGTCAATGTAAACTTGAAAATCTGACCGTCTTCTGGAAGATCCAGAAGACGGCCTAATTTAGCCCCTGCCTGCATAGGAGGGATTCATTCTCACTATGGCAAGGCAATGCACATTACAAGCACCTTAATTGTCTGGCACGCCCCCTTGCAAACCAACATGAACAACATCATGGATCACAAAGTTCCCGACTTTACTTAAGTACTTTACGTTACGAGGAGCAGTGCTAAACTGAATGCAATTTAGTGAGAATCCCCTATTAGGTGTTAGATTGATCGAGCTACTACATGTACGACTGGGTTATGGGGACGGTCTCTAAGACTTGAAAGACTTTACACAAGTGCGTACGAGTACTACACTCTCTTAAATAGTTTTAATTACATTTAGCTTATGAGCATGACAAAATATTCATTGTAAAAGGTAAAATCGCAAACCCTTTAATCAACTATAGTACGTATAAAGACGGAACTAGTGAACAATATTATCGAATGTAACTTCCGAGGTTCGAGTCACTTAAATTTTTATGTTACTCAGCCGTCTTTAAAATTGATACGGCTAAACATGCTGTATTTCAAACTCACCTGGTAGAAAAAGTTTCTTTTGTCATCATACTGAATCCCAATGCATGGTTTATGAGCACTGTACTACAGAAATCATATTACACCGGTAGTGTCGATCTGTTGTGAAATGGTGTTTACAATTTGTCTCACCCGCACATTCTGCAAGGTCCACCTTGTCTCACCTGACACAATGTTAGTAATATCCTATTCATCGTTTTCAAACTAGCCATTTCTGTTATAATATAGATTATATATATGCTTTTAACTTCAATTTAAATATGAAAGAGAGGGATTTGCATTGCCAATTTTTGGATCTACCTGTGCACCAGGCATTTGGTCATGCAATCTCAGAATTTATACTCTACTCGTATAGTCTGGAAAATTCCAAAGCCCCATAAAGAACTAAGGAATTTCATTTTCTTTTCTAGTCAAGTCATATCAGTAACACTGTTATTATTTTCCTTTTATTCTCTTGCACAAAATATTGAAACATTATAATAACATTTGCAAATAAATTTATTTATTAACAAGAATCATTCATTACTTCATTTTCAACAAACAAAAAGTCCAGTTTAAAAACAAGGATATCATACAAGAATGTAAGTGTACTTTATCAAAAATATGACCATACAAATGTCCCTAATACATTATTGTAAGTTTGGACAGGTTCACTGAGTCAATTTTTCCCCACAATGCAAATTGCATTTAAATAAGGACACAATTCACTAATTAATGTAAATGGTTTCCAATGATATCTTTGTTCTTAGCATTTTTCACTACATGATCAATTTGGAAGGTTCAGTATGAGTCTACAAATTTTTGGGTTTTGGCACCGTACATTTTGAACTTCAACGAAAAAATCAAAAATATGTCACATTAAAAATTGCTTAAACAGAAGCATTATGTAAAAGAATGATTAAATCAAGAAACCCCCCTCTTAAAACATTCAATACATCATTATAGTCATTTTGGTACAAATTAAATCCATATGCAGCAACCTGTAGCATTTAAAGAGAAATTGAAAGATATAAAAAATACTGGTGCAATGAGGTACTTAACAATGATAGCCCAAGAACATCCAGTGAGGTGTTGGTGAGATGGAAGCCTGCAATTCTCTACTGACTACAAAAACTCAACAGCAATAACATGTTACATGTTTAATCTATATATCTATAAAAGATTACTCAGTATTTATTTAATTAATTCAACAAATCAAACTTAACATATGCTTTGCAAATCACATTTTTATGAAACTACGCACTGACACAGACCTATTTGTTAACTGCACACTAAAAACAAAAATAACCAGGTGTAGCAACTGAACATTATGTTCAAATGCTATTACAAGTAAGGCGCAATAATAAGTGAATATTCTTTTGGAATTCATAGTGCAACAAGCATAGGAAACTTGAACTCATGGAACTTTGGTGAAACAAAGGTAACAAGACTTCTTGAGACGAGGTTGTTTACTGTTTGATACAGGTCGGAGCAATCATGAAGTTATGAGAGTAATATTTGCACTCAGGCACATCCACTGCCATCACTTCCCAAGATATGTTCTCTCGCTTAAAGCCAGCTTCTAGAAGCTTGGGTAGCTGGGTTTCCTACAGAACATAAAGAAAAGGTGTTATACGGTAACTATACTTTTAAAATACATATTAATACAGCCCTATACACAAAAATCTTCCATGGAATTAATTTTAAACACAATCTTGTCATAAGAACTTCATGATATTTCTGCATCTTGCAAAACAGATTTGTTTCAGCAGCATTAACATTGCAAACAACAGAAGTTAAAATTATCTTTAAAAAAACATCCCTTAACATTCACATTACACTGAAAATAATCGTCCACAAAGCATAAAATAACACTAACTACCAGCAGCCTACCTCAAACATTTTGGCAATATCTGTGTACTTGGTCTTCATCAGTTCTCCCCAGGAGGTCAGATTACAGTAGGTGAGCACTCCCCCTGGCTTCAGCAGCCGGAAGGCATGGTTGTTGATGAAGTTGAACTGATGAGTGTGCCAATCCTCTTCACTCAAGGGGTAAGTATCATACATGATTCCTTGCCAAATAAAAACAATGGAATGAAATCTGCTATTAACATGTTAAAGGTATATTAAGGTGATTCTGCATTTAACCCTATATAAAAGATAGTATGATACTGTAATACTATCTGTCAATAAAAGATTATACAGTGCATCAATTTAAGAAGGTAACTTCTCAGAGACGTTGTATAGTATGATATATAGGTGATAAGTATGAAAATAGCAAGATAGATAAATAATACAATGATCATATAAACATGTTGTAATATTTAAACTGAATGATACTCAATAAACTAACCATCAAAGGAAGCATCTGGCAAAGTTGGCACTACATCTTCCCACATCCCCTTTAGTGGTGTGATCTGAAATAAAAAAAGTTCAGCAATAGCCATTCAGCCATTTTTCTAATTAAATAATTCCATAAAATTATAAATGCATTTTTGGACATGATATGAACACTCCCAAAAACCAAAGAGATACCTATATAATTCTTAAACAAAATTTTTTTTAGTTTTGTCTTCCTCAATAAAAGAATTTGCACTTGGAGATTGTCCACAGTAAAGTAAAATTTTAATACACATAGAACACTATATTTAAAGTAGATTTTGATTTCATTTGTTATCACCTAAAATATTTGCAATCCTTATCCTAATCCTTATCAGTAGAAAGATACTATAATTTAGTTCTGGAGACAAACAATTACCTTATGTTTTTGCTCTTTTGCCCACTTCTCTAGTCTTTGAAAAACGCCATCATTACATTCAATGATAGCATGTTCCTGTATATCAAACTCCTCTATCTTACTGGCAGATATGGCCATTCCAAAGCCAATTTCTAGCACCACTCCTCCTGAAAGCACAAAGCCAAATATAATTATTCCTTTTTAAATATTTGTGTTGGCACTTCTTCAAAATAACTGTGGTATTTCACCAAAGACAATTATTTTTCTTTAGTAATTCAAAAATTATAAGCTCAACAACTTAAATTGTTCATTTGCAGAAAATATATCAAATTTATGTGTATAGCATTATATTATTATTTCAAATACACATTGGGTAATTTACATAAATTAATGGTTTAGCAAAAGAAATAAGTTGCTTATTATAAGGTTAGTATTAAAATAAAAGGTCCATAGGAATAATTAGCATGAAAATTCATGCATAAGCACTTTAATTGACGGTTCTGTCCTAGGACCGCCAGTATATCCCAGAACTGTCAATAGGAGTGCTAACGCAGGAATTTTCATGTTAAGGAATAATTGATATGAAAATTTACACATCATGCAATGATTGCTAAATGGGACTTGTTCTGATTAACAATCTTTTCAAAGAATGCATTCTACAGTGAGCATCTCTTTTCCAGAGGAATGTACAATTTTCTTACAGGAATTAATCCAGACATTATAATAATACAGCTGAGCCTTCTTGAGCGATAAAGATAAATGCAATTCAAATATTTAACTTCAGAAAGTGGTGTCTTGCATTTATAAACATCATAACATTTACTTTCAAAACATAACTTATCTATAAGGAACTCCAAACTAAACAAGCTAAATATACAAAAACATTAGTTTCCATGCTATAATGCTTGTAATTAATGTCCATTTGTTAACCTACAATGCACAAAATTAGAGGAAATATTGATTTCATTAACTTTTTGAGTGTTCCACACTGAAACACCCCAACCTCCAAAATGCAGTTTAAAATCATAAATAAAAGTTTCTTATATTAACATCACTATTAGTCTAGATATAAGTTCCATATGCACTATCTCTGTATCAGTTGTTCAGCTTTTAAAGTTCATATTTATCAAGTACTTGTCCTGAAGGTGGATGTTTCCTGTGTACTGATAACTTGACATCAAAGTGATAAACACCAAAACCATGACCTTTAAGTTTAAGGCTGGTACAACGACTGATCTAAGTGCAGTAACTGAGTACCGAGGTTATTCTTATCTTCATTGAATATAACCATTCACATCTCTGCTGATAATTTGAAAAAATGAAATCTGAAAATTTGTTAATGTAGCACTCTGAATTAATCAAAACAAAGACCCATTTCCCATCTCCAGCTACTGGTATATGTGCCATAACTATGGGCGGTGCTGCAGCACATATGGTGTGGGTTTTTCTCACTATTCATTTAAGCATTTACATTTAGATAATTTGAAACAAACTAAGTAATTCTGAAAAAAAAATTGAAAAAGTCTGGTGTTAAATTAAACAATTAAAAATGGTTGGCAACAAAAGTAAAGACAAGATATGCAAGCAACATATAGCATTTGATACAAACCATAACTGCTCCATTTAATCCTACCAACCCAAATTAATATATAAAAGATTATTAAAATGGTACATCTACTTTATAAAACTTCCAGTAAGGGAATTATTTGCTAATGGTATATGCAATTCTACTAAAATGACATGTATCACATTGCCCATGGCATCCCTAGGGCATGTACGTAATGTTATGAGCGGCAACAGGGCCCTTCCTACACAAAGCTCAGGTGTACAGTAGTAAAAAGTATGTTACCCTTTTAAAAACACTGAATTTCCCCCCACTGCTCTGCAATAGTGCACGAACTGCACACTTCATTGTCTGTTATTGTACAAGTAATGCACAAGACAACACCCTTTTAGTTCACCAAACATTAAAATAAATGCGTCACGCTCTAGATACGAGTATGGGAGTTCAAGCAAATGCTCTGAATACCACACCTATTCTTTGTTATACAAATACCAAGTCAAAATAATTTTGGTGAGCCTGTAAGTTCTGCATATGGTTAAGAACAGAAGGTCGACTATACCAGTACTAATAGTACTTGGCACGTAGGCCGGCTAGGCTGAAACTTGAAAGTATCAGTACCTTTGGAGGCTGCGATTTCGGCTAATTTATGCATATAAGGAGTCTCCCATCTTTCCATGACGGGCTTTCCCATTATTTCGAGGTGTGTATCTGTTTCATTATAACCAGCACCCGCATCCTTCCAGCTTTGCTTACAATCCTCTCCGCTTTGAAAAATGCGCCCTCCTTGCTGCACGTCGGCCATCTTTAAACAATACCGCCACAACCAAATCTCTTCGTTTCTCGCAAGGTGCACGATAAATCTTTTCAAGATGAGCTTTCACTTTTATTTTAAGTAAACTGCTCAAAGTGAAATCAGTGAAATGTCCGAAAGAAAACCCCCTCATACATGCACTTTATTTACGGGTAATCTATATAAAATAGCATTCTTATAATCTATAACAGTCATCTTATTTTTGGCAGCCAGTAGATGTCAGCATGAACTTGACAACTTGGTCACGTGACGCTGAACCTCTAAACAACATGGAGGGGGACGAATTCTGTGTGCAATAACATGAACTTCTCATAGACCGTTTAAGTTCTTTTCATTATGGTGAGTTTTCAATTCCCAGCTTCCTTAACATGGATATATACCCCAGCTGAATAACGACTTATTATTGTATATGCATCTCGCTTAAATGACATGTTTGTGTAAAATTAGAAATGGAATGTAGATTCTTGGCAACTGTTAAAACAAGTAGAGCCATCACTATTATCAGCAGTGCTACTGCAACTGCTACCTGAAATATCGCATATATAATAAATGCTAATTTTGACCATTGCATGGGATATTAACAACATGTGCACATGCATGCATTGTCACGTAAAATCCCGTGATGTGAAAAGAATGTAAAATTATGAAGTTTTTACATTTTAGGTTTCAACACAAGGATTAATATTTTGAGGGGTAATTTTACTCAGTATTCATCTGCTATTTCTGCATTTCATATTCTTTTTTTTTTTTTTTTTTTTTTTTTGACAGATTTAGGTGCAGAATTTCATGCATTGATAAGCAATAAATCTTTTAAAGAACAGCTGGTTTTCATATTCTCAAGCTTTGTTTGCATATGCTACTTCTGCAGTTAAGAAAATGTGCCTTATTTTCTTTCTCCTTTTTCCGCCAGATTTAGGTGCAAGGTTAGATTCAATGAAGTATTAATGTTTCAATTATTGTTTGATTTGATAACTTCCTTGCTTTTTAGTTTTGATTGGCATCTTCAATCCTTTGCTAATTTGTAAAAATTACTCTTGAAAAATGACTCAAAAAGAAAATATTTATATATTTATCAAATAGAATATATTTATGGTCTTATTTCATGGGCATAAGTTACAGAGAATCTTTTTGGTCAATAAATTCCTTATTGTTCCAAGCAGATCAATGTTGAGACCAAAAGTCAACCAGGGCACATACTAGTAATGGGTTTTAAGTTATTTATATTTCCCTTCCTATTATTACAACAAATGTCAGACCAATACATTTTGAACTATGTGCCAGTAGCTGTCTTTTTATTCAGTTAAAATTGGTACACTGAATTCTATATGACAATTTATGGTTTAGTTGTAAGAACATATTTTACATATATTTTAGCAGTTTTTTATTGAATTTGTAATCTTTTTCAAACATTTACTGATATTAATACATAGGTATGTTTGGTGCATAATTGCTTTATGTAGACCTGCTAGATTAGATATACTGAAACTCAATTTTTAACAAATTGTTTGTGATATTTGACATTCCCTGTGGCTATATTAATTTACATTTCATTTGATGAATGTTAATTCTGACAATTTTGACTTTACTGACTTGTGACGTTAAAACACTTAATAACAATCCATATTTCATATGTATGTACTAATCACACAAGATAATTATGTCTTGCCATTACACATTTTTTGAGCAGTTTTCTCTATTCTGTCTATAGGAGACTATATTTGAAGACGACTTTGATCTGGACCCTCTTCTCCAGCCAGCCATGGAGGCAATGAGCTATGTGGGCAGTATTAACATACTGGACAGGGGAGACTCCCCAGCTCAGCTGGTGCTGGACAAGAATGCCAGGTCATTTGCACAGCGTATGGCTGACGATACTAAAGAAGAATTGGAGAAAGTAATGAAAAGAGTCGACCATGTAAGTAAATGAAAAAAATTGGAATAAGTTTTGGAATTGCTGTTAAGTGTAGGTCTGTGATTTAGTTTAGACCTAGGTGTAAATGTCCAAAATGAAATATCATGATTAGTGAAATTAAAAAAAAAACATTCCATTTTTCACAAATGTCTTATTAATTTAACCTTTTTTAAACAAATTTTGTTTTGCAATGAAATCTATCACTAACTTGAGAGAAGCAATACATATATTTCATATATGTACTTTAACCCATTATGAAAATTACCATTAAGCCCTGATACTGCCATGCAGGGCAGATTCATTTGAACAATTTTTGTGTAGATAGTGCATTAATGGGCAGCATGATGAAGAAACAAAACTTGTCTCACCAAATAAGAGTCAGAATAAATATTTTTGGGCTTACAGTAGCCTATTATATTTTACTTACAACAGCAAATTTCCATCAGAGGCAACAAAATAGTGAAGTTCTGTGGCTAGTTCATTCAAAATAGAAACTGGACTACTTGTATTCTGAAATAGTTTAAGCAGTGTTAGAATTTATGTAACAATCCTATAAACAATAATTTTAAGGAGGGGAGAGGGGTTTTTCTGCTAAAAAAGCGGACTTTTTCACCCCTCTAGTTGACCTAATTTAAGAAATGGCATAGATCATAAATCAAAATTTTACTTCAAGCAGATCTTTTAGGGCTTTAAGGGCAGTTCTTTTAACTTCCCCAACCCCTTTCCCTTTGGCTGTTTATATTGAAACAATAAAGAAAATAATTTAATCTTGCAATGGTAAAAATGATATCTTGTCAAGACCATAGGATCAGAAAAGTTGTCATACAGCACATACAGTAGATGTCTGTAGGAATGATGCACTTGAGTTGGTTTGATTGTTTGAGTTGTGCTGTTAGATATCTCTTCTAAAGCAATGCACTTGAGTACATATGCAGTTTGTGCAGTTGGAGAATTTTACATCAAAATCACTGCAAATCAGCAACACAACTTTGAATAAGATCTAGACATATACAATTTTGTAGTTGTCGTGAATCATCTTGTAAATGTTGATCTTCAAAAGTCAAATATCCAAATATCCAAAATTTTTGATACATTTTAAGGCTTTTTTAAAAACCAACAATGCTTACTTTCACTCCCAATAAGAATGCAATTGTTTAGTATGGATAATGAATTCATTACTTAAAAAGCATATTAGATAAGGTACATGTGTGGGACTGTCTCCTTCAGCTGAGATCTTTTTGACTATATTGTAATTAAGATGTAAAGTGTAATTTTGTGTTATTTTTCATAGATCTATGGCACATATGAATATGGTGAAGCTTTAATGGAGGGTGCTGGCAAGAACAACATGGAATATCTCAGTGATATTGTAAGTGTTTTATAAAAATGTAGATTCAATTTAAGCACCTTTTATCATTTCAATACAGATACATAATATTTGTTTTACTACTTTTAACATAAGAAGGAGATGAACGGGTTATTATCAAGAAAAGATTATGCATAAAATTTGTCATTTATGTTGTTTTACTTATGATTATTACTAATGATTACATTTATATAGCAGCTCAATTTCAGTAGTGTTGCCTCATTGTATTTGCAAGGTATCGGAGGTCAATTATTTCATATATTTCAGATGGAACTAGAGGAATTGCTGAGAGACACTGTGAAGAAAAGAAAGGTATAAATCCTCTTTAAGTCTTATTTATATACAGACACTATAAGCATCTGTATATATTCTGATTGGTCTGTCAGTGTCTGCTTGTATCGTCGCTGTCCCTGTCACTGTCACTTGTGCTGTCACCATCACCGTCGCTGTTGCTGTCCTACACATGACATTTGCCCCATAACTTTCAAACCGTATTTGTCAGCTTTGCTGTCTAGTTTCATCACAATTAAAATAAATTGGTTCTTATGATTATTTGATCCCTCTCATAGATAATACATGTTTTGTATTTAACCCACTCTAAAGAACAGTTGGTGAAATTTGTGAATCTCGTAATTTTTTTAATGTGATTTCAGTACCAGCAGCAGGTCACCATATTTGTGGTTGGCTACAAGAATGTGTCTGATCAAAGACTGAAACTTTTACAACAAGTCAATGAGGTAAGGTAAAGTAATTAAAATGAAATTTGTTTACATTTACATTACATTTTCCTAATTGAAAAAATTAATATCTTTAAAATTTTGCTAAGCAGATGGATATTAGTCAACTGTAATTAATTCAAAAACTTTATGTGTACAGATTACTTATTTGTCTGTAATAATTTCAGATTGATATACATGTGATGCTTTATTAGCAAAACATAATTTAATATTTTTCATATTTTATCTTCTTCAAAACCTTTTTTTCAATTGTTTTACTTACCTAAACTCATCAGCAATGTCTTTTTGCCAGCATTTATCTGCTAGTGGCTGGTATAATAGCAGTTCAGTATTAAGACTTAACTGGTCAAGAATGAATCTTGGATATTGAAAACAACTGGGAAACGCAGCCAGAAATCTAATCCAGTTGAAGCTCTTTGTTAATTAGTGGCATTTTTCTTTGGGATTTTCCTGTTGCCAAACAATACTTAAGGGCAATGAATGCCAAATCAATGTCCACTGACAGATCTGAACAAGATTTTTCCATTCTAGTTTCTGCTGAGTGATTTATGACCATGTTGAAACACCTATGGCATAGATGTATTGATTACTGTAAATATGATAATGTTTAGTATGCAGTAAAATTTTTTTTAAACTTTGCACATATATTATGCATATTTTTTATAAATTGATGTCAAATAGATTCTTTTTGTCAAGTAGAATGCAACATTTTTTACCAAAGTTTAGTTTCTGAAACCACTGTGCAATTTGTAACAAAATATGAGAGACAGGAAATATTTCAATATGGAAATTGCAGCCTTAAATATGCAGCATGAATTAAAAGTCCTTGGAAACTGAGATTACTAAGGTGGCTTTCAATTGATATGTTTGAATGTATCAAATTAGAGTGCATAAAAGATCTCTTATGTTGGTTTATCAATTAATCCTTTGACATTAGCATCAGGGCATTTATTACCAAGAAACATTCCTTTGTTTTTTAATTTTAATGGTCAAACTGAAACTACAATTCTTTTAAAAGGTTTGAAGGTCATCCAGTATTGGGATATAAGTGCTTTACTTAACCTGTTTTATTTTGTGAATATATCTTCTTCATGATGTTGTAAGTTTTCTGGGGTAACCATGTCACATGGGATCGTTCATTCAGCATTGATATTCATTTTAGGTCAGTAGTGTTTACAAGTATTTTATTTTTTATATATATAATTTTTTTTTTCATTTTTTTTTTGTTCCAGTTTTTCATTGAAAATTCATCAACTTTTGATGAGGAAGATCTGAGAAAAGGCAGCCCTGATATTGACCTTGATGAAGTAGCTGTAAAGATTACAGACTCTCTCAACACAGCGGCTGAGCTAACTCAGCGTATTTCAGATCTGAACAAGGAAATGGTAGAATACCTAACAAATTATGCACAAGCAAAAGCCGGAAACAAGTAAGTGATATGGCTGTGAATAGGGAAAATAAGAATGCACATTGAATAACATCAATATGATCAATGTGTAAACAGGCATGTATCATAGTCTCTTTGAATGTGTGTTGCGATTTTTTTAGTGTGTATATTTGACAATGACTTTATCCATTAATCTATAAAATAATACCATTGTAATATCATATTGCAAATTTATTTTTCTGAAAAAATGTATTTTATGTAATGAAACAGAAGGTGACAGTTAGTGTAAGACATAGTTAATGATGTTAATTTTATACAATTATTGCAACAGCCCAGAATTGTTCCTGAGAGAGCAGAGGTAATGGTGTTGTACCATTGTGCATGGATGTAATTCTGGCAACTATTGAGCTGTTTCTGTTCTCTTATCTATGTGTGTCACCCTACCCCTTGTTGAATTATACTTGATTTCAGTTCTTTTATCACTAAATGTTTTTAATCATTTAACTATTATTTATGACATTTTTTGTGAATTTTGTGAATTAAATCCATGTTAAACTGTGCTCTTTAAACATTCTTAAAGATTGGCTTTAATTGAAATAAATGCTTCATTTACATTGGTTTATGGTTACGATTGTGGATATTTTAATTTCTTATCATTTGAAGAATTTACCAGTATTGATCTTTCTAGTAATTTTTACATTTCAAACTAAAGCAATTGCCTAGTAAATAAGTTTTTAAGCATGCTAACTCTATAAGCGCATTATAAAAAAAATATATTGCTGCAGCCTTAGAATTTTGTAGACTTACTTTCTGACAATTGCAAAAATTCACTATAAGATGTTTTATTATATATAGCAGGTGGTATTTGTAGACTTATGTCAAAGTGTTTATAACCAGGCTTTAAGGTATTTTGAAACTGAAACCTAAGAAATTGAGACTATATATGATATTTATCTATAGTAAACAAATATTGATTTGATGCATTTACATCACAGTTTTAGTGTATGTGCTCACATCGAAAACTATCATGTGATAAAATCATCATGGGTCACCTCACAGTTTGCTGCACAGGTTGATTTGAATGATGTTAGACCGTGTTCACAAAGTGACCCTGTTTAAGATTTCCTAGGTAGAAAGGTTTGAATAAACATTGGCAATGAAGATGTAGTTAAAGTGATGACATGACCAGAAAATTACAAGTCATATTTTTGAGAAACATTGTTTATGAAATCCCAGCAGCTTAAGATTGATTTTTTGCTGAAGCATTCCCAGAGACAATATCAATTACTCTGGGACTCCAATTAATTTATTTCACAAAAGCCTAAGATATCTCATTACCTTGGAAGTGTATATTCACCTGATGCATCAATACAAATCAATCTGGAGACATGTTGCTAATCCTACTTCTGTTGTTTAACTTAGAGGTCTGTTATTTTAAAGATCATTAATAAATCATAAATCTATTGTTATAGTGGACAGTTGTCCACTTCTTAAGATTTATTTAAACCGTGTATGAAATCATCTGGCTCAGTTCTTGGATGTTATTCCTAATTTTATGGTCATGGCTGTTTCCAGGGGTAGAAAGAAGCTGGAGAAAGCATTGAATATGGCCAAAGAAGACATAGTAACCTTAAGTGAGAAACTTATGGCAGCACAAACAGGTCAGAATTCAATTTAAGTTGCACATAACATAAACATAAACAATATTATTAGATTTTTATATGGTGGAGTAAATATAATTGAAAAATTTATTTTATGCATTATTAATAGCATTGGGGAGGAGCAATTTGTTAGCATCTCTTTTAAAAAGAGTTGAAGCAGCTCCCTCAGTTCTCAATGATATATAATGTTCTGCTGTTATTTTCAGATCTTGAAGAGAAAGAGGACAAAATGCAGCAACTGTTCAAGCAAATTGAGATCAAAACAATGGAAGCCACAAGATATAAAACTGCTGCAGAAGTTGCAAAGGTAGAATTGGCAATAATAGCTTTTTTGAAGTTTTTAAGAATCTTATCTGGAGTGGCAAGAACTTTTGCTTGATCAAAGAGGAGGTGCATTTAGAAACCCTTTTGGGTGTAGCAGGAAAAAAATTATTTTTACTTCATAATTTTTGTTTAATGTCTGAATGGAATTTAGTATAACCTTTTGCCAGTATATTTATCCCCCCTTTACTTATTTCTTTTTCAGAGAAATGCTGCAGGCACTGAGGCTTTACAAGAAGAACTGGGAAAAAAGAATGCTGAGTTAGAAGAACTGAAAAAACTGGTCAAAGATATGGAGTTTGAGGCTGCTCAGAATGCATATGCCAAAGAGAAATCGGACACAAGGCTTATGGAAGCTGCTCAGGCAAATAAGGTAACACAGATATATTTTCAACTTATGGCTACAGTTGTTTGACTGACACTTTCTAAAATAATTTTTTCTAATTGATTTTGCTTAAGATTTTGACTTGGTTAATACCTTTTAACATGTTTTTCAATAAAAGCTGTTCTTTTTATTCCTGGGAATCCTTTATTGATATACTGTTTAGGGATACTTTCTAAGTATACTATTTATCTTTTATTCAACTGATGAAATGCCTCTCTGTCTTTCAGTCTGACCAGATTCAAGAAGAAATACAGAAAGCGCAATTATCTGCAGATGCCACAAAGAGAGGTATGTGTTTTATTGACAAAACTTGGACCTGTTTTCAATATTGTTTGTTTCCAAAATGTGTGATTTAAGCAAAAATCTTTCTTCAGCTCATGATTTGTAGCATTTTAAGTTCACCCAACCTCGTTGTAAAAGAGCTACTTCCCAATTAGCTTGTGTATTTACTAACGATTAACCAAATTTATTTAGCAAATGTCTAGCTGCTACCTGTTGTTATACCTGTCATTTTAGAAGTTGACCCCCCCCCCTGCTTTGTGGTTAATCCTTCTGTCTCTATTCGGTGGTGGTTTAAGAACTTTATTTACTAATATGTTGCTGCTTTTAATTGTACTAATTTGAATTTTTTCATTTTATGCTTAAAGCTGTTAATTTTGTCTTTATTTCTTGGCTCTTGTTATAATTTTTGTTTTGAAATAGAGGAGACAGCAGTTGTGCTGGAGTGGAAGATTTCAAAGCCTGGTAATTTGAAAACCTGACTTTAAGAGTTGGCTGTGTGTTTTAGATGAACATTATGCAGTATTGATTGGAAGTATTTTGAGTTAACTGTGTAAGCTAGGGAGTAGTTATTGTTGATAAAGATAGCATTTTACTGCATACATGTTTATAAATACAAAATGCACATACTCCCATCAAATCATGAGGTACTTAATTTAAGCTGTGAAATGATATGACCAAATTGGACTTAATTTTTGCATATTTGTTTTCTTTTCAATTTGATAAAAGTTCTTTATAAAGTGAGTCCTTGCATGCATATTTTTCATATGTGCATGCAAGCAAGCATGTTTGAGTGTGGGCTTTATGCGAGTTAATAACTAGTTTTGCTTTCTTTCATTTTTAAGCAAATTAGTCTGTTAAAATGGGCCTCAAACTTCCTTGATATGATGTGAATTTTGAAAATGTACATTGCTGAAGTCGGTGTCTTTTTTGTTGTGTGCTTTTAATATGAAAAAAAAGGCATGATTCCTAGACAGAATTTTTGTTACTTAGAACCTTTGAAAATAGTGGTTAGAATAAGTTGCAAAGATGCATAGTATTGCAATTGTTTGTATAGCAAAATAATTTAAACATAAATTTATCAGTCAGAGTGTTCATGTTTTGATGACTGGAAAGTAGAAACAGTATCACTAGATTACCACTTATGTAGGATAATCCTCCAGTTACAGTGTATTTCAGTTATACATTTCTAAAATTACATTTGAATGATCTTTATCTTTCATTTAGTCGATTCTTTAAGAAACCAATGGTAAATTTAGGGAAAAAAGCAAACATTATTCCTTAACCCTGACCAAAATACTTCTTGGCATTTGTTGGACATGCTTGGTAAGCCATGCAATTATACCTCCAGTAAGCTCACAGAGAAATATTTTGTAACTAATGCTTCTATACAATATGAAATTCCAGATCTGCAACAGCTTTATGAGAAACAAATCAGTGATCTAGTCAAATATCACCAGGAAGAGATAGACCAACTGAAGAAGCAACATGAAGCAGAGATTAGGAAGCTAACAGTAAGTACAATAGAGCTTTTGTATTGTACTGTATTACATGCACTGTATTTATGGGAGGAAAAATCGAGGAATGACATCTGTTAAAGCAAACTACTGATTGATTACTCATTAGGATTTAAATTTATAAGCATTAAATTAAATTTTTATCATCTTTTTTTAATAGTTTGCAAATTTTTATCTATGTTGTCATAATTATAATGTGACTGCATTACTTGGATAGAAAAGATGAATCAGCAATAGAAATAACATATATACTTTTTTTTATTAATTTGTTTTTGTAAAAAAAAATAATAAATAAAAACTTTAGTATTTGTACAAGTATGTGTAAGGGTTTGTCTTAGCTTCCAAAGTTATTTGAGATCTAGTATCCTGATGTAAGGTTGTGGCCTGTGAACTATTACCCAGATTTTTTTTTTTTTTTTTGTCAAAAAAGGAAGTTTTGTATGTGTTGAGCATATGAAAATGAATGTCTCATGTCTAGAATTCTTGGAACAGATTTGAAAACGCAGTAACATGGATTGTGCATATAGTGGATTTCAGTTGAGGCAAAAACAATCAAAGTTACAATTTGAAAATATTTTATATACATTATTTTAAATGCAAGATTAAAGTTAACATGGGTTTTAATTGAAAAAAAATGGAAATACTATTAAAAGCTATATGTAGCATTACCAGTTGAGAAACCTCCTACATTATCTTTATTATTGTGCATAAGGCATTAATTAAAAAAACATAAAGAGATTTATCATTCCTTTTTTTTTTTTTTTTTTTTTGACTGATCAAAAAATAGCATTTTCAGAATGAAATATTGTTTAAATCAAAGCAATATGTACAAGACTAAATAAAGGGATGATTAAAGTACTTAAAGGGATAATAACTCTTCGTTTCAGCCAAAAAATGAATTTTCCTGGAGTAAACAACAATTTTCCCATACTTACCAATGGTTAATGAATCCATTTTTACATTCAAAGTTAGTTCCTGGTTTTTTCTAAAAAGTTTGGTTTTTTGTTAAAATCTCAGATTTTCACAGAGTATAGCCATCAATGGAGGTCAGGTGGTCTAAAGACAAGAATAATATCAGAATAATAGCTATAACTGCCGTTTTTGTGGTAAAACAGAATATGTTATATTTCTATGACTTATTCACAATGTTTTTATTGTGAAATATAGATCTCATACGAAGAGTTATTATCCCTTTAAGACCGATACTCAAACCTTTTTTATTGCTTCAGATGTTTTATGAATATGTGCAATAAACCATACCCAAAGCCATCTTTGAATTGCATTGTTATAGATTTAGGAAGCCTTTTTATTTTATTTGTTTGATATTTGTATAGATTTCAGCTTTGTGTTATTTCATTTCTTTATTTTCAGGTCATTACAAATGCTTTTTTCTCCAACAGCTTCCAGTGACTGTGCACATTTCATAAATGTGTGTCTTCTTTATTTTTTATTCAGCTGTAGAATTTCTAATGAAAGGAAAGTGATGCATGGAATTAATTAATTTTTTAAATCTCAGTTAATTAGTTAAGCAAGTCAGTGATTTCATATTTGCACTTTTCTAGATGGTCAAGTTGATACCAAAGCTTTTTGGCCTGATTTCATGAAAAAAAAAATTATTTCATTTTTTTTTCTTGATAACTTGTGCATTTTCTATCAAAAAAAAAAGAAAGAAAAAGGAGAATCATATTTGTACTTAGAATTTTTTATACTAATTTTATTCATTTATTTTTGGCAAGAAAGAAACCTTATATGTATATATGCCCCTCAAAAAGATTAGTTCAGTGAAGTTCAATAGATAAAATGTAATCAAGCTTATAAATGATAGTGATGCCAACTACAATATGATAACATTTTCTTTCCTTGGCATAAATCACTACATTTATGTGCTATAAAGATTTCTCTCTTTATAAATCTATGGGACCATGACCATAAAGATTGTTGATTTGTTTCTAAAGTAAGTTGAATGTAACGTTTACTCAAATACTCAAACACAAGTGTTTTAAATAGTAATCCCTCAAGTATGTCTAGATAAGAGAATACAAAGCTATTCACAGTCTTCCTGTGCTTTGGTTGTAATTGTTGTTGTCAAGTTATAAGTAGTCCTACCAAACTGACATGTTTAAATTAAAACTTAGGGACATTTGAGGATTAGTTTAAAAAAGAAGGATGACGTGAGAAAAAAATAAATACATGTAGGTCTTTGGAAAATGAGACGAAGATTTAGCCTTCCGTCAAGACCAACAAGAGCTCTTCAAGAACTGCAGTCTGTAAGTGATTGCCAATATTTTTTGTCTTGAAAAGAATTACTTAGACTAGGTTTCCAAAGCTCATTTAAGGGTTCAAATTTTGTAATTATGTATTTTTTTTCTTGAAAAAGCATTTTTGCTTCATGTGATTAAATCATTATTGTTTATTCAAAGGCGATCGTGTCTGACATAGATCTTGCTCAGGAAATTGAGTTTTCGTCATCATATATGTTTAAAGATTTACACACATTGAAATATGAGAACCTGAGAAAAGATTTAGTTTCATTTGGATAGATTAAGAGGAAATCTGATATGAATAGAGAGCATGAAATGTGACACTGTACTAACAGAGTGGATGTGTATGACAGTGGTTGAGTTATATGTGATTGTATGTTCCCAACCTGATTAATTGTGACTGTGCTTTTGCCTAATGAAAAAAAAACAAGATTTTTTTTTAGAGATCTTGTTATTACTTTGTTTGCTGAAAATAAATTCTCATATGCTGATAGATTTCTGCCCTTTATGAATGAAAATTTTAAATAGGTGGTATAATGCCATGGCAACAACTTGTTTCCAAATTCCCTTTTATTTCACTATGGTAGCATGTTGACACCAATGCAGAAATTTGTCAAATTCAAAATTTTATTATTTTCATTTATCACTGTGGTAGCATGTTGACACCAATGCAGAGATTGATCAAATTCAAAATTTTATTATTTTACATAATTTTAGTACATTTGGAATAGAGCATTATGAAATCAGTGTGAGAATTAAATGAAATTTTCACATTGGGTGGAGGAGGGACTATCTCAGAAGGTCAAAACAATAAGAATTTTACAGAGAAATTGCAATGCTTTATTATACATTGTGAGAATATTTTATATTTATAACATTTTGTGGAATATTTAATTCAATGGGAAAATTAACGGACTGGAGTTAAAACCTCATTGTATTCAAATTTTTAAAAAAGTTGTTCTTAGAAACAGAAATTTTAAGTACTTAATGTCCAAATTATGTTAAATAAAAAGAACATGTATTCCTTGCTGTTGTATTTCACTTGCTTCTGAGATATTTCTAAGATAGTGGATATGAAATAAAATATATTAAAATAAGATTAAATTATTTAATATAAAAACTTTTTTTAATGATTTAGAGAGGTAGTTATTTTTAAGTAATCATTTAAAGTACTTATGTTAAAACACACTTCAGTACAATCCAGTGGTATCTGTCACATAATCTAGCAAAGTTGAAAAATATTTCTCAACCTCTTTTGACTTCATGACCAGTCAAACACACTAGTGTATGGATCAATAACTTTTAATGTGTTTATTCAGATCACTGGTCGCTTACTTCAGTTCTACAGAGACCAAGTTAGGCACAAAGAAGTGCCTTTACGCCCAACAAAGGCACTGTATTGAACATGCTTTCATATTTGTTATTGACCGTTTCCCCTTACAATACAGGGCAGCCTAAGGTTTGAGTAACTCCATTCTGTATGTGTACGTATTGTATTACCAACACATGTGCAGTGGAAGCCTCACTCTGAACTGAACTATATTTACTTAACTTCCATTGGAGACGACCCCAGCAATTGATACATGTGTGCTAGAGGACCTGCAATGTTTTGAGAAATAGGTGGAATTTTTGTCCTTCCATTAATCAAATTGGATTTGACTGCCAGGAGAAGTCAGAAAAAAGCCTCCCTATCAGAATGGACTTGAGATTGACTGGTTGCTAGGAAGCCGTTTAGAGTAGAATAACAGGTGAAGGTCACTTGCCGTGTTGGTCAGGACGCTTATCACCTCAGTACTGTGTAAGTTACAGATTAGCCAACAGTTAGGACATTAGAAGACAACTTTTTGTGAAGTTTATGCTCTTTATGAAAGGCTAGAAAGGATAAGCTCTGGATTAAGGTATTGACTTGTAATTGAAACATCAATTGGATTTCAAAATATGTCTATCGATAATTATGTGGCTTTATTCTGCTTGACTTAAGCATTCATTAAGCTGTCAAGTATTTTTGTTTTTGAAGTCACAAATTTATCATCCAGCCCTTACAAATTGATTAATGGTAATTTTTATGTTATTGTCCCCACAGCAAAATTATTTCTCTCCTTGTTTAAATTGAGTAGAATGTGGGACATAAATATTAAAAGGATATATCAAATTTCTTTTTGTTACAAAAAATAGTTGAAAACATATAAATCTCCTGAGAACAGGAAGCAGTTACTTTCTTCTATAATGTTTAATGGGCTTTAAAAGCCATGGCTTGCCAATTTCTTTCTGACGTCAAAAAATTGTTCCAAATATTTAAAAACCCACCTGCTGTGACGTATTCCAAGTAGAATAAATGTTACAGCGAGTGAGGGGGGTCCTGGGAGAATATCCATATTTACTCAGCAAGCACATGACAAAGTTGTGCTGAACAAGGCTTTGCCACAAGACGAATAATCAATAGTTCTACTGATAACATTTCTTACAATCTGTTTTTCAATGTAAAATCATAGGATATCACGTACACATACTTTTTTGTTCAGCTCAGTGAGAACGTACATTGTATGCACATTTTCCAGAATTCAGATGTGGATAAGGGATTTTCCATATGGGCAACTCCACAGGATTTTATTACATGATGGAGCGGGATTAACAAACATTTTAACACAGATTAGCTCCTGAAAAACAAAAAAGCAACCGGGGAAAAATACGTAGAAGCTTGCTTTATGGGAACTTAAGATTACAGGGATAAAAGTTTCAGTTGGATGGAATAAGGATGGCAATGCAGGTTCATATAGCCCAGTACAGGGATCTGAGGCTGTTGATAGACAACAACCCTACCCTGTTCTTTGACGTAAGTATATAGCCACTAAGGAAAAGAAACAACTGATGTGAGAAAAAGTGCTGTGTGAAAGTATAGATCAGTTTGTTACTAACAAGTGATGTATGCTATGTGTTTGAGTGGGACAAGATAGAGAGACATTGAGGGAAATAAGTTTTTCATATGCTCTCATCTCATATAAAAATAAGGCAGCTCAATTTTCATTGTTATTGAGGAATTAATTGATGGATCACTGCTAGAATTGAGTCTTTTCAGATGTGACCTGACCTTCTTCAAAATTTTATCAAAGTCCTTTCATAACTTTTTTTGAGTTAGCTAGGCTGTCAACTAAAAAACCAGCAAAGGCAAAAACAAATTTTCCTTGGCAGGGTTAGTTAGATAATGTTTAAAAGTTGGGATGTTTAGAAATAAAAAACAAGGCTATATGAAAAAAGTCAATTGAGGATTGCATATTTTGAAGATGAAAATAATAAATAGATTTTCTTTTTCAATATCAAAATGTAGCTTTAGCCATTTTTNTGATTAATATATTTAAGATGGAAATCATCTTTATTAATAGATAGGCATTGAAAAGCTTGTACTGTCACTATAATTGTGAGCATTTACTTACTTTAACTTCTGTAGAAGTTCTTGTGTATTTAACAGAAAGTGCTCTTCTTATTCTTAGTGTGTGATTATTGACAAATTCACTTGTAGTGCAGCTTATCCCTTGTGTCAATGGTATGAAGAAATCATTTGAAAGTAATTTCTTTTAACCTTCCAACCCATGATATCAGTGGTGTGGGGGGTTTGATTGAAGTTGGGATTAGGCGCCCTAGAGCCCTTGCCCGTCACAGTGCCATTAGGATTATTTGATTGCTGCCTGTGCAAATTTTACTGGCTGTTCAACAAGCACTTGTTATTCTTAAACATTTCCAGATTGACGTTGAAAAGTAGTCTTACAAGTTGATTTTAATGTCAAGCAAATTTTGGGTTTTTGTATTGAGGATTAGTATGCAAAACTGGCTTTAGGATCTCCTGTCTGATTCTTGTAAAGGCCATATTTCATGATATTTACATTTTTTTTTCAGTTATACAAAAACTAAAATTATAATTTTTTGTATACATTTTGGAATAATCCAACATTTTGTACTAAGCCCATGTCATTTATTAGTGTAGTTCTCTACGAGCACAGGATCGACGTTTCCATCTTCATCTCTTCATTGGTATCTTATCTCTATTATTTTGGAGTCTGGCTTGAGAAGAGGCTTATTGTCCTTGGTTACTATCAGTCATCATAGGGCCTCAGCCCCAGAGACTGAAAGCCTTTGATATTGATGAGAGCTCAGTAGACAGATAATGGACAGTATGAATAGTTTTTATGAGCAGCATCGCTTCAGCATGCTGAGTTTCAGATCCTGTCAGGAACTCTAATCTGTATATCTATAACCAGTGTATTCTTAGTTAGAGGAAAGCCAGCAGCATTATTGTCACAAACTGAGGATGTGTTTTTGTGGATGTGTCTCATATTTGTTGAAGCAAAGTGGGATATTCTAGTTGCTGGGTGTAATTTTTCACGTAATTAGCAATATCAACATTATTTGAAATTATTCATGAGAAATGTAGGTTTTTGAACATTAATTCCTTGGTTGGGGAGTTACTTTGTGTGAGGTCTGTGGTGCTTAATTGGATATTGTGCACACTCTTGAGTAAACAAAGTTATTGAGTGGTTTCATATATTGATCAATAAATATTGAACTCACTTTTTGTAATGCTCATGCATGAAGGCTAGTTTTCTTACTATGTACATTTACTTGGCAAATTTGTGTTGTAAATCTTTTAACATTTTTTGTCTCATGGTAAAGTAATAGCTTCAAGATAGCTGGAAAAAAACATCTGTACACACACAGATTGATGCAGTTTTGAAGTACCATTTTTCCTTGGTAACTTTCACATTTATTGTATGCTTTCAATTTGCCTGAAATAATTCTTTTAGGAAAAAATAAAATGCTTTATGTAACTTGTACTTCATGATCTTGGACATACCTTATGGCCTAATTTTGGCAATAGGGGAACAAATATTTATGACAGGTGACACCTAGGAAAAAGTAAATGGGTCTCAGTTCAGCAGTATCATTAATTGCTTGGCAAACATCAGACCAGGGTCTAGAAAGGCTTTTTGGTATCCCCTGCTATGGGGGCTCACCATTCATTATTCTAGATGTTTGTAAGGTTGACGCAGGGGGACCCAATGTACATAAAGATTTCATGGTTGAACCTTTGCAAGCAAATAGTTGTTAATATAGAAAAACAAAGTATTTTTGATAACATCATGCCTAATGCACAATGCCTATTTTTCTCTTTCTCACTTCGGCTGGGTGGCATTGTTGACTTTGGAGTCGGTTCAACAAAAAAGAAGTTTTACTATAGTAGAAGTCATCTGGGGGTTCTTAACTAGTACAAAGTGTATACAACTAGGTAGTCATGGCAACTGCTCTAGGGGTTTGACACGGCAGAAAGAATTTATGTTATTAATTGCCAAATCAGATGCAGTTAACTTTATGAAAACATTATGTAGCTTACCATTTTTTATGGAAGAAAAATCAACAATTATCCAATTAGTCATATTCTGTAGGAGATGGGTATTGGGTTTCAACATTGAAATATGGATTGAAATTAATAATAGGATTTCTTTCTTTTTCTCCCATTTTTCTTTCTTTTTTTTTCTTTTTTCTGAAAGCGAAATATATTTACATCGCATTAATTCTGAATAAGAAATGCATCACTTTTCTTAACATTACTTCATATCATAATAAGGTCCTTTTTCCGCTTCATTTGTGGATTATCCTTTGATGGTGAATTGCATTTTTAATCAGGAGGACATAAATACATTAAACAGAGAGCTGAAAGGTTTGGAGAGAAGCCATGATCAGCAATTGAAACTTCAAGAACTTCACATGCATAGGAAACAGGCCGATCATATGAAAACCTATGAACAAAAGTTGCTGCAAAAAGATAAAACTATTGTATGTAAAAGAGTTTACTTGTTGCATTCACTGTCACTGAATTGTTGCAGCTCTCCCTTTGCCAGACCAATGTGACTCTGTAGAATCTTGAATTTCAGTTGCAGCAAGCTCTTATAGGCACTGCTTAATCTTTCTTTTTATGTGGGTGTCACTCTGTAGCACTTTTTATTTCTATCATTATATACATCTTATACTTTTTGCTTTTTTATTTATTTATATATTTTTTTACCTGCTTGTTTTACTTTTTTCTTGCATGCATAGAGCTTTACTGCTTATCTCTTTCATTTTTTAACAAACTTTTCCATCTCTACTTTTTATAACAGTCTCCAAGCACATTTTCTGCAGTTTGCAAAGATAGATAGATTTTCACATATTTTTTTACCTCGTACCCTTTTGTTTTCTTTGTGACATTAATTTAAAAATCGGTTAGTTTTGCTTAACTTGAACTTTTCATTAGTATTTTCTAATAGTCTAAGAGTTTCAAACTTAGGTGTTGGTACATTTTTGTTTTCTATTTTTTTTATTTAATTGATTTGTGCTTTGGGTTCTTTAATTCTTTCCTCTTTTACTGGCATAGTTTTTTATTTATTTTATTTCTGCATGCAAAGCTTGTACTGATTCTCATCAATACAATTATCCCCTGGCAATCCAAAAGTTGCAATAAAAAGTGCTCTTATAAAAAAAAAGGAGAAAAATTAAACAATTCATGTCACTTCCCTCATAGGCTGAACTAGAAGGTCTAGTAAGGACCAATACCACTGCCTCAGAAGCAGCAAGGCTAGCTAAGCAGAAGGTAGAACAGCAACAGCAACTGTTAGAACAGCAGAAGCAACAGCTTGATCAACAAATATTGCTGCATCAACAACAGCAGCAACAATTTGAACAAGAGAGACAAAAGGAGCAAACCGTGTCATCTCTCCAACCCCCTGAAATAGTTGTATGTGAAGACATTGTATGTGATTAATATGATGTATGAATGATGTTTTGGGTTCCAGTTAACCTAGACAAGCTGTGCCAACATTAACTCATTTGCTGCACGTTTTATGGCACTTTTTAAACAATTAATTTTAGTCCAATACTGTAAAATCATTGAAAAGGCCATTGTTTTTTCTTCAGTATGATCAAAATAAAATCGACTTGTTAAGTGGTTCACTCAGAGCCATGATCATTACTTGTTTTACAATTTTTTTCTTGTTTGTTATAAAATTGCAATTTTTAAACAATTGCCTTTTTAATCTCACAGAACCAAAGGTTTTTTAACTGATGAGAACTTCTCTATTAAAACATGTTCTAATCATTTTTGTTTATATATGCATGCAACATTTTGCTTTTAATTTTGGCCCAATATTTTATGACAGAGCTTGCAATATTTATATATTTCAGCTTCTGTGATTCAATTACATCAATTTCTATTGACCATTTGGTTTTCAGTGATCAAAATGCTTTATGATTGTAAAATACACACCTTTCGTATCTTATTGCAATTTGTCAAGCTAGAATTTAATGCAGATAAAATTTAATATGTAAATCATATTTCAACGATGGAGTTTGTTGGCTCTAAAAAGCCAAAAGTCTATTTTTTCACCAGTACTGGACAATCTGTACATTGCATAAAAGGTTTTCTGAAGCAAAGGCCTCTACAACCAAAGCAGCGGCTGTGTGACCATGCAGTTATTACATTTTCCAATGCACTCGCTAATTTTGAATATAATGCTTTATTTATTAACAGCTATAGTTTATGAGAGTTAACCATTATTATAGTATGATTCTGGTCTGATTGATGTCTTTATGAGAGGAGAATGCTTGAATGGTTTTAGTTTTCATGTGGAGCTCATTCACTAATGTGTTGTTATTGTGACATAACACTTAGGGCACTTGGTTCATAACTCATAACAACAATAACAGGATTATTGGCTACAATGCCATAACCTTTTATATTAGGTGCTGAGAGTGTACCTGACCCATGTATGGACGTCTGCTGTGAGAGTCTGATGTGAGATGAAAGGCCCACTATATCACGTGGTATTTGGGCTCTTTTTAGAATGAGTGAGACAGTTTTGTACTTAAAGAGATTTAGTTTAATGTTTGATGGTTTCTAAAAGACAGTAAGTCTTTTTTATGAATACTTGGTTATGGTTTTAGATAAATGTTAAAAATTGGTGAATTTTTTCACACTTTCTGAATTTCAAAAAAAGTTTTTTGTTTTTGTTACTTGAACAAATTGCAATATTTATTTTTCATTAAAAATTGTTTTCTTACATTGGAATGAAAATCTGACCAAACAAAATTTTAAGTATAAGTGGGATTGAATGTGCTGTTGTTTCTCAAACAGATAGTGTAGTATTGCTTAGAGAAAAGTGAGTTTTTTAAATATTTTTTGTTTCTCCTATTTCAGACTGAGAAAAGTGATGACTATGAGTCGGCACAGTCAGATGTTGACGCTGAAAGTAAGCTTTCAAGGCAAAGCACACGGCAGGTGAGGAATCTGTTTCATTCTTTGATCAAGGGAGAATATTTGCGCTGGGTATTTTATCATATAGGCCAGTATATTATTAAATCATAGAGTATTCACAGTCAATTAACAACAGTTCACTAAAATATGCACAGTTTTGAATAGATATCCAGTTTAATCATAATTCAGGTGCTCTTAGTTGGGCATTTTCCTATAGTTTAATTGGTTCAATTTAAGAAGTTACAAATGAAAGATTTGAAAAACCATCTAAAAGTTATGATATCTTTATTCTCACACTCAGAAGAAAAAGAAAGTCAGAATTAAGGTTGGTTGTGGTATATGTAGGTTTGTCAATGGGTCATTCAACTCACCCTTGTCGGTGAGACTATTGTTGTGATGTTGTATATTATGTATATGGTGATATCTGATACATCGATGTTGTACCACAGTGGTGCTATCATGGTGTTTGACTGAGTTCATGATCCGTGATAATTAATTGGATGTTTCAACATAATGAAATAATAGATAAATAGAACTTTCTCAGCCAGTGATTCCCTAATAAGAAAAGAAGCACAAGATGTCTAAGACATATTAGTTTCTGAATTTGGAAGTTTGGAAAAAATACCTGAATCTTTCAGGATATCTGACTTGATTTTCTGGGAGCTTGATATTTGTGGCTTATGTAACTTTTGGTTTTTAAAGAACATAATTAAGCTGCTATTTGTAAACTTATTGGATAACTCTTCCTTTTAGTTTGTCATTTCATTTACTTTTTAATGCATCTTGTAGAAGTAACAGAATTAGCTTTTAATGTAGTGATAATATTTGGTTTTCTTTCTCTCTGTAGAGATCCTTGTCTGCCAGTCTGCTAGGCAGAACTCGCCCTAAAGATTCTTTTGTGGAAGTAGTTAAAAGATCACTCACAGACACTGAACACTACATGAATGTAAATAACATTGTCCAAACTTTCAGGCATGGATCCTAAATATTAATCCCAATGATATATGAAGTATATTTATATTAAACTTATTACAAAATTTTAACCACTGAGTCATTCTAATAAATACCCTGACCTTTGTTAACATTGACAAGGCTGGCTGTACCTATAGGACTGTTCATTCCTCTTGGCTTTTTCTACCCTCCTTATGTATACCTAAATAAGTGTAATTTTACAGTAATATTAATGATATGTAGTAACAGTGTATGCATGCCTTGTATGTTAATATTACAAGTCACTATCTGCATTCATGGCTTATTGTCTTTACTACCTAGCAATATTAGCCTGTTCAATGGTAAATGTGTTGTTATTGCATTGGCTGTGTATAGTATGCTAAAGAGACCGTTTTACTTTTTGATTTCACAAGTAGTTTTTTAAGAATGACAAATTCATATTTTATTCACAAGAAATCCATGGAAAAGTTTGCGCCAACTGTGATAGACTAATCTCATAATCCAATCCTGGTTATTGCCTCTGTCACATTTATTATATGTCAGTCCGTGCCAGCTTTCGTTAGTAAGTGTGTCTATGGTGTATAGATAGGTAGCCTGGTTTACACAAACCCTACAAGTCTGTTCGAACGAGGACTATTTAAGACTGAAAATCTTCTTAATCCCACATTAGATGGGTTGAAGATGGCAAAATTGGGTCTATGTTCTCTCCATCTATGTGGGTTTATGTGGACATCTAATTACCAGTGTTTTTCCATCTTAAGTAGTCCTTGTGTGTAGAGGCCTTTAAAACACAGTGGCTCAGGTAAAGCCATGATGAGCTTCAGATGCCAGACATTTTGCATGAATTTTTTTTTTTTTTTTTGCCATTATAATCCTCTTAAAAACAACATCAAACTCATTGCCACCCAGCTTTTATTTCCGAAATCATCAATAAAATGTTTAATGATGAAAGCTCTTCACTGTTTCTTAGAAGTAACAAAGAACAGATGTGTGTCCTTAGCAACAATTTAATCTGCACTTCAGGAAATTCATTGTTGGTGGATATAGATTTCTGAATCAAGTCATTCTTTGTTTCCTGCAGACTGAGTTTCATGTATAATTTGACTCCTTTCAAGGTAGATTTTTTATGTACTGAAGAAATTTCTCACTACCACCATACCTGGGTGTAACATTAACCAAAATTTTATCTCATCTATGAACCATTCCCTCTCCTCTAGGAACTCAGCCGTATGCTTTCAAAGGATTCCTCCAAGGTTAGCAATAAATCCAGTGGTGGTAAAAAATCTGGAGCCAAGAGTCGACAGACTTCTAGGACAGATGTAAGTTCCTTCTATTATTGCACCTTTACACTCATATAGTTTGTGGTTATTTAAATACTACCAAGGCTTAAAGTGCCTGCAGTGTGTTTTCCAAGTTTGTTAAAATGTTTTGATAACTATTTTTTTTACTCCTATTTCTGCTTGATATAGTTGACACCCAGCGCACTGGTGCGTCTTTAAAATGAAAATTTCTTTCTTACTTGAAGTGACTTGGAGGTAAATTAAGAAAACTAGATTAAATGTAATGATCATGACCATATTAAGTAAGCTGAAGAAATAAGTATTGAAAATGTATTCAAAATGATTGCAGACACGTGAAGAAGGCGAGGCTGAGGAAACATCGCAGAGTCGTGCCAAGTCAACGCTTGAGCCAGTACAGGAGGTGACAGTAGAGTTTGAAGATGCCCCAGATCTACGGAATGAAGAAGCATGGGTAAGTATTGTATTCCCATTTACTTTGTCCTAGTTTATCACCTATTTTCATTGATCCGTTCAGATACAGAAACTAGTCAATAACATAATCCTCTAAAACAGAAAATAAACACCATGAAGTGTTTTGGAAGATTGAACCCCAAGCAGTCAATTATAAGCATTGATCAGTACAAATTACATGTATTGTACTACATGTATTGTACTAATTTTTTTTTTCATTTATTTTCAGAGTAATATTCCTGTCCAACAGTTACCTGGAAGATTCCTCCAGTATAGACAGCTGGTGAGTTCTGGGATTCTTTTTAGTCATATAAAGTAGAATATTATAAAGAATTCTCACCAACCCATCCTTTATTCACTTAATATCTATCTTAATGAAACAGTTTGTATCTTTTTATGCCATATAATTGCATAATATGATGAGATTTTGATGCATACGTGTACATTATGGAGGTCAAATTGTGCATTTATCGTTAAATCTTTTTAATCAGCATACAGATGTGGTCAGTGTGCATTATCTTATCATGAACTATTTCAATACACACTTAAATTTTATGTCATACATTTTCAATCTGTTCTTTCACAGACTAAGAAAAAACTGGATGAGATTGAAGAACAGATGAGGGTCAATACTGTGAAAACACAGAAGAAAGTCAACACACTTAAAGCTCAATTCCAGGAACACAAGAGCAAATGGGAACAGGTAAAATGTTTATGTCTTCTAAACTTTGAACATATTATATTTTATATCATCCAGCCTGTTTTTAAACATATTCTGAAGTTTTCATTATTTGTTGATATATAATTCTTCACTCTTTCAGTGTGTATTTCTATGGTGCTACTTTTTATATTTGGGTAAATCTGTGCCAAATTATTTTAGGAACGCAATATCTTAGTGCAGCAAGTTGATCAAGCTCAGCGGCTACAGACAGAGGCAGAGAAGGAAGCAGATTCCGCCATGACACAACTAGAAGACTTCATAAATGAACAGGAACAACTGGTAAGTGGAAACAGGAAAAAAGAAGGAAATATACTGAGTGAATGCTTCTGTATATCTCATGCAGAGTGAAATTGGTTACCATAATACTGGTATCATATACCTTTTTAATGTCACTTGTCACATTTTAGTTTTTCATCCAATAGACATTGACAATTAAGCTCTAAAAATCATTTTTCAGTGTGATTGAAGTACATTTTGTCTTGTCACGTATTCTTTGACTGAGAATATTTTCATAATTTAGTTGCAAATTTATACCTATGTGTTAACTTTTCTGAATGCTGATTATAACATGTGATAATAAACCATTGTTTCTTTTGTTTGACTCCCACTAACCACTTGATACCCCTGACCTTTTATCATGCAAATTCCCATTCCAGGAATTACAGGAAACAGAGAAGCAGAAGCTGTCTGCTGAGAAGCCACAGGCTGCAGCTGCCGAGGCTCCCTCAGAACAAGATCTGCAGGCTCTGCTGCAGCAGACAGATGATGCGAAGGTGAGCTCATGCAGAACCATAGTGGAAACTATGTATCATATTAAAGTATACCTGGCCTACTCTAGCAAAGCAGTCAATTGGTGAAAAAAATTGACCTCCAAAATTATAATTGAAAGGAAAACCAATCACAGTGTTTTGAAAACAAGAATCCTTTTCTATAGGTAAAGAACTCTTTTTAGCCATTGACTACATTATTCATATGCTAATATGAGACCAGGTATACTAATTGCACATCATGTATACTTTTTTACTGAATATATGTGTATACATTCCATAGAAGGATGAAACTTTGATTTATTTCTGAATACAGATCAGAAATTCAGCTGCAGCTGGTAGAGTATCTACCATGGATAATGGCAGTAGGGCAGAGGTGCCTGCCTTGACACCATTACCACTGCAGGAGGTCAGTAAAGAAACTGAGGAAGAGTCTGTCAATGATCAAACCGCACCCCCTGCCAGTGCACAGGAAACCCCCAAGGTAGCCACCACGGAGTTGTTGTGGCACTAACTGGCTTTTCTTCAAGTTGTTGTTGTTGTTGTATGTGGATGTTGTGAATTCACTGTGAATATCATTTTGTGAAACCCAATTTGTTGTTGTGACATGACGCAAATCACTGAGTTGCTGACAATAACAGATGAGCTTGTCCTGGTGAACACTAATGCCATTTTTTCAAATGCTTAGAGTGGATGACACGTTTTTTTACAGAAACCCAAACACTATGGAAAGAAGGTCTGTTTGTTACTGTTGTCAAACTTTTTCTAAAATTTCAGAGAAGCCGAGCTGGAATTTGTTTAATAACATTTGCCCTTTATTGTTGTTGTTGATGCTGTTAACAAAAAAAAAAGAAAAACTTAAATAAAATTCTTTACAGTTTTTTGTCTTTCTTTTTCACGTTGTTTTACTAATAATCATATTTTGTTAATAAATTTAATAATATGAATCACATATACAAATATATATTACAATACAGTATACAAGCTGTGCAAATGTTTGATATTTTGGTTTTTGCAGTACATGGAACATGCATGCAGATAATTGAATTAGTTTATTAAAATGGCCCAGTTTCCAGTTACTTTATGAAAAATAAAATTGTGAACGTGTTGGGAAGTATGTTAATAAACATACGGAAAGAACTTCTTTAAGCTAATTTACTTGAAATATGATTATAAATTCCAAAAATAATTTGTCTTTTTATTTCTACCTCAGGTGCGAGACATGAGCTCCAGACTGAGTATGGAGAAGGCAAAAACAGATTTAGGAGAACAGGTAGGCAGTAGCCAATGTTATCTTTATCCTCTATTGTTTTTCCTGTGTAAGTGAGCAGCAATGTTTAAAGGGCATTCTTAGTTTCAGTTAGTTTTGTTATATACAAACTTTGTTTTTATCTGCTTTTTTGATAAAAAGTGAATAGCACAATAATTTTGTGCATTGACATAAAAATGGGCAGACTGTCAATTGAAAATTGAATTCCTACGATAATAAATGTTTCTTATATCGAATGTAGCCATTGAAAACCTCAAATTTCAGTTAAATCATGATTGTTAGTTAGAGAGCAGTTATACTAGACCATTCCATGATCATTGACCATTATTTTAGTTTACCCCAACACCTCCCAAATCTCCACGTCCAGAAACTGTCCCTGGTATCGGACAAGGTAATGTGTCCCCAGGCAGAAGAAGCAGGCTTATTTCACGAGAGTCTCACAAGGCCAAAAATGCCTTGAGTGTAACAATATTCCCAGAGAATGAGGAGACAGCATCTCAAGGAGGTATGGAGGAAGAAGGTGCCACAGCTGCAAAGCATCTTCCTCCTGTCATGGAGGAGGCCTTGGAGAGTGTCAAAGAGATGATGATTGAAACCAATCTGGATGAAGTGCAGCAGAAGCAGCTGAATGCCCTCAGAAGCTCATTCATGTCTCAACATGAGAAAGAGTTCCATTTGAATGAGGAAGAGAGGGACCGCACACTGGCCATCTTTGGTCTGGCCACCCAAGTCTCCACAGAGGCCATATTTCTGGGCTTTGAACCAAGCAGCATCTTCCAAACATTTGCCAAACTGGCAGCCATTCCACTCTCCAAGCTTGGAGGAGATGTAAACGTGGGTCAGAAGCCTCCTCAGAAGCTCTACGACAAAGCAACATCCCCTTTCAAGGAGCTGACTGCTGTGAAACAGCTGCAGACAGATGAAGAATTATACAGAGCACAAGAAGAGGTAAAGACCCAAGAAACTGTGGAGAAGGTTAGCTTGGCTTGCATGAAACACTAACAGGATGGCACGTGGTTACAGCAGAGCACAGGGACAGGGGTGCATGTGCTTAACTAACAAATAGCTGCCTTTATATTTTCAGTGGATAACAGGCTTTCCAGTCGTGACCAAATAAAGGTCAACTTGTATGGGGACTTATCACAGGGGACTAGTTATTGCATCTACTAACAGCATGTTTCATCTGCTGAGACTTTGTTCAACCATACGACACATACTTTCTATTCTTCAGGCTTCTGTTGGATGTATAAAATAGATCCATGTATATTGGTATTTGATGATGAGTGACATATTTGTGTCAACTAACCAAATATTTTTCAGCTTTAAATTAATTTTGCCATATTTTTACCTTATTTCTTAAATGCACATGTGTGATACACAAGTTCTTTTTGTCTTGAATTCACAAATTTTTCAGCTTTATAGGTATTGTTAGATAATCTTGTAGTAATTGCATGACTTGATACGTCATTTTATATTTTCATCTTTTAATCAAAGATTTATTTGTCAACTGGTAACATCTGCTTATTAGAAAAAGCATTAAATATTTTTTTGATATAAAAATACTGCAGTGCATTTTGAATGTATAGATAATTCTGCTTCTTAAAATCATATTATATTTTCTTCCATTATAGTGCATACTTCGTAGGATGTGTAAAATCGGTTCTGCTAAATTTTAAGTATCATCTATAAATTATATCTTCTTTCTCCATACTGTATATTTCATGATGATATAGTTTTTCAGAAAGGGCCATCTTCTTGCTTTAGAACTTTCTTTCATAAATTTGTTTTTATTTCTGCAAAATTAGTTTTTTCCTCATCACTTCTTCCCACTATTTAGACCTCAGAACAGCCTTCTCAGGCACCTGCACAAGAGGAGCCCAAACCTGAGGATCCTGCTTCAACAGTGCCAGAAACTCCTCATGATGCCCAGCACTTATCCGACCAGGCAGCCAATGAGGAAGTGGAGCTGCCAAAGACCCCTGCCTCGTTGGCCCCCTCACGCATGCAGTCTGACCTTGTTCCTGCATCCATCCACAGCCTCACTGCCTCTGCAGCAGAGGGTGCACAAGGGGGTGTGGACTCGCGTCTTAGCCAGGCTCATTCCAGGGTGTCCAGTGGGCAGAAGCGTAGTGCCACGCCCAATGCCACCAGAAAGGTATACTTGCACCCTCCGTGGATGATCAACCTGCACCTGGATTAACTCGCCTGTCACCTAACCTGCCTGCCTTGCATGTCACCAGTGGAGTTGTTGTCTCACCTATGCATACTAATTCATATAGCCATGCTAGCAACCTGCACCATCCTTGTATGTGACATATATTGATGTACATATTTCATATATTTTAATACACTGTTGTTGATGAATTATATGCCTCCTAATACCCCATGCTCGCATGCATTCGGCATCCTTGGCATATGTAACATGCTTTGCCACTGATAATCCCTCTGTTGTTCCCTATTGTGGTTACCCCCTGTGCTTTTATGCACATGTATTTTACCATATCCAGTGTATCCATCCAGAGCTTTTCCAGCTGCACAACACATTAAAGATGTGTATCAAACTGTGCATATTTTCTGATGTATGGTATTTTGTGCACCATGGCATGTACATGTATAGCCATTAGCTTGTGTCATTGTAGGAAAGTCGTATAAAGTGTTGTACTGGTACAGTGTATCCACCAAAATCTTTGAAGTATTTAGGTGTTTGTATCCTGCTATTGCTATATAAAATGCATGCAGCTTTGTTTTGCAGGGCTTATAACATCCCAGAAGAATATGTTCAACCTTTTGTGCATGTGTGTTGATATATTTTTTATACTGGATATTTTTATCATGATATTCTTTTTAACAGAAATACTTACACTGAAAATAACAATTGTTTTTGTTTGCAGATTTGAATGGAGAATGTTTGCAAACATACATTAACACCATAATTGTGTGCTTGCTTTTCCTTTTTCAGTCCATTCTAAGAGACTCAAGCTGTGACTCAATCATTACATCACACCAAAAAGAATCAAAATCTGTGCATTTTTCAAAGTCAAAGAAAGTGAAAACCTATCATCCGTGGTCTGTGATCTCCCCTAATGGTCTCAGACCCAAGACAGCAGCAGTCAGACATACAAAGAAATCACTAAGTCCTTCAGTTAACTCAGTGTCCAGGCCTCCTTCTGGAAGGTCAATGTCTCAAAATGCTGGCTCTTTTTCACATGCTTTACACAGCACTGCTCAAAGAGCCAGGACAAATAAAAATCAGGTATTTGCCCCCCACCCCCACCCCCCCCCCTTGCTCCCAGCAGCAACCCCCTGACACAACCTGCCTCACCCCTTATAATAAATGCCTCCCTGCTTTCTCAGTTGTATTATCCCTCATACAACACTTCTTAACTGGTCTCACTAAAACTTACATTTTGAATTGGTTTTGTATTGTTCTTTCATTTTATTTATCTCACAAATAATGCACAGCTCCAAATATTTTGGTAACAAATTCCATTTTTCTCAACCATCACATAGTGCACATTGATTATAACCAATTATTTATTTCAGATCACATTGATTTTTTTCTTGATACATCACTGTTTTAGGATTCCTGGGTATTAATTATACATCGCCCTTCTTAAGTGGGTTATAAAATAATTTACAGCTCATTTAATACTGTAAATGTACTTGTATGTGTCCAAAATTACTAGGGTTAAAAGATTGTGAAACATTTAAGTCAAAGATGTCACTATTTTGTCCACTAAGTGATAAATCAAACTCTTAATTAAATTTGAATATACACGTATATTTTGACTAATATGTATATTTTACACCTTTTCCAGTCTGTAGAACCTAGCAGACCTGACACCGGGGCAGATGGTCGCATGTCCAGTCAGACGTCTTCTCTGAGCCAACACAAGGCTAAGATAGCCGAGAGGCGGCAGTCCATTGACCAGAGGCGGAAGATGTCACAGAGCATCATGGTGACTTCCAGACCAGTCAGTGAGCTGGAGGTGGATGAGGACGGAGATATGCCCTTCCCTGAAGGTGAGTGTGACACAGATATGGTCCAAACATGTTAAGAATTCTCCTTTAGAGATTCCACTGATCTTTTCCTGAAGAAATGATAATTTTTTTAAGGAAACCTGCTGACAGTGATAAAGAAAACTTAAAACAAACTATTTAAATGATTATTTACTATTGTTTATAAATCATAGTTTTGGTTAATGCCTTACTAGTACACTGCTGATTTTAAATATAATTATAAGCCTTTGTAAAGGTGATATGTTACAGTGTTGTGATTGCTGTATTTCAGATGTAAAGACCACACTTGATGTTGGTACCTCCCCCATGTCCCTCCACACAAAGAGGTAAGGGTAGCACTGATTTTACTTCACTTTTACTTTTTAAATACAATTGCTCACTGCTGTTTTTTAGACCATAAACGAGGGGAGTTTATAAGTGTGGGGTGAGATTTATTTGGAAATGATTTTGGAATTTTAAAATTAGATGGTAATTGTCATAATTTTAACTTTTTAAAAAGATAATCCAGATTTAGGCATCTCTAAAATGAAGGTTTTGAGATAAGTGTATACAGACCACATATAAGTTATATTCATCAAGCAGTAATGCAGGGATTATAAAATAAAATAACCAGGAGATATCTTAAATCAACTTTCTTGTTTTTTGAAAAGCCCAATTGAAGAAAATGACAGGTAAAACATGGTACTTTTTCTCAGGAAATTGTGCAAATAAAAGTTTTTAATTTTCTTATTGAAATTTGGAGAAACTTGCAGTCTAATATGTAATATTAAACAAAAATTCATTTATTTTATCAAAATTTGTAATACTAGTACATATAGTCATTTTTTATATTTTTAAGAATCAAAAATTCATGTTCATGTTTAGACTACAATGTATAAATAAAGTGCACTTTTAAACTATCTGTCAGTCATAGAAATTTGAATAAGTGTGACATCAAAAATGATGAAAACAATTGTTTTTAAACACTCAGTTTTGAAGATGAAGAAGAAATTGATATTACAGACTGGTAATTATACTGGAATATGTGAACTCAAATTGCTCTTAGCATTTGCCTTCATTATACGTACAGTATCTCTACTATGTCAGTCACACTTGGAGCATTGCCTCAGATATATATGCTGTGTATAATAACCATTCCTTTTTAATTTTTATACTAAAAATTAATGTTGCTATATGGTGTAGCATTGTGAAAGAAGGATTTTTTTCTTTTGAAATACATATTTGTGCATAATTCTTTTTCTAAAATGCCCGATCTTTTGTAATTTGATTATTCTATTGATATGTCTTTAATGTTTTTGTTTGTTAATATAGCTGTTAATGTAAATGAGGATGTTAACTGAATGTTGTTAATGTTGTCTTTGTTGTTAGTTTTGATCTACACGTACTTCAGATGAAGAATGTACTACTGTTTGTACTATGTATATGTGTGTAGACTTGTTATAGTCCATATTTGAATACTTAACTCCGTGTTTGTGATCATTTCTGTTCTTGTAGCAGTGTTGCATCTCTTTAATGTTTGTATTGATACATGAATGTCTTGATGCAAATGTAAATTATAAATCTTTAAACCTTATATAGCCTCTAGCATATAGCCTCTTATAGGCATGAAGACTGATTTTTTTCTATATTCTCACATTATTCAATATAACACTGAATGAAAAATTTATTTTAGTTGGTTCAAAGCAATTAGCCACCTGTTTCGTAAAAAAGTTTTTCTGGTTTTATCTAATGTAGTTCAAAGGTATGTTTCATAGTTTAAGGTTCTAGGGTAGAGGAATGGCACAAATAAAATAGCATGAAGACAGTAACTACCACTTTCTTTCATGCCAAATTCCTTTAATATACTTTGAGGCAGCAGTCAAGCAATAGGAAATTATTCATTGTTGAATTCAGTTACAATAGGGTTTTAAGATGACAGATCATAAAATTAAAAATGTCATTCCCAGATAGGAATGAAATGAACACCAATGAAAGGCACAGCTAAACATAGTCATATGTAAGGCTTGGTTGTCACTGAAGTTCTTGTAAATTCGCGGACTATTTATTCTATAGACTGTTTATTGTTTTGGATGCTAAATCATCTATGTTGTATTTCTCTTTCAGGCACATGGCTCTGGCAGATCACCCCATTGTCAATGAGTACATGAAGACTTACAATGGAATAGTGAAATTCAAAGATGATGTTGCTCAAGTACTACTGAATAAAGGTCAGTATATAAAACTATGGCAAAACTGGTTTCCTTGCCAATTTGTGTTTTTTCTCAACTTTGTGAAATAAATAATAGTTTTGAATGATTTATTGTATTTTGACAAATATGGTGATTTTTTTTTCCAATTATAAAAAAATTGCTACTTCAGAGATGCTTCAGGCTAGCCAAATGTTATCTGAAATAGAAGGGGTTCTGTTTGACCGTGGTGAAAAGGTGATTCCACAAATTGAGAAGATGACAAAGAATGTCTATACCTGTAAGTGAGGATTAATCTATGCACCCTTAATATCAGCATACATGCTTCAAGTCAGTGTTTTCTTTAACTTTAGATTAAAAAAAAACACTGCATTATATTTGAAGATGATATATTATGTCATTGAAAAAGTCATTTTTATTTTAATTTTTGTGTGTTCATTTAAATGTGTTGTCTAAAATAGCAAATAAAATTGACAAATAGATTTAAAATTGTTAACAAGCACAACTAATTTTTCTCTTATTTCATTTTCAGTATTTGAAGAAATAACATCCTTGCTCAGCAGTATTATCATAAATGACAGGGTAAGTGATCAGTGCCAACAAAATATAATTTGTTTAAGATCAGAAATTATGACTTGGGTTACATGTTTCTGAAATCATTACATCATTTATTATTCAGATTACTGACATTGGTAAATTGGTAATTGGCATATTATTATTAATAAAAGTATGCATTAGTTGTCAGAAGTTTTCCCCCTGATTAAGATAACAAAATGGATATTTTTTCTTTTTTTCGGGAGTTTTCTGGTGTTAGCGTTACCCAGTCATATTGCCACCAAGTCACTTCTTCCTACTTTTTTTCTTACCAAAATCATATCTGAATTCTATAATATAATCTTACCAAAGTGAACATTTATTCCTTGGCAGGGCCCTGTGGTGTCATCTATTTTGAATGTGTCCCGTGACCCTACTCGTACAATGACACGAGAAAGGTCCTCTGAGTCATTGAGGGGGGCCACCAGGGACAGTCAACGAACAATAGGAACCAAGATGACCCCCACCAGTGCCGACTCTGGGAACAGAAGAATCCAGGAGTTGGAACAACAGTATGATCATCTGTAAGTTGAATTTTTTTTTTTCTATGTTGGTTGACTGGCTGAACCTGAAGTTTTAATTGTAATCATTTCTGCAATTGTAGAATGCTGGAAATTATATTAAACAGTTCAAGTAAATTTACACTAAGATATGCTCAAAAGTATACATTTAAGTGAAAGTTTGTCTGTTGAATATGAAAATATTATATATAATGAAAAATACAAATTGCAACCAGTATGATTTTATACAGGTATTAATTTTTTTTATAATATTTGCAGGCAAAACTTGTTTCAAGATGAAACAAAGAAGCATCAGGATGAAGTGAAGTAAGTTTTTATCTGACATAAACTTTCTGTTGCTCAATTTTTAAAAATCTTTTTCTCTTTAAAATTTTGCTGTAAGTTTTATGAGTTTTAATGCACATTCAACAAAATTAACATAAATTAACATAATAAATTAACATAAATATGTAATCTGTTCCAGCCACAACCAGGTAGTTATGATGGGAATGCAGGACACAATTAAAGAGCTGGAAAAAGAGCTTTCTGGCTTGAGGAAAAGTTTAGCTCAATCTCCTGGACAGTACTCTACACAGGTACAGGAAAATAACATGCATCAACAATTCACTGCAGCATGGTCCCTTATTACCCTCTGATATCAGGGGCTCGTAAAATAGCATACAAAAATATGGTGTGAGTCAAAACAACATATTTGTATCAGACTACTAGGGCACCTTGTGATCAGAGAGTGTTGTATTTTATACATGTATATATCACTTAGATGTAGTACGTAATGATGTTGTTTGTTCTAATGTGATGTATATAATTCAGTGATATTCCGTGACATTCATTTTTTTTAATACTTTACTGATTTGTTTTTTTCCTCCACAGCTTGAACATCCAGACTCGGCAGTCATGTTCACAAGGCTGGATTCAGATAGAAACTCAAGGGCCATGAAATCTGCTGTAAATGACAGTAAACTCAGTCCAGACTTGTATAAGGTATGTTGTCATCTTTCAGGTAATATTTTGAAAGCAGAGACATTTCTGCAGATGACATACCATTAATGGAATCAATTTTTACAATCTAAAAATTGCATGCGAGATATTACAGTAAAAGATTAATTAATTAATTAACACTAGAAGATGTTAGATGGAAGGGATGGGATACATGACAATGTTTTATGTTTACAATTCTTTGTCGTCATCACTGGATATCCCAATCATCCTGATGAATCCATGCCAGTGATGTAGATAAATAATGGTATGAAAGCAAGTCTTATGATTTCTAACATCTAAAGTGAAGCTGCTCTTGCATATTTCCATTAAGTAGAAGTTTCGACTTCATGAGACATGTCTTCCTGTTTCCCTAGGATGCTGTGGACCAGATGCAGGCCTATGTCAGCCTGCCAGCCCAGCGCCTGGCCCACCTGGTCAGGAAGTTTGTACACCACTGCCGTATGAAGGAAATTGAAGAGACAGTCAGGCAGAGCAAGAGTCTGAATAATGAGGTGTTCCAGGTGCTAGATAGAATGGAAACCATACAAAATGTGGTATGTACAAGATGATATTTTGTGATTTTTCAGGACTCTGAAACAAATGGCATAGCTTATTTATATCTTAATTTTCCACACACACCTTGCTTCTGTTATAGTTGATGGTATATTTGATTGATATATTGTTGATTTGAATTAATCTTTGTTAGTATTTTTTGATACCCAAGTAGCACAGGATGATATCTCTTTTTTTTTTATTAAGTTTAGTAATGTTCTTTGTTGTTTGCCGAAGTTTGGTCAAGTAAAATTTCTTTTCACCCCCATCCCCCCATCCCCCCCCCCACACACACACACACACACATGTGAAATGTTGTTAATTAATAGTAAGTTTAGCTTAACCCTTGTGTTTTTGTTTGATTTCTCATACTCATAGAAGAAAAATAACTGACCAGTGTGTTTTATTTCCAGAGAGCCCAGAGGTGGGCAGAGAAGATGGATGAGATGGGCAACACCCGGCTCCAGCTTGCCCAGTTGCTCACAGAAACTCTAGATGCCATAGAACAGGAATCTGGAATATTCCTTATTAAACCACACTATTCATACAGGGGGAGGTAATAAAATCATTATTTTTCATTTGGAAAATCAGTTGCATTATATCCTTAGATATTGTGCCCATATGTGCTTTTATCTTCATCGTTCATAAGTGAACATATTTTTTCATATCAATTTTACTATAGTTCATCATAAAAAGTTTAATCATATGTAACACAAAGTATGTTTATGATTTACAAAAATATAAATATTTTTATGACATATAGATTAATAGAAAAGGGAAACCTTCCTATCATAACAGTAAAGGAAAGTAATTTTTTTACTAATAATAAGAAGTAGCTGTGAAATAAATTGTATTGTTTATTTTTTTTTTTCCCCAGACCGTTTGGTCATGCTGGATACAATGGACCCCTGAGTAAACCATTCAAGAACTACCTAGCTTCCATTAGGGACAGACAGCACAGTGCCTATGTGCCAGCTCCTACTCCTGCTTCCAATTCTAGAAGTGCCACCTATAGGAGATATGGACAGGTACTGGCGATTTCAGCAAGGAGACACACCATTTTTCCCTTTTTAAATAAACTAATTCCTCCATTATGTTTCAAATGTACGCCTTTCAAAAGAAGTTTTTAATCAAATTACAAAAGTTACAATGGAAACCTAGCATATTACTCACGCAATACTAGGACAACTTGCAAACTTTGCTTATTTTCATCAGTTAGAGACCAAAATTAAATGATACAAGTATTGTTCCAGAATCCCCCTGCAGCTGATGTTCCAGTAGGTATTCCTGAGCAACGTGGTCCAGTTACTGAGGGGGAGATGCTCACAGGGTCAGCTGTCAACTGGGTGGGAGAGGTACCCAGGCCAGTTTGGAGTGTAAGTTACTTGTGAGATAATATACTGTCACCTGAGCAATAAAAACCAGAAGATTTTGAGCTTCAGAGAGAAGTTTTCAAGGCATTGCCAGAGGGCAGAAGTTTATTATTTGACACACATACTGAGAAAAAGTAATCACATTTCACCAAAAAACACCCCTTTTCTTACTTTCTTGTCTTAAGCAAAAATTAAAATTGTGTTGAATGGGTATTTTGCTTATAAGCTGTTGTATGTTAGAATTTCATTGAACTAATTATATTTTATATGTATTCAGATGTCTTCATCTCATGTGAAGTCGGCACTTGAGTCAGGCTATCCATACCAAACCTCACTGGTCAATACACCAAGGATGTTAGACCTGGATATCAACAGAATGCTCATTGGGCAAAATCAAATTAGGTAAGAGAAAGGCCCAGACATTATAAAACCTGCCTAGGAAATGAGCTCAGTTGGAAAAAGTTTAAATTTATGACCTATAGACCTGCTTAGCTGTGCAGCAGGAAAAAATGTCAGTTTTTTACATTTAATAAAATAACAGATTCAGAGGCTTGCGTGTATATGATAATTAAAATATTGTGGTTGTAGTCTGAAATATTAAATTCTTATTTGATCATAATTTATGTTTTTCTTTCTTTTAGTGAATTTTGTAAAGGTTCCACTCTGGCATGTATTGATATTTATCTTTCAGCACAAAAGTTGACTCTAGTCTCAGTGATGACAGACTAGTGAATGCAGCCAACACCAATCTTCGGTCATACGTAACTGTTAATAGGCCGTCCGCTCAGCCAATTGTCACTAAAGATAAGAGACCTCGCTCACATACAGGTAAACAAATGAGTCACAAATTTATTTTATGCACTAAATCAGTGAAGTATTTCGTGGAAGATGTGTCACATATTGGGTACAAATGTTGCACAAGGTTTTCATCTGACACAGCACAAACAAAGTAACATTCAAGGTAATGCCTTAGAAAAATGAACAAATATATTTCATTTCTGATTAAAATTGTCAAAAAAAATGCAAATTTCCCAACCATCATAACATTAAAATGGTGTATTATTTACATTACGACAATTGAATGCATTGCATGATGAAATTTATAAATAGATATAAACTGTGAATATTTCATTAACCTCAGGGTTTGTGGATGGGTCTGTCCCACCTTCCACACCTATGGCCAGTGTACCAGGTAGTGCCCATGACAAGAAAGTAAGGATAGCAGAGACCAGTGACATCCCAACAGTACTCCCCAGTATATCCCCATTACCGCCTATAACACCTAGAGAAAAGAAGACCCCCACACCAAGTGAACAAGCTCATCAAGAGGATCTAGCAGGACACCAAGGTTAGTTATCTATATTTATGATTGTAGAATGATCACTTGGTAGAAGATATGAGGTTTCTCCTAATTGTCATACAATTTTAACTTGGCATGATATTCAAAGACGGAGTCCAAATCACTACCTTTTTTATTTTTCAGCTGAATCCTGCTGATTGTCTGTTGGCTTTGTTTTTATTGCATTAATGAACTTTAATTTACATTATTGCTTTAAATAGTTTTTCTCCATGTGTATTTACATTATGTTGATATTGAAGAAAAAGATCTTCCCATTTCAAAAGTTCATAACATATGGGCTGAATTTATCTATGCATGAACTTTTATTTTCATTTTTGCTTAGAATTTTCCCCATGTTTATTTACATTCTGCTAATTTGGAAGATAAAAATCCTCTGATTTCAAAAGTTCATATTTAAACTTATGCGCTGAATTTATCTGTGCATGCTAACATTCAGTTCATGTTACAAACAGTCATTATTGTGAGCTCGTTACCAAAATAAGTTTAATTTTTATGAGATGGCGTTACATTTCGATATGCTGCCCAAATTTATTTTGCATGGCTTGTGCATGATAGCTTCCTGTTGTTCTTCAGCTCCACTAGAGTTGCCACAGAGTGCTCAAGGTGCCTCTATCCCACCTACACCAGCTGATGTAGAGGAGAGGGCAGACTCCCCACCACTAGCTCACGTCACCAAGATTGTTACCAAAACTCCATCAGCACAAAGCAATAGGAACTTTGACCCCGATAAAGAGGAGGAAGATTGAACTTGTTTTTTTTTTCTAGATATCTTGTGCCAATTATAGTTTACTTGTGTCAGGATAAATGGCTGTTACCGTCCAACTTCATCATGAAGACATTGTTCTTAGATTTTTTTATTGATCTTTGTGTTATTGTTCATAACAGAACAGAGAATAAAAGAAACCGTCCACTATTAACTTATATTTCACTAAAGTTACAGATTACAGAGAATTTAATCATATTTTTATATAAAGACTAATATGTGAGTCAGTTTATGAAACTGTGATAGAATTTTTTAATGTGAATGTATTGTGACTTTCAATGATGCTTATGTCCATGTGACACTCACTGTGATATAGTGGAGAGAAAGGAGGACTTCTTACACAAACAACCAGATCACATGGACCTTTTGCTTATGCATTTTATGTAATTTAAGTGAGTCACAAAAAGTTAAAAATATATATATGTATAAATAAATTTGCTAATAAATGTTGTCGTAAATCAATTTCGCTTTTATTGACTGACAAAAAGATTCAATATATTTAATTCCACTTTTTTTATTTTTATAAAATGGTAGAACAAAATTATTTTACAACATTAAAAAGGATAAAAAAGCCTAGTTTTGTAAATAAAGCACTATGATCGTACTATAAAAAAAACTGAAAAAAAAAGAGGCAGTTATTCACTACAAAAAATCTATGCACTTGCTTAGCTTGATCCTCCCAGATATGCATTCAGTAACCAAGTAAAATGCAGTCAAATCTGCCAGTGGCTACTTCAACATTTTCAACAATCTATGTACTGCCTTTACTTCTATCATTTAAACATTTAACTGATATGGTAGTAATTTTTAAACTAGCAGAGTTATGTGAAAATACAGGATACATGTAAATTAGTAGTCTTAAAGTCAGGTCATGGTCAATTCTATTGCACATAACTAAGTGGCTGTTTAGGATTTTAAGAACTGTAATTAATTAAAGTAAGTCTGTACAATACCAAATGAATGAAATGGAAACATATCTACTAGTACCAAAAAACTAAGCTTTACAATAGTTCAAGTCAAATCTATGACAAGTGACTAAGCAGGCATTTAGAGCAGTTTTGAACATCACTTCTGTACAACTTTTGGTAGTAGAATGCACTTCAGCAATGACATTAAATTTCAACCATTTTACTAAAACATTTCTGTTATTGGATTTTACCCATTTAGATTCACACTTCTGCAATCTTAAGTTACACTGTTTTAGGCATGATAAGAAAATAAATGAACAAGGAATATATGATGTTCAATAGATAGCAGAGGTTTATTATTTACATAATAACACCCAGGACAACAAAAAATCATATCATTATAGGTAAACAGGTTTCTATCAAAGAGGGGCGTGATATACTTGCACATCAAGATTTTTAGTGCTTCAATTATCTTACTAAGCACTTTGAAAAATCCACAATTGTCTAAAACTGGCAGGTGTGCATATCAGTAAAATGTTAAAGTACCAGAATAAGAGAAGTATAATAAATGCTAGGGGCACTTAACTTCCTTTAACATGACGCAATACACAATAAGAAAAAATCATGAAATAATATTTCTAGCAACAAAAAAGTGGTGTTCTTATTAAAAACATTGGTATAACTGCAGATCATGATAATATTGATTCAGTGCTCATTTGGTTTTTTTTTTAAGAAAAATGCATTTACTGATATAACTTATAAAAAACGACTCCAAATTACAGAGACATTAAACTGTAGATTGAAAAAAGAAAATGTTGACAAAGATCAAATTTTCATAAATACACAAATCCTTATCAATTCAAGAAATTACAGGCCCTCATCTCTGTTTTTGCTAAATATCAGTGTATTTTCAATTGAATTGTCAGATATTTCAGTGATAAGCTTAAAACCAATGTTTTCCAGATAATATTCAAGGACATTTTTAGCCTCCGTTTGTAAAGAAATCGTTGTAGAAATAACTTCAATATTTATGTTGTCAAATCTTATGGCTTTTAAAAGATTAAGCACATCATTATCACCAAGTTCACTGACTCTCAGACTGAGGAAGTCAACATCTGTGTGCTTTACTGCAAGTAGTAGAGACAATAAAGGAAAAAACTGACATTCTATATTTCTTGTAAACTTCCTTGCTTTTGTGTTATTTCCATACGATGTAAGTTCCAACTGTTCCTGGAAAAAGAAAAATATCTAAAATGAATAGTTGTCTCTTCTTTCTATAATTTGAAAAGCATTATATCAACCTACAAATTACTGGGGAAAAATGGGCAATTAATCAAGATTCAGTGCATTAATTATTAAAAATTCTCAAGTGAATGTGAACTAAAAAACACTCAAGAGTCACAGATTCAAAGAGCTCTAGGCTGTCTTCCAGGTATGTACCACCAGCTAAGAGTTTGCAGTTGAACAGGAATATAAAAGAGCAGCATTTTCTGTTCAAACAGAAGAATTATAAAAATAAGGCCACAGTCAGATTTTAAAATGTTTATCTCTTATATACTGTCCAAATTTAAGAGTAACTGAGGTGAAAGCAGTATGCATCAAGTCTATGGCCCCCCTGTTCCATGCTGGTAGTACAAGAAACACATGACCTTATTCGTTCTTACCCAAGTTGGAAAGGGTTTTATACAAAGGCATGCATTAGCTGTATATGCCTTTCTTTTTCTCTTTTGCAGAAGACTGTATGCTTTTGAATCTGGCTCAACGAGGAGTCCTGTCCACTTCTTCTCTTGTTCTAAGTACAGGGTAAAAGACTGCAAGCCAGCAATATACTCAAAGAAGAAGCCTTTTTCCTGAAGAAGAAATATATAAGCAAATATTAACAAAGTTTTAACATAAATTTAGTGTGGTGCAGCTGTAACTAGCTCATAATTACCTGGCAATCAATAACTGTTAATAACTGCTTACTTGAGGTGAAAACTCTCCCAACAAATTATGACTCTACTGAAAAATAGATACACAAGACTGTTTACTTACAAGATATGTGCATATCTGTCATGTTCAATAAAAACCTATAAATACTAAAAAATTAATTCAATCTTTAAAATAAAAATAGGATTTCTGACAATGCATCATCGTACTAGTATTGTGTACTTACCTTTTTCAGAAGTTTCTTCAAAACATCTGTCTCTTTGTTTGAGGGATATTTTCTGCTGACATGTCTAGCAGCTCCATCCCATGGGGGATCAATCCAGTCTTCCTTTATAACTGTTATCAACTTAGGATCAGTCTGTTCTGCATAGTCTTTATTCAGTTCATCTAATATCACCTGGTGGGCTTTCTCTCCTGCTGCTCCAGTCTTTCTTATTTTGTGGCCAACACTTACTGATAGTTTTTGAGAATCTGACTGAGAATGGCCTTCATTTTGTGTCAATACTTTTTTACTTGAACTTATGAAGTGGAAGAAGAACACATCCAGTAAAAAGAAAACATGTATTCCCAAGAGAAAATACCCGCACAACTTGAGGGCACGACTTCTTATCATTGTATCTGAAAGTCAATAAAACAAATACTAGTATGATAGTATCTATAAAGGTTTTGTGCATACCATACATGTATTTATCAATAGAAATTTCAATTATGATGTTAAGAAAAATATTTTTAAAGTTCAGTTTGGGAAACTGGATATTGGGAACAACGATCCTAAGCAAATATGTCCTGAGTTAAGTTTCTGGCAAATTACCATCGATCCTTTTTCTTCATACTGAAGCAACATTAAAATGACAGACATGCTGAAACTGTCGGTCCGATCGGTCATGACCGGGAAAATATGTCTGGACCAGTAAAATATTGGACTTAGTCGGTCCAAAGAACTGACAAGAGTTTTAAGAGCAGCAATTTTGAATTTACAGTCATCATTTGACATACATCACTAATAAAATTATATAAAACCCAAAGCGTTTTTCCCTTCCATTTCAAACCTATCACATTCACAAACAAAGTAAGCTACCCTAATCGTACTGTTAGTATCTGTCTCGAACGAATAGAATGATTTTCGGTCCGACAAAAATCCATTCAGTCCGCAAAATTTTTCATTACTGCTGGTACAAATGTCTGGCCATTCTGAAAAGTTTTCAGCATGTCTGAAATGATGCACAAACCTGTATTTTAAACCTGGGACAATCATAATATACACACAAATATTTAACAAGCGTCTATAAACTCTTGTATACCTTGCCATTCACTGCAAAACTTCTGCCTTTTGTAGTTTTACTAAAAATAAAATATCACTACAAAGTAAAATGTTTACATTAAGTTTAACTATACTAAATTACTGCATGTTCTTCTCTACAGCAGATTAGGTGAATTGGATGATTCAATGACATAAGAAATTGGTTCAACTCGAATTTTGAAGGTGTGACTGTAATATTCCCTTGCAAAGATAATATCGGTTGAAACAGCTCCTGTTCGGCCAATACCTATCGTGGAGTGCAAATCCACCACCCACAGGTAAATATCACAGGCCTCATATATAAGCTAGCCTTTGTTCAAAGCTGATTTTTATAAAAATAGTTTAAAAAATTTACAGTATACTGGCTCATATTTAAAATAATTATATACTGATGTTATCTTCCTATAATATATTGATCATATCGTATTTAGATATTATGTCAAGATTAATGCAATACGAAAAAATGAATTCGAAACTAAGTGCGTTATTGTTAACTAGTCTCAGTATTAAATCAAAACACTGACCAGCAGAGCGAATGTGAAATTTAAACGGTGGGTGTATTTAAGATATCTTTGCTGACAACTGTATATAGATCTATATATGTAAGGCATGCACTTTATTCATGGTTTATCGTCGTCAGTATTGAAAAATAAGTATTAATTTAAAAAACTCAAGGTATCTGTTCATTTAAGTAATCTGCGTTCCAAGTCAGCGTAATCTACAGTACAGGCTCAGTAGTACAGGTACGAGTACCGTGAACATATCCAAATGTATTCTGTATATTCTGATTTCAAATCATTTTTATAAGCAGAGGTACAAACGGAAAATGATAACTGTACATTACGATATAGTTATGACACAATATCCTACTTCTTACAAAAATATCAATAACAATATCAGCAAAAACAGTCAAAATGGGATTTGGAAAGATCTAAATTGTAATTATTTACACATAACTATGAGTATACTGATGGTGTCTTTGTATAACAAAAGGTTTTAATGGAGCTTCAGTTCAAGATAGTTCATTTTGTCCATTGATCTGCTATGAGTAAAGACAGAACATGCTCTGCTGTTGGCTGACCAGTACTCAGTACAGTAGATGTACACTGTACATAGTGTATGTACCAGTACGCTTACGGTTTTCATACTGCAGCTACAGCAAATTACCTTCCCCTAGATATATTGTACATTGTACCTTTACTTGTAGCAGGTTATGTCAGCTAACAAATGAAATTTGATTTTCTTAGTACATAGTACAAACTGTACATTCATGCCTTTTAACGTCATTTAACCTTTGCCTGAGTAGTTACAAATGTAGTAGCAGCAAGTGTACCTGTAGTTCATCCAGAGTATTTAATAAATTTTTGAATTGATTTTTTATATTTCTATGTCAGGAATTTACAGGCATTTTGCCTTCCCTCCAGCCACGCCTCCCTTGTGTGCTTTGTGGGAATTTAGATAAGTTATTAAACATGGTATAGTAAAATGTATTTGTATTTTAACCTCATTCTAACAAAGGAACAGTATACCTGCTTGGTTCATTAAGTGTCCTATTTTTTCATTGTCTTATTGCAGATTGCATTAATGTTCCATGTAAGGAAATACCTCTGCTTTCAAATCAGAAATTGGGCATAAATTGAAGCAATTTCCCCAACTGTTATATTTGAGAATTTTTTAATATCAAGTTTTATGTTTTCTTCCTTGTTCTCAGGTTTAGCTGAAAATTCTTCACTGACATGGTCCATATGACCCCCTTCTTTTCTCATACAACTCACGTGCCACAAGTACCAGTGCTACCCTTGACCTTCACCAAAATCAAATTTCATGATTAAATATCTTTTAAGGTTACCACATACTATCCATCGTCCTGCCTTCTATCTCTTGGTTTTCCACAATTTTTCATATGATACCTGCATATATTCATTACAGTATTCAATTTAAAGGCATACAATGCGGGTTAAACCTTCATATAGTAAAAAATGATTTTTTTTCTGGCAACTTCATCAATTTTCCCCACATTGAACAGTTTTAACTGTTTTATGTGGGTTAGGGTTTAAAAACCCTATCCTATGTATGCCCTATCAAAGAACTGACAGGATGGCCTTGTGGGTAGAGTATCTGTCTCTGGAGTAGGTCTTGAGTTCCACCCCATCCAGGGACATACAAGTCCTTCAGAAAGGGTCTCCCGTGTCACTTACCACTTAGGTGTGGAAGCAGGGGAAACTTCCTAGTGTGGCAGCAACAGATATATTGTTTGTTTCTTAGCTATGAGCTTCTCACACAGCAGCTGGTCTCCCTCCTCAAAAGGGAGGCAAGAGAGTCAACACCTAGTGTGCATCTTGGCCACAAAATGACCAGACAACCATTGTTAAATTTCTTTCATGTACTTCACCTCAGTGGGTTGCAATTGTAATAAAGCTATTATTATTATTATTATTACAGGGGCGGATCCAGAGCTATATACTGACAGTCTTCCAAATTATCTTTGTTGATTCATCCTCCAATTTTGACCGTCTTCCAACATTAAAAATTGGATACCCGTCAATGTAAACTTGAAAATCTGACCGTCTTCTGGAAGACCCAGAAGACGGCCTAAATCCGCCCCTGTATTATATGGAAAATAATGAATTGATGAATTCATTTATTAATATGAACAACATTGCCTGCCATAGCAGTAATGACTTTCAATATTTTATACATGAGACAAAATAGACTGCTACCTTTAACAGGTCGGTATATTTTCAAATGATCAAGTCCTGATCCATATACAGTAGATAATTGACAGTATTGTACCATATGGTATTTTCCCACATCTCTGTTAAATATAGATTGTAAACCATGAAGTTATATCACTTGTATCTTCATAGTTCAAGACAGGTTGGTATATGTACTGCTGGGTTCTACATTGCTAGTAGGATTAACATTTAACTCTAAATTATGCTAGATCAAAGACATCCAGTGAAGTTATGTCATTAAAAGTGAGAAGGCTTAATTTAGTCACCCTTCTGTTAGATTCAGGTAGCACTAGCAATTGACCCTTGAATCAGTGTGCTTCTGATAACTGTCTTGTTTGTTTGTTTGATTTGTTTGTTCGTTTGTTTGTTTTTTTTTTTTTTTTTTGAATTATTATTATTATTATTATTTTTCTATATCAGTGAGAATATTTTCATTTGTCATCTTAAATATAGCAATCTACTTATCATCTATATTTTCTCTTTGTAGGTTTAATCAATTTAAGATGATGAAAAAAATCATGAATACAGGATGAAGAAAAAGAAAAGACATACAAGAACAAGGAATGGCTCAGATCCTGAGCACACATATAGCAATTTAATGGACACTGATTCAGATAGCGATATTGACATATACAGAAGTAAGTAGAAACGATTTGAAAGATAAATAATTTTTCTTGACGTCAACTATAATTTAGGTACATAGCAACCAAACTCCATTGAGGGACAAATCAAAATTGTTACTATACCCAGGACATTGTTTTCTCAATGGACAATTTCGTGAATTCAGTGCATTTTCCCTTAGAATGATTTAGTAAATGTCCTCAACTTTTTAAGCAGGCAGTATACAGTACCAGTACCCAGAGATGTAGAGGGGGGGGGGGGGGGCAAAATTGTATTGCTTAAAATGATGAAAGATGTGTCTGAAGTTTTATCAAAACCATTACAGTGGGACTTTTCAGCCCCATTTGCAAATATATTATTTATCGCAAATTTATCAAACATGAGACTTGCCCAAAGGTTGATATTTTGCTTTGCTTTTATCATTAAAAATAATTGATGTTGGAGGATAAGATATTTTAAGTTAGTACTTGGCCCTTTGTGAAGCAGCTTGATTTGATCAAATAGTAAATAACACCTGTATGACACACTGCGAGTACACACAAATAATAGGTCACAATGATATATTCCATATTTCTAGAAACTGCTTCACCAACCATACAACCCCCTCCCCTTATATATAGAAGTAAAATATAGAGTGATCTGACCTTTTTAATACCACATTATCATTACTTTTTTAATGAAATTATTGTGATGAAAAAACATCCCGTAAACGTACTCCCATAATATTCCTAGCTAACTACTGTTTTTTATTACCTTGATATACCATACATCAATTTTTAAGTGACATCCATGTCCAATTTGACATGTTTGTCTAATGAGGCAATTTGATCATTTCCCTGCATCCTGTTGGGGAAATGAAAATTATATTACTGTGGAAATGCAGGAGAGATGAAAGACGTGAAAAAAAGTGGCAGGCGCATACTGTAGCACATATTTGTTCTTATTGGGGTATCATCTTTAAATTGTTTCTTCTAAATTATTGTTGTCTGCCTTATGCAGGTACTCTATATTTATGATTAAGAAGATAGTATGATAGAATCCTTCATGCAGCTGTGGGTCCTGTAATTTATCATATAATAGGATTTATAACCAAGACTTATGGAATAAAATTATTTGCTAAGTTTTATAATTATGTGTGAGGACATTGGCGAAAACGCACCCTATTGAACGTAGGTTGGAAACTGATGAATGAAATTAAGTAAAATTAGTTAGAATGACGTAACACATAATTATAAAAGGTGGGGCTTTTGATATGCCGCCGGATTAAAATAGCACTGTGAATGAGGACCAGTCACAATTATAAATTGAGTGGAGATACTGTAGACGCTCCACTTGTTGAGGTAGGAATGATACAAGAGGGAGAGGAAGGACCGCATTGCACCTGTGTTAAACAAAACAAGTAGAAAAATGACATCTGGTGAATATGGTAAGCTAAATTTGCTTTTGAATCTCGTCTCTTATCAACATTTTTTCTTTTTTTGTGTTTGTGTATTATTAATTTTAGATTCAAGTATTATTTGAAATTTCTATTAAAATATATATAATTGGGTTTTAGGTATCTTAGATTGACACTGTTTTCCATTGTACTAAGCTGGAAATGGAATAAAAAGGTTTTTATTCAAGTGAATTGAATAATGCATTGCTGTTATACATGTATATCAGGAGTCTCTGCAAAGATGTGGGCATATGGGCTAAAATCTCAGGTTACAGGTGTAATCTTTTCAATTTGTACAATATGTATTTATATTAATATGATCTCTGCAAGATAGAGCACATACACTAAAGGTGCAAAGTTTTAAAATGAAATTATGTTTGTTACGAAAGTATAAATACTAGTAGCTGATGAAACAGATTAAGAATTTATAAATACTGGTTATTGTGACATGAAACGCATGTAATGTACCAGGATTAATTTATTTTTTATCACAGGTTAGTTTTCAGATCCTCTGCACAAATAAAAAACCACAGCTGTGGAATGATAATATGTTGTCTCAGTGCTGATAATTCAAATTGTTTGATGGAAGAGTAAACAGACCATGTGGCAATTTTCATTTTAGGCCACTCCTCCATATAAACCAGTTTTCAGCGCCCTCTGTTGTCAACTCGCTAGACCATAAATGATAGTTACCTGTTGAATATACAAACACAATAGTGCTTTTATCATGCAAATGTAAGCACAGAATGTGGGTCAGTGAATATATAGGTTGGCAGGACATAGTTTGATGTAGGAATGTTGAAATGGAGGAGGATGGAGTTCTAGTCAAGTCAAGATGGTGAAATAGGATAGTATTTTTCTTCAAGTAAGGTATTTCTAGGACTTTGAAAGACGGGTAACTTGATACCTGCTTGGTATTTATTTGAGTTACAATAGTTATAAGTATTCAGAAAAACTAATGACTAGTTTAAATTTTTTGTTCTACTATTCTTTCTGGTAAGTTCCCAAACTTAAATTTTTCAAAAATGAGTTTAGGTTAGTGGAATAATTAAAGGACTGGGAGTGAATATATTGATTGTTAAATTTATGGACATTTTAGTTATATATAACAGATTAATATGATGTGAAGTACTGATACTTGGTAACAGTTGATAAACATGCATAGAGTCAGGAATATGGTCATGTACAGTATATAAAAAGTTGATCCTTTTTTTCCATAGCTGCTTCTGTGACTGTATAAGGACTGTAGAAAGTTGCCCCATAAATGAGAATAAGTAAATAATAAACTTCCATAGTTGACCATGTCTAAATCCTTGGACAAGATTCGGAATCGCCTAGCTGCAGAAGGCTATAAGAATATCAAAGATGAAGATGCAGAAAAGGTACCCATTGATTCAGAAAGTGGAAGTGAAGATGAAGAAGGTAAGATTCCATTGCTCTAAATGTATCTTCTTTAAATAACAACTTCAGGACACACCCCTTGGTGTTGAGAGAAATTATCATAAGTGGGAACTGCCCAGCCATTGGAGTCTGCCTTTTGTAAGTGTGGTTTAGAATATAAAGCAGTTCCCAGGTCTCAGAGATGAGGTTGCTACGTAGATCTCATGCTTTCATGAGTATTAAATGATCCTGAGCGTAAACATACAGAAACTCTTTCTCATATAACACATAAGTGGTCACTTTGAAAGGGGATGGCAATCAGTTCACAGGTGCATGCATGTTTGGAGACATGTATAGAGTCATGCTAGTGTGAAACTTTTATTTTGATACAAACAGTAAAGCATGTATTTATTTTAAACTTTCAGTGCTGAGATAAGGGGGAAAAGGGGTTTATTGGTGAATATCAGATACTGAGGTGTTGCATTTTATCTAGATTATTAATCTTTTGAGAAAAAAAGGCATGAATCATGTTCCTGCGGATACACTAGATACTTGATAAACACACTGTGATGTTTTTCACTTTCGCTATGAAATTGGTTTCTCATGGTTTTGTGTAATAATGATGAAAGAAGTAAATTGTTTCTAAAGAGCTCAAGACTACACCTGTTTTCTACTTATGTCATGCCTCATAGTTAGAAAACATTTAATCACCTTATAAATTGTGTTAAAACCTTTTTATTGTATGGCTGTAGTGTTCTATTAATTAAAAATAACTCCCTGCTCCATCACATCCATAGATTGTTATTTGTACAAAGGCAAAATCTTTTCTTGGGAATTATATATATATATATACGCCAATGAAACTGATGAATATTTTTGTTCAGCTTCCTGTTTGCTTAAAGCTAATGTCTATTATTTATTGAAGGTGGCAAATAGTCTGTTCCTTGTAAGGTGACATGATACATGATTAAATTTCTTTCTCAAATACTGGATAGTTCCCATTTTTGTTCTCATGGCAACTTGTGCAGTTTTCTTCTGTTTTTCTGTTTGTCTTTTTCAAAGGATACTACCTGTCCCTTTTTAAACACATTAGCCATGTTATGGTAATGTAAAATTACCTGTTTGCATGTAAAATGTCTTTAAGATAGCTGAAGTGATGAAAGGTTGTTCAGATAATTCAGGAAAAAGGCCATCATATGCATTTCAGTGCTTTATGAAGTGCTGAATTCTGTGTTTTTTCTATTTAAACTTCTTGTTTTTTTATTTTGCTTTTGCTTCAACTATTTTTATATCAGTATTTCACATACATATGTTGGCCTCACGCCTGTGATTCATATACAACAAATTTTATCAAGTCACTAACATATCTTTGACATGCAAGAAAACAGAATTTGCTCTGTTTATTTCATTGTATTTGTTTAGTTGGATAATTATAACTAATATTTTTTAATGTAACTGGTTCTCAAATCATTACATAGATTATATGTAATGTTGTTTTCCAACATCCTTTCCATTAGACATGATCAGTATTTGATATTCTTCTTTTAGATTTTATATATATCCAATTTAGTGATAGTATTTTAGTATTCAAAACACATTTAAAGGGTTTATACACTGGGCATCCACTGTACCATACCAGTTGGAATTTAAATGCTGTGAGTAACACAAGGAGACCTGGTCATGGGAAGGCAATTTTTTATTTAAAAAAAAAAAAGTTAATTTTGTGATAAATAAGAAATTCAAAACATTAAAGTGATACATGTACTGTGTAGTTGTAGAAAAATTCCAAGTCGAGATTGTGCCTGTCAAGTGATTTTTTTCCACACATAATGGGACCACTTAAACTGTAGCAGATCTAGATTAACAGCAAAAGTAGAAGAGCTGTAACAGATAAATAAAATGAGTTATTGCATTATAGGTCAAGTTGTTTTGTTTGTACAAGTAAAAATTTGTTTGTTTGGACCAATAAAAATTGATCTGGAAAGAGGGATATGATATGGTGATGAGATTACTTAAAAGGGAAACATTCAGTTGACATTGGATGGTAATTATAAACAGTATGAAAAAAAATTCATTTTTGAGGTACACGGAACCATTTAGTTCAATTCCTCTCAGTAGTGTCCTTGGAAGTGTTCCCATTGTGTGCCAGAGTGAAAGGACTTAAAACCAGGACATATTTGAACTGTGAAAATAATGGATAATATTTTTTTTCTTGAAACTGTGCTACACTTATACATCTCAACACTGTTTACAAATATTATAACATTTAAACCATAAGAGAAATTAACTGTTGTATTCTTTTAATAAAAGGGTTTAATTTTTTTTTAAATTATCATAAATATCTTAATAGTCATTATGAGAGACTTTGACTTATTGATAAAATTTGACCATAAAATTAGTCCTGCACTCTCAAAACTCCCCTGACCATGTGTTTTACTTTTTTTTAATAATTAAAATGACATCATTATGAGGAAAGAAAAATTTTAAAAGGTGAAAAGCTTGCTAGGTTCTAACATGGTAAAGATTTTTTGAAATATTGCTACTAGTTGGTTTTCTGATCTTAGTTTGAACTCTGCTTTTTACTTGTGAATGTTTTCCCAGAGTTGGATGAAGACCAGGCGTCCCTATATTGCTTGAACTCTCGGTGCTTGACTGTTGCTATAAAGCAGCATGTGGTAAGATGTTTTGGCCAGATTTAAGAAAGGAGCTTACCAGTGAAAGTGTTTTTCGTGTGATGCAGTTTATTATTTCTATGTGAGGTTAAAATTGTGCTTTTTAGCCAGAACAAAAAAAATTAGCAGCTTGGAAAAAATGAGTGAATCATTAATGGTTGATAAAGAAGTGGAGTTGACAAGTTCCGGGTATGGGCCAAGTGTTGTGATGGGTGAAATGCAAAGGCAGACCAGCTGTGAACCACTGCACTGTGACAGGGAGAAAAATAAAACTGGTACAGATATATATGAAAGTTGAAAAATTATTTGGAGTGCAACATTGAAATGATGTTGTTGTGAATGGTGGTTATTATTTTTTTAATATTTTTTGTTTACTTGTGCCTCATTTAAAATTAATGGAATAACAAAGAGACACTGTTTTAATTCAGCTTGTTCTGATTGGAGTATTTTTTATTAAGTAACTTCTATAACAGTTTCATTTAAAAACAGATGAAAGCAATATATGGATCAGATTCTAAGTAAAGGGCCTAGTACATGCTTATTTGAACAGCTGTTTAGTATGGTTTAATAAAGAAAATATGGATATCCTTTGTTACCTGCGATTGGTACACAAAAAGTGCACAAAAAAGATTTAGATACTGACCATGGTGCTTTTCTAGGTAAATGGGAAGTGTTGTATGTATGGTTACTTCTACGGATTTTAAAGGATATTTCATATTAAACTTGTCATGTTTAACCTCTAAAAGTAAACAAATTGGATACTAATGATTTTGAATTGATACAAAGGTATAGAATTTAGAAAGGATGTTAATGTGAGGATCAAATTGCATATTCTGTGTAGCGTACTGTATATAGCATACATGAAGCTAGAAAATATTTGATTAGAAATGCTGATACATATACAAGCTACTCTGTTAATATACGATTCCTTTTATTCGGCTTGTTTGCCTCAATCACAAATAGTCCAACAGCTAATAGTGTCAGTAGAAGAATGTTCAGTTTTGTGAATAATGTAATTGTTGAAAAAATGGTGACTTTTTCAATTTGTTCAGATGTTCTCACGCAGTAGAAGGGGTATTTGCATGCAAAACGAAATATTTTCAAATGTACAAAAATCAATCAAAAGTTACATTTCTTGAAATAAAGAGTGACTTTAGAGGTTAGGAATATTTGAAAGATCAAGCTGTGATTTGTGTTAAATTATTTTATTGAGCATAAGATTTAAAAATGTGAAAATATGATCTATATAGTGCACTGATGATGACCATTATTAACTATTGAATTCAGCAAATTTTGAAGAATCAAGAAATGGTTTATTCAGGCATCAAAACAGACTTAATTTCTAAAGAGCTTCAATGCATACAGTATCCCAGATATTTCTGATCTGATTCCACCTATTTAATATTTTCACCTTAAACTGAAGCAATAAGAGCAAAGATAAAACTGGAAATGTGCAACAAGTTTCATGGCAGAATTACTTATTAGTAAAAGATTGCCAGCTACTGGGAGTTGTTTCAAAAGAGTTCAGTTTGAACAAAACTTGGTGTCACTCTGGAGTTTCAGATTAGTTTGAGGACCCTGTCAGATTACATGTTTTGGTAGGGACAGTAAAACGGAATGGTAAAATTTGGCTCCCTTACAGAAAGCTAACAAGGCAGGGCTATATGCCAACCCCTTTGTATACAAATTAATGTCTTTTGGATTTAACCACTTGAACTGCTTAAAAGGAAAACATTGTCATCTCTTTAGTTGAATAAACTTTATTATTAGGAGTTAAAACAATTGGTTCTAAACACTGTATGTAAAGCCCATGTAGAAAAAAAGCAGCTGTAAATATTGGGGCGTTTAAAGTTGTGATGTGAATGAAGTAGAGGTCTTAAGGCTACATTTAAAGTTTGCCACAGTCTTATTACACTCTAATGAAACAAGTATGATTTTAGTTGTTGTTACTTTATAAACATAGATGTCAAAGTGTTTGTGTCTTTAAACAAGCCACGATTTAAATACTTAAGTAAATGTTTATTGTTGCTGTTACAAAAAGTCCACAGTTAGTCAAACATCCTATGCTCTCACAAACTTAAAAGGACAACCTTGAACCACCATTTTTGCCAAGGTTGAGAGGAAATGTTCGGTTCCCAGCATGTAGCAAAGTGTAGAATGGCATTTATACTTGTTAATGGTCTTCATACAAATTGCAGTTCAAGTGGAATATATTTTTTTCCATTCTGTTTTTCCAGATTTGTGTAATAAATTTTTTGGATTCAAGTTGAACTTAAGTTGAACTGCTGAAACTTTGTCATTTCCATGACAGTAAAAATCTTTCTTTCTTGGCAAAATTTCAAAATATAAAGAATGGTGGGTGCATTATCCATCAATATTTGGTTAAAATATTTACCTTAGCTCATATGGTTATTTTATAATTATTCAAAATTACAATGTTTCTGAATTTTTTTACTTTATATATATATATATATATATATATATATATATATATATATATATATATAATCAGATGATCTTTGTATGTGTCATCCATATTTGCCTCTTAAAACTGTCTAGGTCATAATAATACTGATCTAAATAAGAATAATATATATGATTATATGATATTATGCTTAAGTAGGTACATTTGTCATGATATATTTATGTAAATGTGCCCTATTTAGACTAATTTATTTTATGTAATTTTTTTTCTATTCTCTTTTTTTGTGAAACTGTCAGACTGTTATCCAGACAGTTAAAATGTTTTAAACAACAAAAATGAAATAGTCTATAGAGCCTAGCTTAATAGCAATAATTTATCAACTCTATAGAGAAAAAAAAACCTAACGCAGTTTTTATTGCTTTTTCCTAGAACCTTTGAATGAAGAGAAAGAATCGAAATGGAGCAAGACAGAGAAGCAGCTGGGTGCTCTGCTGGTGATAGCAATGGCTGTGATAGTGGTGCTCATTATCCTTGTGGTCCTGATGCATTTCCAGAGTATACAACAGGTGGGTGCCATTCATTCAAGTTATACCTTTGTGTGAAGAAAAATCTGAGGGACAATTGGCCTTGCTGGAAAAAGAAGGAAAACTCAAGCTTGGCCACTGTTCGCAAATGGCTTTTTTTTTTCTTTTCTGTTAATGATTTAGCTATTTAGCTATTAGGAGTAAATTATTCATTTTCTTGTGGAAAATGGTGTTACAGAATGTAACTTTTCATAGTAAGTTGATAAAACTATTTTAATTATTGCTTTTGTAGACATCATATAATCGTGGATATATTGTGATTTGAAGTATTTTGTTTTAACAGAATGTTGGATGTTTAACTCCATCTTGTGTGAAAGCAAGCGGTTCCATGCTGAAGGACATGAATCTCACAATTAATCCCTGTGATGACTTTTATGAATACACTTGTGGAAATTGGGTAAAAAACAGAATAATTCCACCAGACAAACCCAAATGGACATCATTTGCAGAAGTGTATGACAAGAACTCGGCCTTCCTGAAAATGGCAAGTTTAGAAAGCTAGGTTTCTGAAATAATTCATCATAAATTGATAGCTTGTACAATTATGTGATTTTTGAAAATGAAGTAGAATTTGTCACAAGAAAAAAAAGATGTAGAAAAGAAATTTATGACAAAAGATTAGTAACTGAAATTATGAACACTGTTATTGTTACTCATTTGTTTGTATGTAGAGTTCACAGATACAAATATGTGATGCAATTCTGATGTACTGTCTTGATTGATTCAGGTTTTGTCAGAACCAGGTAATCTTCTTAGAGGTGAAAACTCCACAGCTGTGAAAAAAGCCAAGGATTTGCTCACCTCTTGTATGGATACATCTGCTATTGAGGTTGCTGGTGCTACTCCATTGCTCAAGGTAACATATAGGGGTTGGTTCTTTAAATGTCTGCATTGTTACTTACCCTAGCAAAATGTATGATGTACCTACATCAAAATTACCTTGCATTGATCATTACTTCCCTGCACTGTTACATCATTATGGTGTGGGTTAGTGAATTAGATGCTGGAGCATAATCTAATGAGTTGTAATCACATATACATGTAGCAAGTCTTAATATTGTATTGTCAACATGTGTCTACCAGGAATCGCATTGTAACTTTGAATAGCAACATATGTTTTGAAATGTACAACATGAAGAAACTGCAAACACATGTAATTCTTTTTTCCATTGATATTGGAAATATAGTGGTTTGGTTTTGTTATTCTGCCATGTCTTAATGTAAAAAAATGCCTAATCAGATTAGTGAATCAGTTATCATTTTCTTTATTTTTTTTTTTGTCACAAAGTTGAGATTAACCTTCACAAATCTATTTCAGATGATTAAAGACCTGGGCTCTTGGCCCCTAACATCTGATCCAGTTTCTGGTAACTGGAGTCAATCCAGCTGGAATTTTATGGACACACTTGTCAAGTCTCACCTGGAGCAGGGCTCTCCATTCTTCAGCATGGCTGTGAGCACTGACGACAAGAATAGCTCTCTGAACATAGTGCAGGTAATGAGAACACTGCTTGTCTGCCAACTGCTATATGCCCTTAACCCACTGTTTCACCTAGAAATGTTAGATTAACAGTTAGAAATGAACTGTTAGTGCTGAGTTCACACCAGGACTATTTGATATCAGTTTAATCTATCACCAAATGACCAGATAGTGAAGAAATACTGTAGCACTTTTAACTGTATCTTCTGGGAGATTTCAAGTTTTATTTCCAGCCTGAATTTGTTTTTGTCTAAATTCAGACTGATACATTAATGAAGTAATAATAAATGTTATGAATGAAAAATCAATTAATGAATAAATAAATGAATATTATCCCTCTCAAGTTATATTTTGTTAATATTAGACACTTTGGGTTAACACATGTTAACTGATTTTCACCCATTGCCACATTGTTCATTTTAACATTGATTCATTGATTGAAAAATATTGGCTAGTATTGGTTTTCAAGATACTGCTATTTTAACATAAATTCTTGTTTTGTTTTGTTTAACAGTTTGAACAGGCTGGACTGACATTAGGTAGTCGTGAAGAGTATATTAGGAATACTTCAGAAAAGTTCCATAAAGCCTACGTACAGTTAGGTGCAACTACTTTGAAGCTTCTTGGATCTGAAAATGAAACGTTCAATGCTGAGCAGATGGAGAATTTATGGAAATTTGAGACTAAAATTGCGAAGGTGAGGAAAATTGTTTAATTAGATAAAAATCAACAGCATATTTACTTTCATACAGATAGAAAATACATCTTAATAACTTTGATCCACTATATTTACTGAATACCTCCACATTTTTGCAGAGCTTTTTACCAAAGGAGAACATGACTGATCCTAAGTCACTATACCACAAGATGACAGTGGGTGAACTGATGGCCAGCATGGGGAACACTGTAAGATAATTTTTTGTGTGTGTCTGTGTGTGTGTGTGTGTGTGTGTGTGTGTGTGTGTGTGTGTCGGACATGCTGAAACTGTCGGTCCAATTGGTCATGACCGAGAAAATTTGTCTGGACTGGTAAAAAATTGGACTTGGTCTGTCCAAAGGACTGACAAGAGTTTCAAAAACCACAATTTTGAATATACTTCACTAATAACAGGGGCGGATTTAGGCCGTCTTCTGGGTCTTCCGGAAGACGGTCAGATTTTCAAGTTTACGTTGACGGATATCTAATTTTTTCTGTTGGAAGACGGTCAAAATTGGAGGAAGAATCAACAAAGATAAGTTGGAAGACAGTCAGTAAATAGCTCTGGATCCGCCCCTGAATAAAATTATATAAAACCCAAAGCGTTTTTTCCCTTCCATTTCAAACCTATTACATTCATAAACAAAGTAACCTATCTAATCGCACTGTCTCAAATGAATAGCGTGATTTTCAGTCCGACAAATATCCATTCGGTCCGGCAAATTTTTCATTACTGCCAGTCCAAATGTCCAGTTCTTCTGAAAAGTTTTCAGCATGTCGTGTGTGTGTGTGTGTGTGTGTGTGTGTGTGTGTGTGTGTGTGTGTGTGTGTGTGTGTGTGTGTGTGTGTGTGTGTGTGTGTGAACATGATTTTTTCCTGATAAGAGGAGAATATAGATTGCCTCTCTGTATGTGCATGTTGAGATTAGTGTAAGCATATGCTTTGAAAAGATGGAAATGATAGTGTTTTTGAATACAAATGCATACGATAAATCAACATTTAACACCTGTGACACTGCAATTTAATACTTTTTTCTACACATTAAATAGTTTTTGTTTTAGTTAACATATACTGTAACCTTTGTTTTCTTCCCAGATTGATTTAACAGTGTACATGAGCAGGATGTTCAACACCAGTATCTCGGCATCCGAAAGTGTTTTAGTTAGTACACCAGACTACATGAAAAAGATGGCAGAGATTGTCAAGCAGTCTGATCATGCGTAAGGGAATTGTTGTTGTTTTTATTTGAAAAAAATGTCTGTGTGTTTGCTTGGAGAGCCAAAAAATTTTGCTGACATTAAGTAATCTGGTCACAGCATTTTTAACAGTAATATATGAAATCATTGTTTTAATTAATTGTATTGCAGCATTCAAATTAATTTCTATATCTTTCTGTCATTCCAGTATACTTGCCAGCTATATGGTATGGCAGACCATTCAGGAGCTGCTGAGCTCTGCTTCTTTAGCATTTAGACAGGCACTGCTGATTATAAATAAGGTAGAAAAGGGTGTCTCCAGTGAGCCACCAAGATGGAAAAACTGTGTTTCTAAAGTGGACAGTTCTGTTGGATTTGCCACGGGAGCTTTGTTCGTAGAAAAGAAATTCTCCAAAGAGCAAAAAAATCAGGTTTGTATTGAATCTGAGATTTGTTGTTGTGCTGGGTTACACATTATTAGCATGTTTTTATTTCATATTTATATGATGTCATATTGCCTGTTGTGATTTTTATCTTTGTTTGATTGCACCAAGATGTCAATGAATTAACTCTCATTATTAATTTGCAGATTTTTTTTCTTGGAAACCAAAGGCTTAAACACTTTATTCTTGAAGTACTATGATTTTCTTCAAGGTGGAAACCATACTGAAATATATCCGCGATGCTTTCACCGATAATCTCCCTAAGGTGAGCTGGATGGACAAGGACACCCAAGCCAAAGCACTGGATAAAGCTCAGGCTGTAGTACAGCAGATAGGATATCCGGAGTGGATCACTATTCCCAAAGAACTCGACAAATATTACCAGAATGTAAGATTATTTATTTATTTATTTATAAGAAAATATGTCACCAGAAAATAAGGAAAAGGCAATAACCACAGCAAGCCCTGTGAGCTTAGCAAAAGGATTAATTTGGTTGTCAGATTATGACAAAAATCACGTTGGAAATTAAAGCAATAAAATCCTGCATAATTGTTATCATTATTATGATTATATAGCTTGTTTCAATTTAAAATTATATTAATTGTTTAACACTTGTGATTATTTTGAAAGAAATATTGTGTGAAAGCAAGGAAATGTATAAAGTTGATGATATTTTGGTTCTTTTTTTTGTAGTTGACTGTGACCTCATCACTGTTTGATAATACATTAGCTTTGAGAAGATTTTACAAAAGGAAAAACCTTGATAAGAGAGGAAAGCCACCAGACAGATATGAGTTTGTATACTATTTAATTTTTTATGATTACTGTATTGAAAAAGACAGTAAGATGTATTGATATTTTAACAGTGGATGGGGAAATTTGATGAAGAGAAGACGACAGCTTATGTTTATGTACCAAACATAATAGATATTACTTTATTTCTGTTACGATATTAGTATATTAACCATATTTCTTTATTTAGAACACTTATCTCTATCAGATGGACCTGAAGAAAAAAGACAATATAGTTTGTATAAGCAATGCTGAAATCAGAATATTAGAATATATATATGTATATAGCTTAGAATTTCAAAACCTGTATAGAGTTTAACACATGGCAACTATAGTGTAACATAATGTTTTCTGTGATCCAGATGGCACATGACTCCAGCAGTAGTGAATGCTTACTATACATCAGTGTACAACTACATTGCCTTCCCAGCAGGCATTTTACAGTCTCCATTCTATGATAGTGAATTCCCTATGTAAGTACTGGCCTTAGGCCTATCACATCTTTTAAACCCCACATGATGATGGAAAATAATCAGCTTTAAGTCCTTTTCAAAAATTCACTTTAATAATTACACAATTTGATTGTGACAATGAGGAGCCATCTTTAAAACATAAAATACACTCTGGCATAAATACATGGTTGGATTCTTTTCATTTTTTGACATTAATTCAATTATATCAAGCCGTAGGAACTTTACTACTAGTTTTATCACATATTCTTTAAGTTTTATATTTTTGATCAAATACACACATAAGTCGGTTTGTAATTGCACTTCATAGTAAATTTTGTAGGTATGAATCTGAAAGACAGAGATGTTTAAGACATTGAAGCTAAGATTAAAAGAAAATGTTGTGTTCCAAAGTGTTTCCTTTAATTCATGATTTGAATATTTAGACAAACATTTTCTTATTCCATCAGGGCTTACAGTTTTGGGGCAGCAGGGATGGTAATGGGTCATGAGTTGACACATGCTTTTGATAGCTCAGGTACATTTTGAAGATTTTTGTTCCCTTTTTGCTTCTAATAGCAGTGTATAAGCTGATATGTTTAGGAACTTATAGATTTTATTTTTGGAAAAAATTGACCTGATTTTCTAAAAACAAAGAAATTTTGCTAGAGGAAAATAAAAATTAATAAACTTTTCTTTACCCTAGGTTAAATACTTTGGCATTTGACTCACATTCTTATGTTGGGTGCAAACAAAACAATAAAACTGTTCTTATTCATTATAATTTCAGGTCGTAACTATGACAAGTATGGTAACATGCACCAGTGGTGGAACAATGCCTCCATTAAAGCATTCAAGAAGAGAACTAAATGTATGGTGGATCAGTACAGCCAGTACACCATCAGGGGGCATAAGGTAGGGCCTGTTAGGGGGCATATGGTAGGGTCTATTGGGGGCATAAGGTGGGGCCTATCAGGGGGCAAAAGGTGGGCCTGTCAGGGGACATAAGGTGGGGCCTATCAGGGGCCTTAAGGTAGGGCCCATTGGGGGGGGGCAGTAGGGCCTATCAGGCGACATGAGGTAGGGCCTATCAGGGGCCATAAGGTAGGGCCTATCAGTGACTGGCCTTTTTGCAATGTGTAAAAATGCTTTTATTAGAAATTATTAGTAACTTATTTTGCTCTGAGCAACACTAAAAACAGTAAAATAAGCGTTATTTTTTACAAGCTACACAATCATGTTACTGACTGTCTGCAATTAGGAGTTTTTCAAAAGTGTGTTCCCACTAGCAGTACCTGATGTCATGTTTCTGTGGCCAGCAAATCTTTATTTATAAATATTGATCGGAATAGAAACCAGGATGGGTGTTTAATAGACTTAAAATCTCAATTATACTCCTATTTCAGGTAAATGGTCTTACTACTCTTGGAGAGAATATAGCTGATAATGGTGGCATTAAGATGGCCTATCTGGCCTATCAGGCATGGAGCAGACAGCATGCCAGGGAGCAGGGACTTGTTGGTCTGAATGCCACAAATAACCAACTGCTCTTCATGGGATTTGGAAAGGTAATACTTACACATATTATTTTTATTTCATTTTTTTTTTTTTGTTTTGTTTTGTTTTGTTTACTGAGTTAAAACACTACTGTGGTGATTAAGTTACAATTATTTGAATTTTTTTTTTTTTTTTTTTTTTTTTTGAAGAAAATTAAGACAGTTACAAGACGCTTTAAGTAATGTGAAAAACTTATTGGATGGCATTTTTACCACTTTTTTTTTTTTTTTGCAACACTAAATGTGTTAAGTATATCTTCCAAGGGTAGTTGACATTGTCAAGCCAATAGCTGTGCATATGTTTCTTTCAGATATGGTGCTCCTACTACACACCAGAATATGCAGTGCAAGCTTTGATAACTGATGAACATGGACCTCCAAAATACAGGTGAGACATTTAGCACTAGTATCAACACCAGTTGTCCACTGTATGCGAGTATAATTATATCTAGGCGTAGCTTCCATCAATAGCATGATTGTACTTGCACTTTTGCTAGATGAATGCACTGAAAGGAATTAAAATGCTGGTGAGCATGTTAGGGAAATGCAAGTGCAATTGTCTTATTGTTCAAAGCGCAGGCCGTGGACAAGTTTCAATACATCAAACTGAGATATGTATCAAAGGGCCTTCACACATAAAGCAGAATACTTCAGGAATACAGTTTATACCACTGCACTTTGAGAGGTCCTAACATGTAATTATGTGACTGAATGGATAATTTGTCCCACTCAGTGTGAAATTACAAACGTGATGGTCTTTCACCAATATAATATTAATGCAAGGCAACCTTATGCGTGATAGTGAGGCTTTGAAAAAGAGAAATGTGTTTCTTGTTATCATAGTGACCCATATCTTGGTGTACATGTTTTGTTACCATGTACCAGTAGAGATATTCTGCTGGTGAAAATAAAGTACACATTTTCAACTCAATCTTGTCAACTTTTCACCCTGTTCTAGACCAGACACAATGTATAATCATCATGGCACATCTATGATTTTTCAGAGTGAATGGTGCCTTGTCAAACCTGCACGAGTTTTCAGAAACTTTCTCCTGTCCCTTGGGAAGCAAGATGAACCCAGTTCACAAGTGCAGTGTATGGTAATGGGATGCCTGCCAACATCATACACTCTGCTCAGGATCCCTGTCTACATTTCACAAGTCTGCTCAATTTTGATTCCTGCTTTAAGATCTGCTTTAAATTGTCCTAAAAGGAAAAGTATGTGTTCTGTTCTCATAGAAGGTTAAAAAAGAACAGTTGTACATAGTTGTTTATGTTCTGAAGGATGTTTTAGATCTGCAATTTATTGTATTTGTTTATCTATTATTTTTGAGTGGTGGGGAGGAGAAATTACCTTCATTCATGCCTTTAGAATTTGATATAGCATTAAAACAGCTGAAATGGTAAATAAGATGAATGAATTAACTTGTTGGAGAATTAAAATGTGTTTATATTTAGTTAAATATATTGTAGAAAATAAGTATGTAAAAATACTGTAACAGGGTAAATGAAATAATTGAAAATGGTGATAAAGGTGCATAATTTTAAGTTGATATTTTTAGAATGGAAATATGTTATATGTATAAAGGACAACATGCCTTTAAGTCATGAAATATCCTGAAATGTTGTTCAGTGCATTTTTGTCAAGTACAATAACAACTTGTGATGTTGACTCAAAATATCAAACAGAAATTTTGAACAGAAATGCTACAACAGGATTTCAGATAAGATACTCCACAAACAACAACAACAGTTTCTTTCTTTAAGTTAAAGAGTTTTTGGTAACATTTGGTTATTTTCGTGGTTTATTAACATTTACACAGAGATATGTTTTACAGATAAATAGCGATTACATCTCTTGATTTGTGTCCAGACTCGCAGTAGAGAGAATGCACAAAGCTACATGACAAAATTCATATCAGATTCTACTGGTATCTTTTTTTTTTTTTTTTTTTATCTTAAAACAGTGTACCAGGCGGAATACTGCAGTTATATTCAGGTTAAAACTACCCTGCTTTTTAAGTGTCATTATATTATGTTTTTATGTAATTCAGTGAGAAAATTTAATAAAGGACAATGTTACTCAGTACATGACACATACACTGTTTAGAACTGGCTAAAGAAAGGTGAGATAACTGAATTAAAGGGCATTAAACAAAATAAACCTTGAACAGCACAAACAAGTGCACTGTATGAGTAAATGAGAGGAAATTAATCCAACAACATGACTTTTCATCCTATATTTTAAGTATATTTAGCAGGGGTATGGTGCAATATCGTCTTCCATGCAGTCGTGGTTGCAGGAGGAGCAGCAAATCCAATGTCTTCCAGATGTACAGAGGTGGGGGGATGCAACCATTTAACCAGATACAATTATTGTTATTATTATCACAATTAGTTAGAGAATTAGTTGTTTTTTTCCTTATAGGATATGTTATTTACAGATTATTTACAATTTAACATCTGATGATCAGCTGAGAATGTTGCTCGAATATAATGTTAGTTTTTACCGATTTTTATGTAAAGCTTTCTGTATATGAAGTATTGACCTTTCTGTTAATGAGCATTTGGTGAATTTGCGTTGCCTATAAGAAGTTATAAAGTTTATTAGATTTTCTCAGTGAAGGCATTACTTGTTATTTTGATTTTCTGATAAGTTTGGCAGATATCCTACAATGAGGATAGATTACTGTATGTTTGCGCTCAAAGTGACATATTCTCACATACAGTGTACGTTGTAGACATAAATTTGTAGAGGACGTTCAAAAATAAAAATCGGTGATATGTACTTTTCAGTTTTTGTTGTTATCCATCAAAATATATTGACCTATTATATAACATGGACGAAAGATTTTATTAAAAATTTCTTTCTAGACGGTGTAACTGGGTGTTACTGTTGGGTGGGTATACGGGGTATATAAGACTTAAGACGGGAGTTTTGTCGATTATTCAAAATTAGCCTTAGCAAAACGTAGATTACAAGTAGTTTTCTGTGGACATATTTCAAAATATTTCGAAAGATAAACCCAACCAAAATGTAAGCTAGATTAGAAAGTTTGCACGATAGAGTTATCTTCGTGTACTGTTTACAAAGTTCTGTATTTAGAAATGCATAAGTAGAGCAACTGTATACTGATTGAATGAGGTGAACGTGAGTACCACGAAATGGAGTCCAGTTGCTGGTGGATCGTAATAGGTGTGTCGATTTTTGGTACGTATTTTACCTTATACGCTCTTGGGACGAGTTTCATTTCGAATAACGATTTCTGTCCTGCAGCTACGTTTGTGTGGAATAACATACCAAAACCCTCAAGCAGAATACCGCCAGTGCAAATATTTCTTCAAACGGAGATGTATTTTGGTCTCAATTACGACAAGTTTGACTGACATGGCACCGCAGTTTATACGTCTCAGATTTCATTTATTTTTTTCGTCACCCAAGGGCATATATATATATATATATATATATATATATATATATATATATATATATATATATATATATATATATATATATGAAAAAATTCGGGTAGGCAAGCGTAAATTGTATCAAGATTGTCAAAATTTTTGACATGACCAAAATCATTTCTGTCCTCCTAATATCATTAAGTTCATGAATGTCAATTGTGGTTTGTCTCTGAAGCAATAAGTGTATACATTGGCGACAGTGCCTTTAGATTAAATAGATTAAAAAATGTTCTCTTCCTTTTCTAGCGGTGCTTTGCCCCTCTACTGGATCATCATGGTCGGGATGTCAAGGTCTCATTAAGCTGACGTCACCTAGTGGGACGATTACGTCACCACAGTACCCCAGTAATTACCCCGTCAATGTTCACTGTACGTGGGAGATACGACCTAACCCCAAACAGGTGAGGTCGTGTCAGAACGCAAACACAGCAGGTCAAAACTGATAGTTCAATCACAAAGTAACAATTGGCCATAATTTCTGTGACAACGACCGATTGAGAAGTTGCAAATTTGTCTGTTAGCGGAGAACTTTTATAACCTATTATCATATATACTTTTACATATCATAACTCCTTTTTAAAAAGTTAAAAATATTATGTACCAAAACATATTGTTATAGTCAATACTAGGTGTTTTGTATCTTGCTGTTAGCATTACTAAACAACATTGGTCAAATTGTGTGTGAATTTGGTGACCTTTGATGGTGTCTTTTCAATTTTATAGACATTTCTTTACATCTGTAGAAGTCACAGTGAAACAGTCGATTTGAGGGGGTACCTCTTATAAATTTTACTAAATGGTATAAAATGTGTATATTTTCACCACTAATTTGTATTTTTTTAACCATTAATCATGTTAGACACGGTATCCGTAATAAAATGCACTATTTCTAACAGTTCACAGCTGTGAGGTGATCATTTGTAAATAAAAGTACATGGAAATGGGGGTGGGAAAACCTTTTTGACCAATGTTATATATATATATATATATATATATATATATATCCCATTTTCGACGTTCATTTTATAGTTATGTTTTAACGTAAAAACTTCAGGCAAAGTAATGAATAAAGGTAAAATATTTAATTACTTTAATTACTTTCATGTCAATTTTCCCAGGCAATTATGGTGATATTTGAAGATCTGGACGTGGAGGGAGACGCCATGAACTGTCCGTACGACTTCATCAGGATGTCGGCAAACAAATGGAGTGGGGCTACATAATTTAAAAACATTAAAATGCTTCCCTCTCATTTATCCTTTCCTTTCTTTGAATTATGTATCATTGCAGAGAGAACGTAACAGTTCTTTTCGTCGTATTGTCTAAAATGATGCATTGTCCCTAGTTCATTATACTCATACGACACTTATATCGTGCCCTCTCTTTTATAGCCATTGGTATTTATGCTGTTGTACATACAACATTGATTAAGCACTATTGAAGGGATTTCTTTAATTCTGCAATTTGCATTTTAAATTAATGCCTTGTTTATTCATTCATTTGGTAATTGATTTTTCTTTCTTTTTAATGAAATCTAAAGTTAAGTACTGTGGAAAGAACTTGCCAGCGGCTATTATAACAAATAGCTCGGTCGTTCTTCTCGAGTTTACTAGTGACAGTTCCAAGACTGGTCGTGGGTTCAAGATAACATACCGACCCTGGACTGGTAGGTTAAGAAACAATTCAGAAAGAGAGGAGATGACCTTTTTCACGTTGTTTAAATTTAACGCCATTATTCTTAGTTATATCTTGAGCTTTTAAAGTAAAAGATAGGGGAAGGGTTGCCTCAGTTTTCGGCCTTACATGCTCACGGTACCCTTACCACTGTTAAAAGGTACATTTACCATGAGCATGTAAAACTGAAAACCGAGCCAAGGAGAAGGACTGAAGTTTGTTAAATCGTGGGATTTAACAAGACCGATTATCTAGAACGCAGTGTGTTTGTTACTACCAGTTAAGACTCCGTTCACATGGAAAGTCTATTTTCTAAAAATCTATTTTCTATTCGCGGTATCTTGTAATCACGGTCCCTGTGCCCTGAATATCCCGCGGCGTAATTACTTGCGGCGCGAGCCAGTTACTTCCAAAGCTGTAATTAATTCTCGGGATATTCAGGGCACAGGGACCGTGATTACAAGATACCGCGAATAGAAAATAGATTTTTAGAAAATAGACTTTCCATGTGAACGAATTTAACATCATACCTCTATATTATCTTTTTAAATATTTAACTCTGCACATTTTTTGTAAAACTCAATGTCATAGTAACCAAGGTTGTCATTATTGTAAGTAACATGATCAGAAATACATGTGCATGTATTTCGATTATTTTTAAACAGCATGTTATAATCAGTATACAGCTTATGTAGTTTTATTTCTACTAGGAACTATCTTGAACTCCTCCCCCGGGACACCCAAGCCAGCCAGTCCCCAGGGATGTACCGGAAACCCCGTGGAACTGCATGCTCCAAGTGGGGTAGTGTCATCACCGGAATTTGATGGGCAAAAATTATATCAATCAAACTTGGCTTGCTCGTGGGTGATTAAGCAGAAAACTGTACAGGTACGCAAGTGTTCACATACTGATTTAATAAATGCGCCTGTTTCACATACATTTGATAGAAATCGAAATGAAGTCATACCATAATGGAAAATTTAACAGTAAAAGTCTGCCTGTTTCCATTTCTGTTATTCACGTCTTAGTGCGTTTTGAATAGTCTGCAGTGGAAACGATGACAAAATGTCGCTCTATGTTAAACTTTCATGCATTGATGTATGATATTTTCAAAACGATATATGTATGCCCCTTCACTCATTATGTAAGTTTTATCTTGAGTTAATCCGTCGTATCCAAGAAATATTTTTTTATCGCGGACACATAACGTGTTTACCGCCGTCGACCGGAATGGTCATCCCCGTAGTGAATGAGGAAGCGTCGGATGCCAAGAAAACCACTGCATTGGCCACTTCGTGGGGTAGTCCCATACGTCCCAGAGCATGGGTATTTTTGCACTTTTCAAAAAACTGTCAAAAGATGAAATATCTATTAACCATAGTACATGGATATTAACATAGGTAAAAGAAAAAATGGTATATTACATGTAACAATAACATGGTGCAATGGTTTACATTCTTCCTATTCAAAAAACACTCCTAGACAATGCTTTAAATAATAACATTCGTGTGCGCCTACAAACGCGCGTGCGCACATACAAACACACATGCTCACCTGATCCAGAAGGTTTTTGTCGAGACCGGCACTGGTGTGCAAATTGGTAGATATAGTACTCGGACTGTAAAAACAAACAATAAAAAATAGACGATGTACGGACACATATTTATTAATGAAAAAAAAGCCCCCATATCAAGGAAGATGGATGTATCTGTACGTCGTAATAGTGTCATAAATCGACAATTTGATCCAATGCTATTTCTTCTGTCTTCGCTTAGAGGGATAACAACTCTTCGTATGAGATTCATATTTCCCAATAAATACATTGTCAACAACTCATAGAAAAATAATAAATTCCATTTTATCATCAAAACTGCACATAGCGTAATTAATCTGGAATCTTCATAGATGGCTGGTGTGTGTTACGATCCCCTTAGAGATTATTTAAAAATAACATGACTAAATTTATTTGAATGTCGGAACATTAACCATTGGTAAGTGTGGAAAAATCTTCCTTTACCTCAGGAAAATCCATTTTATGGCACTTTCCCACCAAAATGAACAGTTGTTATCCCTTTAAAATACGAATATTGTAATATATATTCTTGTATGTTTGACCGTTGCTTACCTCACGCTGTTCACCCGTACACCTTTAGGCGCCAACTCTAGAATACATAATACGGATTAATGACATATACATGGTAGTTTTAACGAAGATAACTAATTTAAAGCAACGACCCGTTCACATTAATAGAAAATCTGGTGACGAAGTTGCACAAAATCAATAATATGCAGCAACTATCTGTTCACGTCTTTTCAACAGAAAAATCTGGAGACGAATATCCTACCTAAAGCCAGACAGCGAGTCATATGTGCTACAGCGGCCTTGGACATGCTATACGCCATCAAACCTGCAAACTAAATATTAAGATAACGCTTTCCAGTGCCCAGAAAGGTGTAGAATACTTTAAAATGGGTTTCAAATGATGCAAATATTGACTATTTTCGAAAATTCAATATTGACTTACAAGTCGTCTTTTAAAGGAAAATATTTTGCCATATTGCTATATGTATGTTAAATTATAATTCATCAATGGCAATATTTTGATAAAATAATCAAATTCGAATAGATAGGCTACTTTTGAAATGCTTAAAACATATGCAGAAATACACTACTTACAGCTTGGTTGGCATTTACGGTTGTAAAATTCACAATTCTGCCTGAAAATATATTGTGAAAATGAAATGTCAAAACATTTTATCACAGACTTTGTAGAACGAAAGTTGGTTCAAAAATGAGAGCAAACACAGTGCCTTACATTTACTCTTACCATGAAAAGATTGGCACTGTATATAAGAGGTACATCTTTAAATTGTAAAACGTATCTTATTCTTTTAGTTAAGGCGCTTTAAGGCCATATTGTAATATGTATAATCTCTACCATTTCATTTACCTTTTGATTTTATCAAATGTGGTATGGCCAGCTTGGTGAGCTGGAATACCGCTCTGGTGTTGATGTTAAACACGAGGTCGAATTCATCCATGGGCGTGTTCTGGTGCTCATTCCATCGTAGAATCCCTGCACAATTAACCTGAAATTATTTAGGTTACCTCTGCTACTATACTCTAACCTCAGGTATCACATTTCAGAACCAGTGGGAAAAAGATGCCAAGGTTCCTTAAGTCATTGATTGAGTTGCATGTTGCATGAAGGGAAATAATGCTGTACAAAGAACAAACATAATTAGGTGATTGTTTGTCTGTGAACTAAGTATTGTTTCTCTGTGACTGGTCGTATGTTGACGTTCTGTCCTGTGCATGTACATATAAGCCTACGTATTACTTGTGTCGATGGAGCAAGGGGACATTTTGTACTCACCAACACGTCTATATTGCCATATTTAGCAACTGTCTGGTCTACAAAACGTTCCAAGTCATTGCCATTTGTTACATCTCCATTTATTAGTAATATCTAGAGAGAGATGTAAATAGTTTAAGTACACAAGTATTAAGACTACCATCAATATTTTTACTTGTTATTACCTCAAAAAAGAGGTAACGTTTATGGTTCGGTTAGTTCGTTACACTGTTAGCAACATTACCCAAAACGTTATGGACGGACTTCGATACAATTTTCAGGATAGATCATGGCTAACTAGTGATTAGATTTTGGTGATGGTTCATTAATTGATTAACGGTTAATTATTAATTAATCATTTGTCTTGCAGAGGTATGCGGTCTATGAGTGTTTTGTATTATTTATTTATTTATTTTAATTTTTTGTGTGGTTTGAAGATATCAAAGCGAAACTATTATTTTGCGTCTAAATTCAGTGCCGGTTATTTCAAGCTTGCCTTCTCGGCTGCCAACCCTTCGGACTTGCAGATGTTTGCTGTGTGTTGTAGATTTTCGGCGTCCTTATCGAAAAGAGCCAGTTTCGAACCTAAGGTCGCGAACTTCACAGCTGTGGCGGAACCCAGGCCTGATGCCGCGCCTGCAGAGAAAAGTGATAATATCATTAGGATAAAATTACCTGAAGCACCCCATTTTCATTAAAAAAAACGAAATCCTTAAAAAGGGGCTAATGTAAATGTTACTGGGCAGCTACAGGTGTATCCTTGTTTACAGTAAGTGTTTCGGTCTTGAAACGTAGTTCAACTTCAATAATGATAGTAATTTATCTTATGACCGAAATCATCATGTTTAACAGACCTTGTATATAGTTTCTATTCAGATAGTCTAGACATAAAATGAACTTCACTGTTGTTTATGGGAGATAAATGGTTTCAATACTAACTAATAGTATTAGAAACACGTCATAAATATCTTCCAAATCTAATTTTGTGTTTTCGACCTACAATAAATAAAGTTTTCTGAAATAATATTACGAAATGGCAATTGTTTTTTTTTTATCCAAAAAGACCTTAGCAAATGTTATACAAAATACCAATATGAACGGGACAAATGATTATTCATAATCATTTTTTAAATTACATTTATTTGTTTATTCATTCACTTTTTTTATTTATATTTGTATTACTTGGAATTGTTAAGTGAATGTGACCATAAGCTAATCTACTAAACTCCTTTTTAACTAATGTATTAGTACTTACACAATTAATTCTGGGTAGATTGACTAAAATTATTGGTTAATGCGGATGTAGTGGCAAACTTGGGTTTTCTGTGATATTAACAGGTCAGTTCATTTGAATAAAAAGTTTCTGTACTAGAAAAATACCACATATTTTATTACCTGTAATCATGACAACCTGATCTTTCAGTGATGCTTCCATTTTACTCGCTTGAAAATAACGTTGTCTCTATTACTGTGATGTCTGTGTCTCTCTCTGAGACTGCGCTCCAACGCTTATTCACAAATAGTGTCGTTGTAGAAAACGTGCGTTATTATGTAGTGTCGCAGTTATTATGAAGAAGAGGTCAGAATCCATCACACTTTGGTGGCGTAGCCTCAGAACGAGGCTGGGATTACCACTGTTACTTTGACACCCTGCGTTCTAAAATGAGTTCAAAAGAATCACGATACTTAAATACGCGTCTTTTCGTTGTGATTAGATAAGGCCGTGGTACAACTTCCCTTAAATGCGTCATAAATCGAGAAAAAAGTTCCCGTAACAGATCGTTGATTATACGGCGTCAGTGTTATAACTTCATTTTCAGAGTCTGCTAAAGGCTGGACCCAAAGATACAAATGGCAAAAAAACTATTTGGCAAAACTTACCAACAAGTGAAAAAACGAAAACTGCATACCGTGTTAACTCTTAACTGGCGATATCAGCTGCGTGTCGCGTAGCTTTGTCTTAAGTTTGTAAATCACCTCCACAGGCAAGTTTATTTATAAAAATACATCCCTTTTTTACATGCTGTAGAGTTATTTGAACACCTCAGAGCCCAAAAATATACATAGAAAGATAATAGGTTTATAATATAGATATATGACATAATTAACAAAATTAGAGGATGGCGACATGTCGTCAATAAGTATAACTCCTCCAGTAAATGCACTGTTTATTGAGGTTGGTAGTGGTAGTTTGGCGTGTTTTTTCAATGTAATCCATATAAATAAAAATAATGTATATACTTACTTTGCGCAGTAAGAAAATTTTTTGTTAGAGATTATTTGATGATAATCTATGCGATGCCATGATCACTGTAATCAGTTATCCCAGCTGCGAATTATAATCACGGTTATTTACAACAGTAAATAACAGTCACTATCTGATGATAACATGAAGGAAGTCTCAATACACAGTATGCTGCCCTTCTACTGATTACACATTTTTCTTGATTANTGTTTTCGACCTACAATAAATAAAGTTTTCTGAAATAATATTACGAAATGGCAATTGTTTTTTTTTTATCCAAAAAGACCTTAGCAAATGTTATACAAAATACCAATATGAACGGGACAAATGATTATTCATAATCATTTTTTAAATTACATTTATTTGTTTATTCATTCACTTTTTTTATTTATATTTGTATTACTTGGAATTGTTAAGTGAATGTGACCATAAGCTAATCTACTAAACTCCTTTTTAACTAATGTATTAGTACTTACACAATTAATTCTGGGTAGATTGACTAAAATTATTGGTTAATGCGGATGTAGTGGCAAACTTGGGTTTTCTGTGATATTAACAGGTCAGTTCATTTGAATAAAAAGTTTCTGTACTAGAAAAATACCACATATTTTATTACCTGTAATCATGACAACCTGATCTTTCAGTGATGCTTCCATTTTACTCGCTTGAAAATAACGTTGTCTCTATTACTGTGATGTCTGTGTCTCTCTCTGAGACTGCGCTCCAACGCTTATTCACAAATAGTGTCGTTGTAGAAAACGTGCGTTATTATGTAGTGTCGCAGTTATTATGAAGAAGAGGTCAGAATCCATCACACTTTGGTGGCGTAGCCTCAGAACGAGGCTGGGATTACCACTGTTACTTTGACACCCTGCGTTCTAAAATGAGTTCAAAAGAATCACGATACTTAAATACGCGTCTTTTCGTTGTGATTAGATAAGGCCGTGGTACAACTTCCCTTAAATGCGTCATAAATCGAGAAAAAAGTTCCCGTAACAGATCGTTGATTATACGGCGTCAGTGTTATAACTTCATTTTCAGAGTCTGCTAAAGGCTGGACCCAAAGATACAAATGGCAAAAAAACTATTTGGCAAAACTTACCAACAAGTGAAAAACGAAAACTGCATACCGTGTTAACTCTTAACTGGCGATATCAGCTGCGTGTCGCGTAGCTTTGTCTTAAGTTTGTAAATCACCTCCACAGGCAAGTTTATTTATAAAAATACATCCCTTTTTTACATGCTGTAGAGTTATTTGAACACCTCAGAGCCCAAAAATATACATAGAAAGATAATAGGTTTATAATATAGATATATGACATAATTAACAAAATTAGAGGATGGCGACATGTCGTCAATAAGTATAACTCCTCCAGTAAATGCACTGTTTATTGAGGTTGGTAGTGGTAGTTTGGCGTGTTTTTTCAATGTAATCCATATAAATAAAAATAATGTATATACTTACTTTGCGCAGTAAGAAAATTTTTTGTTAGAGATTATTTGATGATAATCTATGCGATGCCATGATCACTGTAATCAGTTATCCCAGCTGCGAATTATAATCACGGTTATTTACAACAGTAAATAACAGTCACTATCTGATGATAACATGAAGGAAGTCTCAATACACAGTATGCTGCCCTTCTACTGATTACACATTTTTCTTGATTATATATTGGTATTATGCACTAATTATATCTAAGGCCACACTTTTTTATTTTTATGGATGACATCCTCTGGGGACCCCAAAGTCGGTGCGAGCGGGCGAAAAAAAAAAAAACAGTCCAAAAAAAAAAAAAAAAAACTGCTTAAGAAAAGTTATGTTTTCAGTACACAGCTGGAAACACTAATTTACCACAGAAACNTATATATATATATATGTGTGTGACGAACTTAGAGGCATCGTCAGATCATTTGTCTTTATCATTTATTCCAAATAGGTGCTAACCTTAACGTTCCTGTACATGGACATTGAGAGCGAGAATACGACTGGATGCAAACATGATCGTCTTCAGGTTTTTAATGGAACCACAGAGAGGGACCCATTGTTGGTGGGCTATGCTTTTTATGCTGTATCAGGAAAAATGAATATTTATCAATCTAGGACAATGGCTCTTTAAAGTCTTGTCAATTAGGCTTTGGCAAAAACCATAACATATTGCCGACATTGATATTTTGACATTGCGTAAAAATGTCGCAACAAATGAAAAACGTTTTACCAGTTTACTGATGATGCAACCAATTCTTGAAGTAAATAAAGAAGATGTGTATTTCACAGGAGTACAAGGGATAAATCAAAATTGTACAAATCGAAATCATTTGTTGTAGGGTACCTTTTGCGGAAATACACTGCCTACGCCTATGTCAGTGCAGAATAGTGGGGTCCTTCTTCGGTTTGAAACGGACAACTTTGTAAATGGCATTGGATTTAAACTTGCATACAAAGTTAACCCACAGGGTTTGTATTTGAAAAATCAAAATATGTTTCTCGTTACTTTTTCTTCACTAATTTAGCCGCATGAGGATATCATTCAATAATAATATTATTAATATTCAAGATATGAAAATGTATGAAAAAATGGTATATGTGAAATTGGCCTACAACGCATTCGATATGCGTCCCGGGTAACTACAAGGTGTTTGGCCCGTTTTATCATTGTTATAAACCATATAAAGCATGTTAAAACGGTACAAATTCTTTATCTTATGCAGTTGTAATGATATTCTCCAGAAGACGACGCCTGCGGGGTGCCCGCCATCAGGCCCTCCTTGGCGAGCAGACGAATCGTCGGCGGTCGGGTAGCTGTCCCGCACAGTTGGCCATGGCAGGTGATGTTCCGGCTGGAACGCTACGGACACTACTGCGGGGGTGCCCTGATTGACCCTCACTGGGTGCTCACTGCTGCACATTGCTTCTACGAGTACGTCATGCCTTTATTCGGACACTGTGGGAGAATTCTCAACCTCCATAACAAACCCCCCATCTTTGCCTATCCAAAAGAAGGAATAATATTTGGATTAGGAACTTATTATCAATCTCGGAGAAAAAAGTTTGCGGACGAGATAGTTAATTGGAATGGTCTATTGGACTTTTTCGCATTAATTGTAAGCTAAATAAGTTAAAATATATTTTACTTGCATGGAGGCAGTAGTTGTGGGGAAATGGTAATTGTCGCACACTACAAATCCAATAATTCAGTCTAAGCTCTTCCATTTACACACTTAGAAAGCTTTTGCTACATGATCAAAAGCCATTTAATGATGACATTGGATTTTACATCAGGGAAAATTTGTAAAACTGATACAGATGTCCATGATCTTCATGTATTTTTAAAAAAATTTTTTCAGCTTCCCTCAAGTTTGGAGGTGGCAAGTCATTGTTGGAAAACATTTAAAGAATTCATACGAAAACGTTCAACAGACGCTTCATATCCAAAAAATCATCCCTCATCCAGATTACGACTACGACGCCAACTTCAACGATATAGCTCTAGTTCAACTGGGGTCACCAGCTTTTCTAAAAGCAGAGGTGACACCAGTGTGTCTCCCACGGACGTATTTTTCACCTGGAACCATCTGCTACATCACAGGGTTCGGAGATACTAAAGGTGTGTCTTGTCGTGTTATTAGATCGTGCCCCTGCCCACGTGTTTGCATAATTAGACCCGTTTTTGGGCCAAAGTGTGATGTTGATTATGTAGAAGTTAGTTCCATAACTATTCTGGTAAATTCTCAGATGACGAAAAATAGTACCTTTTTAACATCTTCTGTTTGACAATGAAAAGTAAGCCCACGGAGTGTAAGGCTATCTAAAACATTTAAACAACATCGTTAAAAACAAGCAGCACGCGAGTCAATGTTTTTGACACATATTTTCTAGGTTAAGTGGATTTTTTTCTTTTTAATGTGGAACAATACATTGGTTTTAAGAGGCGATGAAAGGGACAGAGCATACAACAGACTTAACCTTTGGTTCGGAAATATTTTGGAAAACGAAGATAGCAAAGAAATAAAATGAAAATAGTAATATCTCTAAGCAAATAGACACCGTAAGAATCAGGCGGCTGCTGTAACTGGCGGTATAGAGAAGTTGTTGGCCAAGTTATTCATACGCGCTTGGTTACTTGGTTATTTCCCAATGGGTCAAGTTCACAATATAAACTTGACGTCCTAGAACTGAATGTTACCTTAGTCAAAAACCAGTACATACAATTGGTGACTTGGGAGTACCTTTTAAAAAAGATGTTAAAGTATCTAAAGCATCTTAAAACCCCATCTGACCTAGTAAAAAATGTAATAATAATAATAGTGGACATTACATTGTGTATGTGTGCGTTATCATTTTAATTTTGATTCATTGTTAATACCCCTAACTTCACTGATCAAAGATTTGCCTTGCAGGCACCGGAGGGGAAGACTCTCTGAAGCAGGCCGCAGTGCCGATAATACCACCCGAAGTATGTAACGGCACAAATATATACGATGGCGCGGTGCAGGACACTGCTTTCTGTGCGGGTTTTGTGGCCGGTGGGGCAGATGCTTGCCAGGTTAGAAAAGAAGTCTAATTTTTGTTACTTTGGATAAAAGTCATCCAAGCTGTTCACTGAGTTTATGTGTATTATAAAGTTACAACTTTTTCGGGTCTAGGGCGTATGTCTATGTCTCGTTACTTTGGTTTTTCATTTTTTCTTATATTACAATTCACAAAAGCAAAACCTCGTTCTAAAGGGGCACGTGTCATGGGATTGTTTTTACACACAATTCCTGGCTCCTTATAGTGATTCACTTCTAATATTTTATTTCCATTCAGGGCGATAGTGGTGGACCTTTAGTATGTACAGGAGATTCCGGTCTAAAATTCTACCTCTATGGCATAACATCTTGGGGTGCTTCGTGCGGCGGTGCGAACCAACCTGGTGTCTACACCAATGTATTTGATTACCTTGACTGGGTAAAAAACACCATCAAGTTAAGTACAGCACTTCAGAGTCAAGCCAGTCCTCTAGTGGGATAACCGCAGATGTTCTAAAGCGTCAAAAAGTCGAGGCTAGCGTATATATGTACACACATATATATACACACACTGGACAAAAGAAGTGTCACCCCCTAACTCAGAGTAATAAAAGTAGGCAGATCTTGGGTAATTATAATGCCTGGTCTACTTATAATGTGACTAATGAGTATAAAACCGCTGTACCATGGGATTGTATTGTTGGTCTTGTAAATGTACAGCAAATGTTATTCCTGTCTTCCTCCAATATGGCAAGATACAGGCAATTATCTAACGGTTATAGGTGCAAGTTATTAACCTGAAGAGGCGGAATATAAGCAATGTCAGTATATCGATACAATTGAATTGTTTAGTCAGAACCGTGCAGAGGGTCTGGTCTCGGTATAGAAACACTGGATCAAGAGGCAAATTGCCTCTGATGGGTCGTCCAAGAAAACTACTGGCCGTGAAGACCGACGACTGATTTTGATGTCCAGGTTGTCAAAGTTCGACACTGCTTGTCAGTTGACAACACAGTGGAAAAATTTCACACATAAGAATGTGTCTGTGAAAATTGCTAGGCGTCGGTTACATGCTCATAGAGTGTACAGCAGGGTAGCAAGACTGAAACCTCTTATATCGTTACAAAACAGGCAACGTAGAGTGAACTAGGGTCAACAGGA